GTGAGGTCCGGATTTACATCTTTCAGAAGTCCACTCCAGTTTTGACCTCATCGCCAGTACGGCGTCGCTTTATGTCGAGAAACGGCGAGTAAAACGGTCCGAACACTGCCGCAAAGGCCCATTCCTTGGTCCCATGAAAGGCACCACACCAGAGCCCACAGCCGGAAGCAGCGGTGTGCTGCCTTCCCGAAGACTCACGATGTTGCTCAGATTGGCTTATACTCCCGGTACTCCGACCTAAAACGACGGATTCTCGCCTCCTTATTCGACATAGCGTGTCTCTCCAGAGCCAGTAGGCCCGTTCAGTCGCGTTGTAACCAGGGGTATTGTACTACTCCCTGGTTGTAACTAGCTGCACCCATATGAATCTCTTTTTTGATTCTCGCAACTCCTTTTGAGCAGGGAGTAGTACAATACTCCCTGCTTTTGAGCACTCCAAGTCCATGTCCGGGTCTATGACATCACGTGTGTATACGTTGAACCGCAAACTATTCATTCGACGATCCGCTTTTGCCAAGGAAAGCCCAAAGGCTTTTCATGGAGCATTTTTCAGGCCAGACGAAGCGTTTCGCCCGTGCAGGGAGCCATACAACCCGGTGCTTGTTTGGATCATGACCAGAGTGTGCCAATGTACGAGTTTGTAGATTTTACACTTGCCGGGAGCATTGATCTGTTTTCATTGCGCTCTAGGAGCATTTAGGGTTCCCTGTAAGAGGACAGCGACGTCTAAATCGCTTAGCTCATCACTTTTTATACGGCTTTGGTATTATGGAAACCCCTCGGTAGACGAGAAGCCTAAACAACCGACCTAACGTCCAACAGAGATCATCCTTAATCCGAGTTGGGAGCACTCCTGAGCAATTCAGGTGTGACCAAGACTCCTATACGAGCTTACTATACTCTCTCCGTTCCTAGCCTATGACCAAGAGTACATAACCCCCGTACTCTTGCTATGACCTATCCACCTGTTTTGGATATGCATACGACGTTATTTATTATTATTATTATTATTATTTTATACAAAGAGAAAGATTACTAGGGTGTTTCCCACAGTTGCTAATTGTACAAGCAATTAGTTCGGCACGTCTCGTACATCAATGAAGAAGTCCATTCATGGGCGCTCTCCGACTCGACATGTTCCCTACTGTAGGCCATGTACATGTCGGATTTCACTTGTCTCGACTGTCGCGTGTCGATCAACCGATACAGTCAGTACGAGGTAGGTACTAGGTTTCTTCCAATCTGGATTCACTGATTTTTCACTTTATTATTACAAGTATTATTATGAAATGACCCAAAGGCAATGTGCCTATCGAGGGGTTCATTTGATTGAAAGAACAGTACTACTACTAGTACATGTAGCTGTATGAAAGACAAGTAGGGATTGATGAGGAGAGAAATTCGCGTCATGATTTTCATTTGTGGACGTGCGTTTGCATAGGTACACCATATTTGTCATCAGTGAGCATTTACCAGTACATGTACTACATTTGTGTAGTAACCTTTACAACTACTCAATCTACAAGTGCATGCACTTTCCCACAATTAATTGCCATGCTGTCTAAACTTTTGAACTCTGTCATGCAACCCATCGTCTTTAAGGACTTCACATCGTCTTTTCCGGCTTCCCACCGTACACAGCTATCAGTTTCCCAATGATTATGTTGCCTTTCTTGGTCATTACATCTTCCCACACAGCGTAGATCCTACATGTACATGTAGCTGCATCTGCCACCTTAGCCTTAGGTGGTGGGCTGGCACAAGCAAAACTTCCTAAGCGTCAGACTTTATTTTGAAGGGTTCTCCAAAAGCAAATGGATACTTATCAAGGGAGTTTCCTGGAAGGGTGGATGGGATGAACGGGAAGTAAAAAAGGGGTCAAGGGAAAAGACTTAGCAGAAACACTCTTCAAGAAAAACTATAGGTAAAACCCACCGGGGAGAAAAAGAATACATGAGCTGGTTGTGGTTCTCAGCGCAATTGTATGGCCGATTGTAACGCGGACGTGCGAACTTACCTTCTTTCTTTTAACAAGTACCGGTACATGTATCACCTATTGATATATCCAACTTTTCCGAAGTTTCTCTGATTCCTAGCAAAGAAAAGGACCAAGGAACTATACGTTACGCTATACTGTCCACTAACACCATCAGTTACTTGACAATCAGCTCATGCGATAACATGGCACGACACTGACCAACGGTACTGCATCCAAGACGTGCTAGAGCAGATTGGCAGTTAGTTGTAGAACGTCAGTACCGTCGGTCAGTGTCGTGCCATGTTATCGCATGAGTTGATTGTCAAGTAACTGGTGATGGTAGTGGACATGAAAGCGTAGCTTGTAGTTCATTGGTCCCTTTCTTTGCTTTAAATTACTCCTTGGCTCTCCATCCGAGTCCACCCTTTTTAAGTCTTGGTGTTTGTGGGTGGATTGGTGACCGTAGATCATATTAACCAGAGGGTAAGCAGCAGTAGCTACTACCTACCCTGACTCACTTGTGAGGTCTGCATTTGCCACTATATATATAAAGGTGTGCAAGGCATAGGCATGCATAGTGGTGGCCTGCGGAAGCGAAGGCTAGTTTCAAGTAGTAGTTTGTGTGTTTCTGAACATTCAACTTCAAGCGATGCCAACGCGAATCCCGCGAATTATTATTATTATTATTAGCCTAGTTAGCTAAAGGGGTATGAAGGTCAAGTGGGTCAAACAATAATTATGCAAGTAGTAGTAGTAGTAGTAGAATTTATTATTTTGATAGGGAAGGCCCTACAGACGTTGCCGTCTTGTTACAGGGAACCCTAAGTGCTCTTTACAGAGCGAAACAAAAACGGATAGATGCTCAACCTGACAACACGAGACAGGCAGAGAATTCCACCTATCAGCGCCTGCATCTACATTGCATATTGTACCAACTACAATTTTTGTAATTGTCTCTTTTAGGCCGGACAAGTAGGGGAACGGGGAGGGGGGGGGCTTATAGGGTAGGTGCGTTCTTATTACTGCTGCTGCAGTAGGGTGAGTTGAGCTTTGTGGACCAGCCAAGCCAATAATACAAGGACCTTCTGGTAATCACTCTATGACTCCCTGGTCTCCAGAGGGCTCCGGTTGCCGTCAGGCGCCATGTTCGGTGCTGTGTGTGTCCGGTGCCGCATGCCTTGTTATAATACATGTACTGAAGTACACGTAATTTAATTATGCTATCATCATCATCATCATAACCCCCATTCGCCCCAAGTGGTCTCCTGCCGGGACTGCCCGGGACTGCCCGGGACTACCCGGGACTGCCCGGGACTGCCCGGGAGTAGTACCAAACCATTAGCAACTAAAGGGGTGTGAAGGTCAGGTGGGTCAGAAAATGTGCAACGGCAGCCGCATCTAAATTGTCTCTTTTAGGCCGGACAAGTAGGGAGGGTGGGAGGAAGGGGGTCGGCTTAGATGCATTCTTATTGCTGCTGCTGCAGCTGGGTGAGTCCAGCTTTGTGGACCAGACCAGCCCATGCAATGACCTTTTGTGATTACTCTATGACTCCCTGGCCTCCAGAGGGCTCCGGTTGCCGTCAGGCGCCATGTTCCGTGCAGTGTGTGTCCAGTGCAGCTAGTGCCTTGTTATAATCTGCTGTCATCATCATAACACCCATTAGGCATTAGCCCCTTATGTACTCTTGGCTGTGCGCCCAACCGGATGGAGGAAAGAAGAGGCTGAAAAAAGAACTAGAGTACTTGTTAGTCATAATGATCATGTCCGACCAAAGAGCTAGGAGGGATTTGTCTAGGAAGAGGATATCCGTGGCCAACCTGCTGCCCTTTAATGCAAGCATCTGTGTGATCCTGTGAAAGACTAGGTCTCCCGTGGAGGAGGGGAGAAGGAATTTAAAACGGTTTCAAGTACTGTAAATCAACTAATTTTCGCTGGCGATTTAATTTCGCTGATTTCGCCGCTGGGTACCAACCGGCCAAAGTAAATCGCCGGCCAAAGTTTGTCATGATGCATGGATGCATGTGAGAGCACCAACTACTGATCGATTTCTTTTTTGAAAACCCTAATCGGCCAAAGTATTAGTTTAATGACGGCCAAAAGTTTCATTTCGAGATCGGCCAAAGTTTCTCACCGGCCAAAATTTGTTGATTTACAGTATGTTGGAGGCGGGCGAGCCATCGTCACCAGCCTCGCCTGCCACCAGAATGTTGTTCCTCGAAAGAAAAACATGATGCACCAGAAGAATTCAAGCGGTCAGAGAAATGTAACAATGTACATTGGGAGAGCGGGGTAGCCTTTGATTTCCGTGCGTATTGATTCGACTGAATCCTATTGATGCAGGCCAAGGGGTTCTGACTCTTGCTGACTCGAGAAGTTTGTCTTTATGGCAAGGTTTATGCCCATACTGCCATAGATCCTTCCATGAGTGACATGCGAACTGTAGTGTAACTATTATTACGATTATGGACAGTCTTGCTAGTACACATGCACGTACATGAACTACTAATACTATGGCCGACTATCATGGAGGTAGTAGTATCGCAGTCTCTAGACTAGAGTAGAGACAAGAAAGAAAATGAAGAGCATAACCGATAACCATGATATCTCCCCTGGGTCGCGGCCCGCGGGGTGGTAGCTCTCTTCGTAGAGACAGACACCATGCTGTGATCAAGTAATTTATTATTACATTGTATAAAGTAAATCCGGTTTTGTTTTGTATGAGCAAAATTTAATTTCACCATTCGGCCTGGTTTTTGGCCATGAAGATGTACGTATGTAATCGTACTGGAATGAAAATAATTATATATCTTCGGGTTCGGAAAGGTCATTGCTTGACCTTTCGGAAAGGTCATTGCTTGACCTTTCAGTCCTTGACAGTTGAACGGCACAGCAGTGCATGCTGCTCAATGAAATCCAGTCCGTGGCGTCTACAACTTATAGTCGTGTTACTCAAGTAACATGCTAGCCTACATGCGCCTTGCACCATTTCGCAGCCCACAGTCAGTGGCAGTGTTCGCAGGTTTGGGGCTGCGCCACGCCTGGCGAGTACTTGTTGAGTGCCGCGACTGGATTTCTTTGAGCAGTAGCTGTAATCATGGTAATGTTGTAACAGTACTGTTGCTTCCAAGTCAAGTGTGAAGGAGCGAGCATAGCGGCTTTGGATTTTCTCCAATGAATTCATGAAGTCGATCGAAGGCAGCCTCGGAGTTCTTTGAACGACAGGAAGAAAAATGCTGAAACTGTCACTGCTAGTGTTGTCGCTGGGTCTCTATCGCGTAGGATGCTGTGTGGCGATCAAGTTCCCGATCATCATCGGTAAGATATCGTAGAATCCCGCGGATAAGCCCATGAGCTTATCTGTTTCACAAGGACATTTCGGTGGGCTTATACAAGAACATGGGCTTATACGCGGACATGGGCTATACGCCGTCACCAAAATTGTGCTATTGAAAAGTACCAAGGAAGTGAGAAATACATTGCTGAAAATCGCTGTGCAAACAAAAACAACTGATGATTGTGTTGAAATGTAAAAAAAAAAAACGTAAATGCACTACGTAGACGTCTACATGGTACGACCAAGACAAGAGGATAAACAAGAGTGTGCAACTCCAGATCTCTCCTGCACAATCTGCAGATACCCCGCGGCCCGGCCCACGGCGGAAATGTTTGTTGACGTCACCATTTTTCAGATAAACGTGCATTTTGCCGCAGAGCACGTGCTCGGCCCCGCCCTTGTAATGAAAAGCCCTGCCAAGTCCACGAGGCAAAACTTTCCAAAAGACTCGCAGCGCGTGCGTCGTAGAAAAGATGACGTCAACAAAAAAATTCGCCATGGGCGAACCCATCTGCGAGTTGCACACTCTTGTTTATCTACTCTTGCTACGACCTATAGGCCCATGGGCTTGTACAACGACGCTTCGCGATGTTTGAACTTGGCCTGGTCTTATGCGCGAGGATGGGCTTATACGCGGGTGGACTTATCCGCGGGATTCTACGGTATCGTTTTAATTATGGCTTGAACGAAAGACAGAAAATGCCGCTGCTCTTTCGAATTTTTCCTCGTACGCAGATCTAGTACTACCCTTCGTCCTAACCACCACACGTATATACGTCTGACCAAGAGTGCATAGCCCAGGAGGTTGTGGACGCTTGATGCTGACCATTGCGTCGATTCTTTTCCAAAGTACGTCGATCTGTTTTCAACTCGTTGATGAAATGGACAGCCGTGTACATGTACTTGAACCCCGCCGCTCCCTCCAATGCTCCATGTCACAAAGTTTCGCTTCGAAAAGTCATTTGCGAATTTTGCGGACCACCTCAAACCATAATACATGTACATAACTTGGGGTTCGATTTGTTGATCAAGATTTATCAGATTGTTCCGGATTTGTGCATGTAGGATTTACGTTGTTTGCTCCGGCCGCGAACTCCCGCTCTTCTCTAATCAGGGCCTGCACATCTCCACGGCTTCCTGTATCCCAGTGGGCCACTCGCACTGGGCTTTGGGTCTGTGTGCGGGGTTACCCTTGCTCGGTCAGTTTCACTCAGTGTCGTCTTCAACTTTGATCTCGTCTCGAATCTTGGCAATATCACTCTCTGTAGACTCTTTGAGGCTTGCTGTCTCAATCACGCTTCTGGACAGGGTCTTGTCGCCATCTTTGACCTTTTTCTCCAGCATCGGTAGATCCGTTTTCTGGGCAGATGTCAATTCAATACATAATGTTTTTTTCAACTTTCTTCGTTAACTTTTCAATCTGGCTGGCTACCAATGCACGTACCTGTGCCTGACCGCCGGTCTAGCAACGCCTTCAACATGTCACTTACAGCGTTGTCAAACTGCTGGGGGTTGCCAGTGATGACGTTGTCAGCCGAGCCGGATGCGCTCGATGATCGACCATGCTCGGGACGCGGATCGACGTCCATTAACCGTTTCCGGCTTGCCGCAGCTCCAAGGCTGCTGGCGTTGCTGCTGCTGGCAACCAAACTGGACATGTTGTCTGCATCATTCCGTTTCTTTCTCTTACCCAGCTTCAGACTACTGGGAAGAGGCATTATCTTTGCTAAACCCGCAGAGGTGAACCAGGCATCTTTCTCTTTCACAGGCATTTCACGCCTTGACATACGCAGCGACCATGCACAATACTCAAAGACCTTCAATATGCAGGAAACAGCATGGGATTGTGCAGTGTATTATAGGGTGTGCAATGTGCTGCTGTGTATGGGGTGCATCGCACTTCACGAAAATATTTTCACACGATGGAGCACGGTGGATATCCCGACGTGTATCACATTGCAGAAGTGCATGGCATTATACCCAGTCGCACAACTGACTGCAAATCCCCCATGACACAGCTCACCAGATCAAGGTATGGGTCATCGTCACTCAGTACAGACAAAGTCGAGCGAGCTGTACTCTCGGTGCCGAAAGGCGGGCTCATGCCCCAACATGGCTACTTCCCCTTGTCTAACCCCCAAGACGAACACAAAGGTATAGCAGCCTACTGGCCGAAATGAAAAAAATTAATAATTAAAATTAAAATAAACAGCGGATGGTGTAGCAAGTTCTCTACGTAGACTGCTTCCAACTCAGACCTGTTACTGAATGTTAACCCATGATGTGAACCTGGAGCTGGAAACATCATCGGTCGCTGTTTTTGAACTGTGTGCAAGGGACATTGCGGAAAGCCAATGGCATACCGGTAATGATTTTAAAAACTGTGTGCGAGACCGCATGGGACAATCCGGAACAAATCACGGTTCACGTGAGACTTGCCTGCTGGGGGCCGAGTTTCCGAATCCGTAAGAACACCATCACCCCCAAGGATCGAGGTCGCAAGGGATATTCCGGAAAGCTAATTGCTTAACCGTGTGCGAGATCGCAAGGGACATTCCGAAAAGGCAATGGCTTATTAAACCATGTGCGAGATCGGCAGGACTAGCAATTGCACATCTATTGCACCAAAACTACCCCCCCCCCCCCCCCCCACCATCAATCCTTCTGTTGCGTTTGTAAATGATAACCTTGAAAGAAGTTGGGTAGAACCTCAAGCACTGTCCATGTTTCTGCCCGGCAGCTCTATAAGCATGTCGCCGCCTTGGTCAAAAGGTCAGAGGGTATACCGTATGCCTGCGTGTTTGTGTGTGCGTCCACGTACTGATGTGTGTCCACGTACTGATGTGCGTCCATGTACTGATGTGCGTGTTTTGCTTGTGCATGTATGCATGCATGCATGCATACGTGTGCGTGTGTGCGTATGCATGTGTGTACATGTGTGTGAATGTGTGTGCATGTGTGTGTGTGTGTGTGTGTGTGTGTGTGTGTGTGTGTGTGTGTTTGTATGCGTGTGTGTACATGTGTGTACATATATGTGCATGTATGCATGCATGTGTGTGCGTTATGTGCGTGTGTGTTTGTACGCGTGCAATTTCGTGTCGTCGTCGGTATCGATTACACTTGCAGTGCCCGACATCGGCGGCAGCCAGATTGAGATTAGGCACACGCGGGACCACCAGCCTTCCCCGGTCTTCTGCCCCAGCATGCGCAACTGGACACAAGCGTGGCTACGCTCGACACTCAGCAGTCATATGTTTGCGCACTGCTTTGCACGCGACATGTCGTGAGTGGTGGTGACCTATCTTGAACAAACTCAGTTGTACCTTTAGAACACAGTAAAACCTGTCAGGGCGACCACCCGGATTACCCAACAACCTGTCCTAGAAGACCGCTGCAACCAGGACCCAGAGATGCCATTTCCAGTCTAATTACCCTGGATTAGGAGACCACCTGATAACAGAGACCACCTTGTGAAGATCCCCTGAGCGGCGGTCGTCTTAGACAGGTTTCACTACATGGAGTTTGATCATGGCTATGCTGTCTGATGAGTGTTGTTCTCAGACACGAAACTCTGAGTAACCGTGAGGAAAGTACCTGGTTGTACTGTTGCTGGTTGTGAATTGTAATAGTTTGATCAGGTATCGCTTGTAGTATTAGTATACCATTAAATTTTTGCATGGATCCAGAATTTTTGAAGAAATTTACAGGACAGGCCTCAAATTACTCTCTCCATTCTCCACCCCATCGAGCGTTAACTGTTTACCTTGCCATGATTCGCTTCCCGTCAAGTATTCATCTGGATTTTGTGGGATATTTCATTTCAGCGATTGCTGGTGGAGGTGTGGGCTGATTTCGCTTGTCGTCTGTGTGATCAGTTTCGAAAGTTTACCGCAAGAAGTTTGCAAACAGTCAGGCTGGCAGTTGTAAAATAATGACTATGCGGAAAGCTCTGACTGATTCCCTAAAGTACGTACATGTACTGTCGATCTGACCCTTTCTAGTTTTGCCCATGTCAAGTTTCTACCTGTGAAGCGACTTCAGCGTACACGTCAAACTACGGTGTTGAACCAACACGTGCACTGCTGATAGCAATACGTGCCAGTGTAGGTTTTCCTGTGGATGAAACTGTGCGCCATACAGCACGGCATGTCTGACCTTTCGGATTATTCTACATAGCACCACTGCACTTGAAAGCCTGGATCTAATTCCCGCCACTGGCGAATAGCCAGCCAGGATGATGCGATACAGCAGGGGGGCATCAATGTTGTGTTGTGGCAATGTGATTCTGTGTAGCAAGCCTTCCCCAAGAGTTCTGATTTTGTATCGTGTGCCTGCCTATCCTGCTCAATTTCTTTACTAGGTTGGTGTTTGATGCAAATACACGCACGTACAATGATCAAGATGGTGTTCAAGTCAGGGTGCCGTACTTCGGATCTACCGAGTCCATCGAGTACCTGGATGACGGCAGCAGCCCCGTCACGCGTGACACCACTAACTACTACCACGCCATCGTGCAGTACTTTGTCGATAACGCCGGATATGTGCGTGACGAGAGCCTCGTGGCAGCGCCGTACGACTGGCGAAAGTCACCTTGTGAGTTAACCGTCATTTCCACTGTCCTTGTGAGTTTAGTTTACCAACGTTTCCACTGTCTGTGTGAGTTTACCGTCATGTCCACTGTCCTTGTGAGTTTACAGTTATTTCCACTGTCCTTGCGAGTTAACCGCCGTTTCCATTGTCTTCTAGAGGAGGCTGTTTGGTTGGAAGCTGGCATTCTTTTCTTGTAGGTTAATGGATGTCAATCAGTAGCATGTCAGTGGCCGGAGGTCATTTTATCAAACAGCTTCCTTTAATAATTTGTTTCTTTTCTGAACAAAAATTGAACTCAAATAGCACTATAGATCACACACTCGTGAACTGACTGACACAAACGCAAGCATGCATGCACACGTGCGGCGGGCACTCACACACACACACACACACACACACACACACACACACACACACACACACACACACACACACACACACACACACACACACACACACACACACACATACACACACACAAAACGCACACAAAAACACACCTGAGCGTTGCCTTCTCTTTCTTTACTCGTTTCTACTGGCGCAGGGAGCATGGATGGGTACTTTGAAAAGCTGCAAGCCTTAGTGGAGAACATCACCGCCAAGTACCGCGCACCAGCCATTGTCATCTCTCACGGCATGGGTGCTCCCGTATTAAAGGCTTTCTTGTTGACCATGCACAGTGATTGGAGAGACAAGTACATCAAGGTCTGGTTCTCTGTGCAGGGTGTGTGGCTGGGCTTGCCCAAGGCACTGCAGGCCATCGTGTCCGGGCTCAACCTCATCACACAGGAGCACGAAGCCGACCTCGCGGACATGGAACGTACCATGGAGAGTGCTCTGTTTCTAATGCCCATGCTGGGGCTGTGGCCCGAGCGTGCCGCCAAGCAGCTGGTCATCGTGGACAAGGCGAGGAAATCGTACGGCGTTAGGGACTACGTGGAGATGATGAAGGCGCTGAACATGACCAATGCTGCAAGCAGACTCGACAGCGTGATGACCAGGCGCCAGGAGATGCACGGTGCGCCGGGCGTGCGACTGTACTGCATGTACGGCACGGGTATAGACACCACCTGGGCATACAACTACGAGACGCTGGACGGGTCAGCACCCACGCAAGAGATCCTCGGCGACGGTGACGGGATAGTGCCACTGCCAAGCATGCAGTTCTGTCAGGACTGGGTCGGCAAGCAATCACAGCCGCTGGTCGTCAAGAAGCTGCCCAAAGTCGAGCACACCGAGGCCATCCAGAACAAGGACGTCTTCCAGTACATTCACGCCGAGATTGACGCTCTGGCGGAGGAACACGCCTGAAGAGAGAAGACATCCCACCCCGTCAATATCCAAGTAAGTTGAGATGAAGAAGAAACGCCATGCTTTTCGCTCCACCGGTCTGCACAACCTGTTGGCACTAGCCACAAGCAAGTAGGTGCTAGAGAGGTTGCCATTCACCTCCATTGCCTAGGTCTGTGTTCTCCCCTGATTTACCCATGCACGTATGTATTCAACTTGTATTGTTTGGGTTTACTCGCTGTATATTTGCACGCTCTTCCAGTAGACGCAGGTCATGTTTTTAGGCTTTCATCATGCGTGTTGTTAGTATCTGCTTCCACTTTTCTCGAAAATGAAGGTTTGTGTAGGTGCTGTGATGCTGGTGAGGCACCCCGGCCAAAGGTCTCCGGATCAAGAAGCATGCATAGCACGCATCGTGGAAGGAGTTGAGAAGAGAGGGAGAGAGAGAGGGGGGGGGGGGAGGAGGGAGAGAGAGGGGGGGGGAGAGATGTATAGCTCTGCACCAGGCAAACTGAGTGCAATCTAATCACTCGACTAGACAAGAGCAGGCCAGGGCAATGTGCCGGTATCATTCAATCAAATTATCAGAGAAATGAACACCGTGAATAGGAAGGTTGAAAAGTTCCACCACACCACTGACCTGCTGAAATACTACAATGAACATTCAAGAATGCGGGACAACTTACTGCACTTAGGGCTCACAAGCTTCGGTCTATCAGTCAAGAATAAGAGAATGATAATGTACTATCAAGCAAGGGCTAGAATACCACTACTTGCCAGTATGCAGAAGCAACATAGATGAGCATTGTGCACCTTTAAAGTTAAAAGTACTAGCAAGTCATGGCTTGGCTTAACGACCGCGTCACGGCAGCACACTGTGGTGAGAGTGTCTCAGGTCCAAGATAATCGCCGTATAGACGGTTGCTCAGGGTCTGCTCAAAGCAGCATGCATTGCACGTAGTGAGCCAGCCTGCTCGGGGTACAGCAATCTGCCAGCTCTGAGCAGTCTCAAGTCATGCTTGTGTGCATGCAACGGGCAATGCCACGAGTGTAACAGTTAGGTGCTGGCCACACACATATCCGGCACAGTGCTTGCAGGGCACTTGAGCATAGAGATCGACACTGAAGCAGTCAGTCCACAGACATATTATGATGTACAAATCTGCTTCGCGCTGCCTCGACCAGCCTCGTTTGTGACACACAGATCATGTGTGTACTGTATTCAGACAGCTGGGATTCGTAAGTACAATGTAGTTCTATTGCAAGCCAAGTCATTGAAACCCGGTGGTCACTGGCTGTCACTCAGCCTAGCAGCACTCGCGAGAACCAGCAGCACTATAGCGCAACAGTGGCCAGCTTGTCTGACACCGCATCACTACCGTCTCCTCCGTCATTACTCGCGCAGTTTGTTGCCTGCTCGCCGGTGCAGGCGATGGATGATGACGTCATAGTCGGCACGCGCGGCGAATCGAGTGCGAGGGACAACGGCGTGACATCAACGATGTTGGTGGCGAGACGGGCCATCTGATTGTTCCGCTTCTTCTCGCAGGCTGTGTGGTACGGCGGGTTGATGGGTGACTGGGTGGCATCGTGGTGCACGTAACCACTTGTGTCATTGCTGCTCCCCGCTGCCGTCGACGACGAAGAACGCCCTTCGTTGAGCGTATACGTCTTGTCAGAGTCGAACGCGCTCAGGTCCCCGCAGGCCAGGAACGGCACGAGCACACGGTTTATCCCTGCAGCCATACAAACATACATACACACAACTACAGTCGTCCCTCTTTAAAGCACTCTATAAACCAGCACAATTTTCAGTTACCAAAAACGTCCTTGAACACCAGACAGCATTGCATACAGTAACATGTCGTTTGGCGACAATGCTCTCTTACCCTGTAAGCTGTTGAAATCGATCGCCTCGTTACTCAGCAGCGGGTTGGCCATTGTGGGGACATAGCCCGGCGGTGGAGTGTAGTCCTGGCACACAACGAACGATTCCAGGCTACTGGCGCGACTGCTGCGCGGCTTGGCGCACGTCACCGTGGGAAAGAAGACCTTCAGCTGCGCGTAGAGCAGGGAGATGTCCTTGCCGCGGAAGATCTTGGCCACAAACGTGCCGCCGGGCCGCAGCACGTGCGTGGTGATGTTGAGAGCAGCCAGCAGCAGCTGTGACTGGATATACTCGTCAATGTCATGCAGACCTGCGCGTACAACAACAACAGCAACAGCAGCAGCAGCAGTAGTAGTAGCGTTGGTGAGTATGGTGAGCAGCAAGAACACTAACGGCAGCAACACACATACATACATGTACACACGCACGCACACACGTACACACACACGCACACACACACACACACACACACACACACACACACACATACACGCACACACACACGGACAAACTGCACCAGAACTGCAACTGACCTGTTACATCTGGTGCCCCATCGCAGATGACCAAGTCAGCCAGATGACCAGTGAAGTGTGACACAATCTGACGAGCAGTGGCATCCTGGTACCGAGAACAACATGCACAGCACAGTCAGCACAGAGAGGTTATGCGATAACGTCAAATCCGCCATATAATATTATAGGAGCCAGTTGGGGTGGCAAAATGCCCAAACCGCGTACAAAAAACCCTTATATACTGTAAAACGTGAAATTTTCGCGGCGTTTTTAGTTCGCGTTTTCAGAATCCGGACAGGTTTGCGAGGTTTTAATTTTGCGATGGCAGAATGGCATTCTTGCTAAACTTGTGGCATTCTTGCTAAACCTTTCATGGATCTCCTTTTTGCGCTGTCTAAATTTTGCGACTTCCACGCGGTCGCGAATTTCGCAGAAATTAGACCATGGCAATAATTTCACGGTTTACAGTAGAAGAATTTGGGGTGGCAAACGTACTATATGACCTGTACACGCAGACAATTTCGATGGTCAATAATTTCGTCCGACTCCAAAGAAAGGGAGTTCGTCCGGTTGTAAATTTCGTCCATGGATCACAAGAGTGTATTGAAACGCTGGACAAATCGACATTAGTCCGGCATTTAATTTAGTCCAAAAGCTCCTTGGACGAAAAAGACGAAATTAAATTCTAGACGAATATTTCTGTTTATACAGCATTCCATAGAAACACATCACAAGGTGTACTATTCTCAGATTACCACCACCACATACCGGGTATATACACTCGCATGCACACATGCACACACACACATCCAAGCACGCACACACCCACCCACACATGTACACCCGCACACCCACCCACAGGGCCACACATCCGCACCCGCACACCCACCCACAGGGCCACACATCCGCACCCACACCCATACCTTGGTGATATCACCCTGGATCTGGATCACGCCCGGCAGAGGTGCCATGGCCTGCAAGTCAACTGCAACAATCTTGACTTCTTCCACGGAGGACGACAGCGGGGCGCTCATCTCGGCCAGAGTACTCGCTGCAGCGCTTGCCTCTCCAACCGTCTTCACAACACCAGCACCATCAGCACTTGAATCAGTAATGTCATCAGCCCGGACGGCGCCCAATGATGACGTCGCTGAGCACGTAGCAGCGACATCATGTTCCTCTGGTATGGACGACGGCGGCTGGGCAGCAGTAGCTGCTGCTGCCTGCTTTCTATACAGCTTTCTGCTCAGCACTTGGCTCCAGCTTCCTGTGGTCGCATTTGCAAAGCAGAAGAAAGGGGAAAGGTAGAAAAAGGTTCTATCAGCAGGCACTATAGCCCTACATATATACAATTTAGTACTGGAACTAGGCTGAAGTATGTTGTTGCTCTGCCCTCGTGGTATTGAGCACTTTCTGCCAGGGTTTAGCAACTTACTACAGACTGTAGTATGTTGCTACAGTGTAAGGATAAGCTACTAGTGCAACAGTAGTAGTAGCAGCTTGTCCTTGCACATGCCGTAGATTGAGTAATGGCGGTAAAGATATACCTGCCGAGATGGTGACAATGAACTATCAAGCAAGGCTCGCATAATTATACCATTGTACCACTGATATTTGTAACACTGTAGCCTACGCGATGTGGCTTCTGTGTGTGCATGTTGACATTTCAAACGTGCCACGTGATCAGTTTAAAGTCGCACATGACCAAAATGCCCGCTGCGACTGTTGACAAAGTGACCTTGGACAGATGCTACCTTGCTAAGCCTAAGGTAACGGATGTTTCAGTGGAGCAAACACATGCACACGCTCGCACGCACACACACATACACGCACACACACACACACACACACACACACACACACGGATCCTCCTGGCTCAATGGAGCATGTGCTGATGAGCTAATTACGGATATACCGTACTTCCGCACATATAAGCGCATATGCGTGTGTCCGGACAGAAGCGCACCCCCCCCCCCCAATTATAAGTGCATGCACTTATATGTGAACACCATTGGTGAAGCATCCGGGAGCTGAATATACTGCTAAGCATTGTGATAACACCGTTGTTTAGGACACAGACAAACCGTTATTGCACATATAAGCGCATGGGCTTCTACCCGAACATGTTCACGCAGCAAAATATTTTTTTTGTAGCAAATTTTCACTTATAAGCCCATGGGCTTATATGTGGGGAAGTACGGTATGAAGGTACGAGTAGCTGAAGTGCGGATACGTGTGTGTTTTCAGATGTGTGCGTGTCTTTGTGTGTATGTGTGTGTGTGTGTGTGTGTGTGTGTGTGTGTGTGCGTACGTAGGCACGCGTGCGTGCGCACGTGTGTGTGTGTGTGTGTGTGTGTGTGCACTACAATGTGATCTGGCATACTGATGAGCACTGGGCTTCTTATTCTTCACAAAACATCATGCAGTTTTTACATCGATCGTTCCCACCCCAGACTGAGATCGAGTAATCATATGCCGGTTTGGCGTTACTGCACGACTAATAACGGAACACAAGTCATGTAGGCACCCAATGTCCTTGCACGATCATGTCCATGAAGAATTAAATTACCTGGTGCTGCACACAGATCCACAACACGAGTGACGTCACTAAACAAATCGAACTCCTCGTCTAGCTGCAGCAGTTTGAAAGCACTCCTTGCTCTCCAGCCTTCCTCCTTGGCAAGGCGGTAGTAGATATCACGTTTGTCCTTCGACGAGCGACCCATCGTTGCATGCACTCCGCCGATCTAGCAATCTTCATACAACAACTACTTGTCTTCTCACGATCACTCTTGTATTTCTTTGAAAATCTATGACATGTGACTCTGGCTGAGTGTGAGGTGCACCGGTGATGGTACCGTTGCCATCGCGATCTTTTCACGTTATTAATTTTTCTATTTTCCATGATAATTAATTTTTTTGAACGAGAATTTCAAAATGTGACTTGGCCGGATTCTTTTACCAGAACAAGAAGATTTGGAGGAGCATATCCTTGATGTTACAACGTGGACGCTTGTTGTTTTCTTGCCAGTATCCCCATACATTGTGAGCAGCGGTTGGGTTTGGATATTACTGCATGAGTCGCAGCTGTGTGGTACCATGGAGAGGCTGTTCGCGGATTCGCGCCAGCCCAACCAGCAGCAGCAGCAAGATGCATTGGATTCTACAGGTGTCCTGAACATGATGGGCGATTTCAACGACTTTCTGCGCTCGCCAACGCTGCGTAGCACTTTGAGTATAACTCGTTCGCAGCGCAAGACGGGCCTGCAGGTGCCGGATAGGACACCAAAAGCAACGCTAGGCTTCGGAGAGGCAGGCAAGCTGCCACAAAAAGCAACGCCAGGCTTCGGAGCGGCAGGCAAGCTGCCACCTTCGTCTGTGCTGTCAGCGAAGAAGAGTAACAACAGCAGCAGCAGCATCGGCCACAGTACGTTGCGAAGCAGTGCCACAGGCGGCAGCCGATCTGTTCTCCGATCCAGCAGAGCAGGTGCAGCAGTAGCTGGAGATAGCCAGCAGAAAAGCTACGATCCCGACGACTCGCTTAGCTCACTGCTCAACTCCTCGACAGCAGCATCATCCTCTCTGCTCATGTCCTCCAGGAAGCGCCGGGCTGAGGAGATTGAAAGCAAGGCTAACCTAGTGGTAGCAGGTGTGCAGAACTCTCGCCTCGAAAACGAGCTCTCTGGTGCACAGGCGGCACTGAAGAGAGTGAAAACTGAGAAAGAGTGCGAGGAGTCTAGGTATTCGTCGGAAATCTCCCGTTTGCGCCGGGACAACGAACGGCTTCAGGAGAGTCTAAGCAATGAGCATAGCTCGCTGAAAGCTCAGTTGGAGGCGACGAAGAACGCATTCGATGCCGAGCGCTTCCGCTTTGAGGAGCAGCTGATGTCGGCGCGAGAGGATGCCGACGAGGCAAGAACAACGTGTGAAGAGGTATGATGCTGCTGAATGGCATGTATGATTATGTCCTCAGGCACTCCTTTGTAGTCTTGCTATCTGAAAGAGAATAGGAAGACTCCAGATACCATTGCCATAAAAGGTTGTGAAGGAATAACTTGCCTTTGGGATACGAGTAGTATTGTCATGTTGTTCATCATGATTTGTTTCAAAGAAACAGGTGACAAGGCACGAGAGTAGGGCGTAGGTGCATGATTCGCTCCTGCGTGTACAACATTTGAACTTCGCGTGTTCGTTTGTGCCTGTGCATGCGGGGGGTCTGTATCCGTGTGTGTGTGTGTGTGTGTGTGTGTGTGTGTGTGTGTGTGTGTGTGTGTGTGTGTGTGTGTGTGTGTGCGTACGTGTGTGTGTGTGTGTGTGTGTGCATGCATATGCATGCATGTACCGATTGTGTTGTCCTGTCATCAGTGTGAAGAGGAGCGTATTCAACTGCTGGATGAGCTTGAGCAGATTCGACAACAGTAAGTAAGCTAAAAACGCAGGCATTCGAGCAGTTGCACACAATGAAAATCGTAGGATTTGGATGCTACGGCCTTGATTAGTGAAAATTTGTATGAACTTTAGCTAACATTCAACCGAAAGGGAGCTGATCAACGAAACAAAACAAAAAAAACGTTTCAATAGCCCTCACTGTACAGTAACACAACGATGTTAGGCACATGCGTACTGTCGTACACTGACATGCTTGCTACACATGCGGACTGTCGTACACTGACATGCTTGCTACACATGCGGACTGTCGTACACTGACATGCTTGCTACACAAAGCAAGCACTGTACTGCCTGTAGTTTTACCGCTTAGAGCCTACTGGTGCTGTTGCTGCTGTAGCTGTTGCTGCTGTTGCTGCTGTTGCTGCTGTTGCTGCTGCTGTTGTCGCTGTCGCTGCTGAAGCTGTTGCTGCTGAACCTGTTGCTGGCAGTGCTGCCGCTGCTGTCCCTGTCGCTGCTGAAGCTGTTGCTGCTGAAGCTGTTGCTGGCAGTGCTGTCGCTGCTGAAGCTGTTGCTGCTGAAGCTGTTGCTGCTGAAGCTGTTGCTGCTGAAGCTGTTGCTGCTGAAGCTGTTGCTGGCAGTGCTGCCGCTGCTGTCCCTGTCGCTGCTGAAGCTGTTGCTGCTGAAGCTGTTGCTGGCAGTGCTGCCGCTGCTGTCGCTGCTGAAGCTGTTGCTGCTGAAGCTGTTGCTGGCAGTGCTGCCGCTGCTGTCCCTGTCGCTGCTGAAGCTGTTGCTGCTGAAGCTGTTGCTGGCAGTGCTGCCGCTGCTGGCCCTGTCGCTGCTGAAGCTGTTGCTGCTTAAGCTGTTGCTGGCAGTGCTGCCGCTGCTGACCCTGTCGCTGCTGAAGCTGTTGCTGCTGAATCTGTTGCTGGCAGTGCTGCCGCTGCTGTCCCTGTCGCTGCTGAAGCTGTTGCTGCTGAAGCTGTTGCTGGCAGTGCTGCCGCTGCTGTCCCTGTCGCTGCTGAAGCTGTTGCTGGCAGTGCTGCCGCTGCTGTCCCTGTCGCTGCTGAAGCTGTTGCTGGCAGTGCTGCCGCTGCTGTCCCTGTCGCTGCTGCTGAAGGTGTTACTGCTTCTTCTGCTGCCTCTGCTGCTGCTGTCCCTACTGCTGTTGTCGCTGCTACTTCCACATCTACTGCTGCTAATCCTGCTGTTGCTGCTAATCCTGCTGTTGCTTCTGCTACTGCTGCTGCTAGTGCTGCTGTTGTGGTCGCTGCTTCTGATGCTTCTGTTGTCGCTTCTTTTACTATCGCTGCTGCTAATCCTGCTGTTGCTTCAGGTACTGCTGCTGCTAGTGCTGCTGTTGTTGTCGCTGCTTCTGATGCTTCTGTTGTCGCTTCTTTTACTGCTGCCGCTGCTGCTAACCCTGCTGTTGCTTCAGCTGCTGTTGGTGACTGATCTTGCAAATTTTGTAAATTTTAGTAAAACTTTTTTTTATTTTCTGTTGCATTCAGGCGGCTTCAGAACGGTAACTTGGCTCAAACAGAGCTTGAGCTCTTGCGTCAGGACGTGGAGCAATGGAAATCGTAAGTGTCTTGTTGGAGCCAAGTTGGCATTGGGTGTGGGCTGTATTACCCATGAGTACGATAAGGTTTAGCTTGGCGGTGCTTGGATAGCACCATCGGAGTGCTAGTCGATGGAGCTTAGCGCCGGTATGCTGCCAGCACTCTGATCAATGACTATGTACAGCAGTCTGAACATAGCAGTGCTGTAGAAACCCTGTCCATTGAACAACTGCCATGCCATGTGGCCTCTTACGCTGGCTGATGATGTTTCTGCTGTTTCGCTGCCGCTGCTGCTTCTGTTGCTGCTGTTGCTATTGCTGTTGTTGTTGTTGTTGCTGCTACTGCCACTGCCGTTACATGATCTGATCAGGCGCTATGAGGAAAGCACAGTCCGTGTGCGTGAGCTGCTGCCCCTGGAGCAGGAAGTGGAGGCTCTCGAGCATGAAGTGCAGGTACGATACGCACAGGCCACGCCAAACGTTTTGTCTTGGTGTCTCGCACAAATAGTGGCGTACAGTAAGATCATGGGTGTATGTGTGTGTGTGTGTGTGTGTGTGTGTGTGTGTGTGTGTGTGTGTGTGTGTGTGTTGCTATGTCTAACATAGCTGTTCGCTATCATCGCTTCCGCGATGGGCAGGTCTGAGGTCTGAGGTGTGTGTGTCGCTGGCCGCTAGCCTGCAGCGCATGCTGCGTACCGTGCTCAACCAACCTAACCCATGTCTGTCGGCCCCTCGTATGAGGGAACATGTGACCGTCTTACGGCAACTTTCAGGACAGGACACGACGGTGTGTGTGTGTGTGTGTGTGTGTGTGTGTGTGTGTGTGTGTGTGTGTGTGTGTGTGTGTGTGTGTAAATCCATCTTCTTTCACCTCAATCATTCCCCTCGTTTCTTTTCCTTTCTCGCTGTTGTCTCCTGCTTCTGGGAATGAAGTGGCCATTTTGTGGCATTTGTACATAGTAGTGTGTGTGTGTATGTGTGCGCACGTGTGTGTGTGTGTGTATTTATTCTCACACTGTAGAGGCTGAACAACGCCGAACAGACCCAAGCGGAGCAGGCAGCGTTGGGTGGTTCGGTGTCAAAGCAGCTGGCACGGCTTGATGAGCTGGAAAACCGAGCAGCTCGCCTTCAAGCCGAGAACCAACGTTTGAGGTAAGCTTGCCATTTTGAGTTTTTGGAACTGCAACTTGCTGCTGCACATAGGATTAGTGGGGTTGCCATGGCCCGTGGCAAGTGAATGGTAGTTTTAGGCCCATGGCGACGGAATGGTAGTTTTAGACCCATGGCAAAGGAATGACAGTTTTAGACCCATGGCAAAGGAATGACAGTTTTTTTTTCCACTTGGCCGATAAAATATATCGTCTATATTATAACAAACTCTCCTGAGTTTAATTTAGAATACATTGCGCTCCTTTCCTGAGGGCTTTTGCGTCGATTTGCATGTTAGATTGGTGTTGCGTTAACTTTTTTTGTTAAGGCTAGGGTTTCTGCTGCTTGCCAGACGAACTTGTGTGTTTGTGTACTATGTGTGTGTGTGTTGTGTGCGTGTGTGTGTGTGTGTGTGTGTGTGTGTGTGTGTGTGTGTGTGCGCGCACATGTATGTACATGTGAATGTGTGCATGTATGTGCGCACACATGTGTTCATGTGCTCAGGCTGTCCCAGCAGAGCAATGTGCTGGAGAAGGAGAAGCTCATCAGTCTAGAAAGCAAGCTGTCAAGAGCTGAGCAGCGTGCAGCCGACTATGCAGCTCTTCAGCTGCAGTACCAGGTAGGGACTGGATGATCTGTCTAGGGCACTGGGTGCAATGGGGCATGTCTGTATGAATTGCTGCCATGGAGGTCTAATATTGAGCTGTGAAGCAGAGGTGTTCCTGATGCTGCTGGTGATGCTGATCCTGTCGTTGCTACTGCTGCTGCTGCTGCGGCTGCTTCTTGTGTTACTTCTCGTGTTGTCTTATGGCATTGTGATTGTCACTGTGGTGTGTATATCATGGTGTGTTGCTGCCGTTGTTGTTGCTGCTGCTGCCGCTGCTGCTGCTGCTGCTGCTGTTGTCAATGCTGTTGTCAATGCTGCTGCTGCTTCTTGTGTTACTTTTCGTGTTGTCTTATGTCATGATGGCTGTCACTGTGGTGTGGATATCATGATGTGTTGCTGCTGCTGCTCCTGTTGTTGATAGGAGTTGCAAGATAAGCATCAGCAGTGGACGTCTGTGGACAAGTCTGGTCGGCCTCTGTACGTACTACTGCTGTGGAGAAGGGAGGGGGGGGGCAATTGGGGGATGGATGTGCAACTGGGGGGGGGGGGGGGGGGGGTACTGTACGTTGGGAGGGAAGTGGCAATGGTGTGCCGGGGGAAGGGGGGGGGGAGGGGTGGTGCTTCGGGATTGTTTACCGCGGACAGTTGCTCGGAATGATGAGAATCATCCCTTCCATCCTTTACTGCACTGATATCTGCAATGGAAGAAATGTTGTTCGAGTCTTGACAGGTACGTTCACTTGCCTGACCTGAGCAAGTTGACTTGTCTCTGCTTATGTGAGGGCATAGAGTCATGTGCACACTGGTTGTACAACACACCCGGTTACCCTCAGTCCAGCAGTGCATCTCAACCTTGATGCTCGGGCTTCTCTCCGTCATGATAGTCTCAACGGACAGGAGCGTGTACGTCCCAAACTTGGTAGAGCACCTGCGACTGTCACATCTGCTATCACCGCCGAGTGTGAGCTTGTGGCCTGGAGTCCACAACATCGAACTGGTGGCAAATACCAGGATTCTGGCGCATCTCGACCTTGATGCTCGGGCTTCTCTCCGTCATGATAGTCTCAACGGACAGGATTTCTTGGCACGTGGCTGGGACTCGCTTGAAGCCAAGCTTCTCCAGGGCAACGGAATGTGTAGTCTCGGTACACTGGACAATTTCGAAGTCGACAATGAGACTGGAATTCGTGTCCAGGAGCGTGTACGTCCCAAACTTGGCAGAGCACCTGCGACTGTCACATCTGCAATCACCGCCGAGTGTGAGCTTGTGGCCTGGAGTCCACAACATCGAACTGGTGGCAAATACCAGGATTCTGGTGCATCGACCTTGATGCTCTGGCTTCTCTCCGTCATGATAGTCTCAACGGACAGGATTTCCTGGCACCTGGCCAGGACTCACTTGAAGCCGAGCGTCTCCATGGCAATGGAACTTGTAGTCTCAGTACATTGAACAACTTCAAAGTCGACCATGAGACTGGAGTTCGTGTCCAGGAGCGTGTACGTCCCAAACTTAGCAGAACACACGCGACTGTCACATCTGCTATCACCGCCGAGTGTGAGCGTGTGGCCTAGAGTTGAGGGCATAGGGTTGTGTGCACACTGGCTGTACAACACACCCGAACACCCTCAGTCCAGCTGTTATGGAATTTCTCCCCACCCCCTGGTCCGCACACCACACAACCGTTCTCTGACTCATTTGGGTTTCAAGAATACTTCATCAAACACGAACTGACGGCGAAGAGAGCGGGGAAGAAAGACCACGAAATAATAAACAACCAACAGTTATAAACAGAGAAACGGCGAACACATCGAAACGACCAATGAGCGACTAGTACGTACGATACATGTGACTAGAACCAAGACAACAACATCGTGGACGAATCACACCACTCCCTCGTACCCGAACTCGACTCGCACAGCGCATGCTCCACATAATCCACGCATGCGCGACAACTAGTTAGACAAACGCACTCACTCAGGCAGAAGCAGATCCACACTCTCTGACAACGCATATACTACATACGCCGCGTCATACGCATCACACCCATATACTGCACACCCCGCATCACTCCCGTACAGACAGCAGACCATATTTGACACCGGACAAGACAAGACAGCGAGACCAGGAACAACAACGGATGTAAATAATAAGCGAATCGAATTTCGTAACACAGCCTCCCCCAACGGGAGGAGTCGACCACGACTCCTTACAGAGAATAGGGATTACTATGGAGAGAATTATGGTGAATTATGAATTATGGTGAAACTAGTTTATAAAATGTGTAGATCGTCCTCCACCATAACTTCAATGAGAGGTGTCATGGTGTTCCGGTGCTTGCTTGTTGTTGGTCCGTCTTCTTGGTACCTTGTCCCTTCACGTCCGGTGATGTTGTAGAACATGCTGGCTGGGTCCCGGAATGCTCGAGCCCTCGGAATAGGAAAATACAAGAGTAGAGGCAGAGCATGGCACACACATGATACAGCACAGAATTCCACCGCTCCTTGAGAGCATTGCTTCACCTTTTCCACTGTATGTGCAGCAGCACCACCACAGCTAGATGGCACACGATCGCAGGTATCCACTCCAGGAGTGGCTGCTGCTGCTGCTTTGTCCGGCAACCAGTGCACAGCTTACTGGCAATGCTCTTTGCGAAATGCCAGACATCAAACTGGTGGCAAATACCAGGATTCTGGCGCATCTCGACCTTGCCACTCGGGCTTCTGCCCGTCATGATAGTCTCAATGGACAGGACTTCCTGGCACTTGGCCAGGGCTCGCTTGAAGCCGAGCTTCTCCATGGCAACGGAACTTGTAGTGTAGTCGAATAAGGGACTACTAACTATATGTACAACTACTCTTTATACTACTGGTCTCAGAACACGCGTAAGGCTTTTATAATGGTTATAATTATCAAAGGAAAGAGACTGCACTATCACAACAGGACTGGACTGGGAGAACAGCACAAGGAGGTCTGGACTAGGAGAATAGCACAAAGAGGACTGGGAGGAGCACAAAGGACTGGGAGAAGCACACCCTGCGCAAGCGCAGCCTTCAGGGTATAACTAAAGCTATGGAGGGAAAAAGGGGTGCATGCAGAAAGTGGGAATTAGGGTGAGCGGGAAAAGCGGTGCATACATTAAGCGAGACAGGGTGAGCGGGAAAAGGGGTGCATGTAGTTAGTGAGGCAGGGTGAGCGGGAAAAGGGGTGTACGCAGTTAGTGAGGCAGGGTGAGCGGGAAAAGGGGTGCACGCAGTTAGTGATACAGGGTGAGCGGGAAACGGGGTCAGCAGGGAGTGCATGAATATGTTTAGGGGAGTGCATGAATATGTGTAGGGGAGTGCGTGAATATGTGTAGGGGAGTGCGTGAATATGTGTAGGGAAGTGTGTGCGTATGGGAGTATGTACGGGGCTCATACATTTACAACAGTAGTCTCAGCACACTGGACAATTTCGAAGTCGACAATGAGACTGGAGTTCGTGTCCAGGCGCGTGTACGTCCCAAACTTGGCAGAGCACCCGTGACTGTCACATCTGCTATCACCGCCGAGTGTGAGCTTGCGGCCTGGAGTCCACAAGAAAGATGCAGTTTCTTGGACAGGAGGGGCTGTGTGCAAAAGGGCTCTTGGCTGAAGTTGAACTATGGGCATTGCAATTTAAATTTTCTTTGCGCTTGCCGCTAAATGACTGGAACTAGCATTGATGGCGGATACAATGGCAGAGGATATCCGCAAATCAAGGCATTTGTGTTCAATTCAAGCATGCGGAATGCACCAGCCTTAAAGTAAGATTTTCACACGCATCTTCTCAGCCGCCCTAGCTGCCTGGATGACGGGAAAGGCAATTGATTTCTGGTACCTGTAGAATGAAGTTGAGCCGATGAAGTTCAACTTCAAGAAATTCGCAAATGCTGAGAACTTCTCAAAGCACCTGCCACAGAAGATAACCCCAGGTGAACTTTACCTTCAAGAAGTTCGTAAATGCTGAAAACTTCTCAAAGGATCCAGGTGCAGAAGATAATGGCAGACACCACAAGGCTGTAGCCTGTAGTGAAGAAAGCCAGAACATACCAACAATCCCCCCCCCCCCCCCCAGGTCTTGACTGATGTGACCAGGATATGTAACAGAACTGAAACAATGGAGAATTGACGTGCTATGGGGATGGAGGCGCTATGGGGGGGGGGGGGGGGGGGGAGGGGTGGATTTGGACATACAACGGGATATGGATGTGCAATTGATGTACATGCATTGTTGACGTAGTGAGTGTGTGTGGTGGATTTGGATATACAACGGGAGACGAATGTGCAACTGTGGGTGGACATGCAATGGATGTATTGTTGACGTAGTGAGTGTGTGTGTGTGGGGGGGGGGGGGGCAGACACATCGGGTTCAGGGCCCTAAGAATGTCGTTACTTCGAAGTTCAGAAGAACACCGCGACTAAGTTCACATTAGAAGAACTACTATTCACAACTCTATTTGTTAGTGACTGTGTTTGTATTGACACTGTAAAACATATAGATAAGAAAAACCTGTTATTGCGAATAAATACCATCCAGCCCTTGGTGTTCCAGGGTTCAAAGCCAAAGGGGGGGGGGGGGGCACAGCGGGTTTTCCTTTTTTCGGGATGTTGTAAGCCGCAGAGAAATGATCCATTTAGATTCAATCTGTCAAAGTTTGGGGTGTAGTTGAAGTTTTTGTTATGTCTGACGAAAGCATTGAACAGTCTCTGCTGGGATGACAGCTACACCATAGCTAAGGGCGCGTCCAGACTACTGATAAAAAGTGGCGGAATGGGAAAGTTTCCAAGGTGATTTGATCACGTGACGTCACTGGCACATTACCGGCGGAAATGTTTTACTGCTGCGGCAGGAACAACATTCCGGCCGTAAAAAAGGTGCTCAGGCTGGGAGTAAGGGAAAATCTCTTCTCAGTGCCGCGGCGAGAGCTGCACAACTTACGCAACGGTGACATTAGTTATCGGTAGTGCGAATGTCCTTCACGGTTTATCGCCATTCACGGTTTGACGGGGTTCTCGGTAGTCTGAACTCAGTGGTAGAGCATAACTGGCCTGCCACCATGAGCGAGGGTCCCTGGTCCGAGTCCTGGTGGTGACAGTCCATTGTTTTCTGACTTTCCCCGTTTCAACGCCCTCAGACTTGTGTGAATAGTTTAAAATGGTTAAACAAGCTACAATCCTGTTTGTGTGTGTGCTCTTGTGTGCGGGCGTGTGTGTACGTGTGCGGGCGTGTGTGTACGTGTACGTGTGTGCATGTCGGGTGGCGTAGGTCTCCCACGTCTGTTACACGCGAGCTGGCCGCTCTGCAGGAGCAGCAGCTGGTCTACATCGATCGGTGCAGCGTCCTGGACACTAAGTGAGTGGTTCACAAGAGTGTCTCGCTCAACACCTGTCTTCACCACACACCCCACACTACTCATATACCTGGCCTTTATTCGACAGTCAGCAGCCGTCTTCCAGTATCAGTCTCAGTTTGTGTGCATGCATGGTTTCCAGCCCGTATTTTGGCCAAAATTTAGTCCACCCTTCATCTCAGTCTCACTGTTGGCAGCCTTACGGCGAGCCAGGAGATGTTGTATAGATATTGAATAAAGACTTAGTCGGCTTCATCTCTTCGTGTGCTAAAAAAATAAAAAATAAGATGTGTCTGTCTGTTTGTCTATCTGTGTATGTTCTTGTAAGGTGCAAGTCGTACGAGAGTCAGCTGCAACATGGTCTAGCTAGACTGGAGAAGGTTGAAAAGGAACTGATTACAGAGAAGGTGAGCACCTGACCAATACCGATACCGTGATGTGTTGCTGGTACTGATGCTGATGGGTGTGCATGGCTGTTAGCCCTTGCTTGGGTGTGCATGACTGTTAGCAAGAGTCCATAACCCAAGAGTATGCAACTGTGATTATGCCTGCATGCGTGGCGCGCTGCCTTCATTACGTAACTTGCCTTCATCACGCTCTGAAAGCATGCATTCAAACTCTCAATTTCGCGCACGAGCCCATCCGTTTTTGCTCGATTCGTTCCAGTACCTACACGATCTCTGAATTCTGGCGCGTGAACTCCAGTTCCGTACGAAAGTTCATTTCAAACTGGAGGGAAAGTGCGGTGTTTGATTTTCCGCAGTGCGCGGACTGCAGCTGAATGATGTAATGAAGGCAGCGCGCCGCGCATCTGGCCCATAGAAAAGAGATCACAGTTGCATACTCTTGGGTTATGGACTCTTGCTGTTAGCCATTGCTTGGGTGTGCATGACTGTTAGCCATTGCTTGGATGTGCATGACTGTTAGCCCTTGCTTGGGTGTGCATGGCTGTTAGCCCTTGGTTGGGTGTGCATGGCTGTTAGCCCTTGCTTGGGTGTGCATGGCTGTTAGCCCTTGCTTGGGTGTGCATGGCTGTTAGCCCTTGCTTGTGTGTGCATGGCTGTTAGCCCTTGCTTGGGTGTGCATGGCTGTTAGCCCTTGCTTGGGTGTGCATGGCTGTTAGCCCTTGCTTGGGTGTGTGCGTGTGTGGTTGACTATAAAGAGGTTAAGCTGCACGGTATTTTTGACGTGACACGCAATTTCACGTCAAATGGGTCATCGAGCAATATCCAAGCAAAACTGCTTCCCAAGAAGAGCTGCAGTTGAGTGTATATTGTGAAATTCTGCTGTAGCTCTCCCTCTTCAAGGGTGGCGTGGCCAGGCGATAGCAGCTGTGTACAAGTCAAGGTGTGTGTGTGTGTGTGTGCATGTGTGTGCGTGTGTGTGTGTGTGTGTGTGTGCGTGTGTGTGTGTGTGCGTGTGTGTGCATGTGTGTGCGTGTGTGGGTGTGTGTGTGCATGCGTGCGTGCGCGCGCACGTGTTTGTGTGTGTGCAACTGCGCTTGTGCTCTGCAATACCAGGTGAGCCGGTTGGCAGCTGAGGACCAGGCTGCACGCAAGGAACGCCTGACATTGTTCCTGTCCAAGGTGGGTGTGGGTGTAGCAACCTTGCTGTCATGGCATCAGTCTCCCTCACTCACCGTCACAGTCATAATTTACACACATGCGCAAGAAACATTAGTCTTCCTCCTTTCTTTAAATAAAACAACAACAGTTTTAAAATCGGTGCCCCTGGTGGTTGCTAGGAACAGATCTCTTCCATTCATACTACAGTAGTTATGTACTCTATCTCTGGATATCTAGCTGTTTCCACTCCTTGCTAAGTCTCATCAGCAGAGCTCAGAGTCACTGGTCAAACTGATCGCACATTCGCGAATATAAATCGCCCCAAACTTTTCTGTACATTGATTGTAGATCACAGTGCAAGATCCGACTGAAGAGATGGAATCGCAAAAGTTTCTCATCGTGAACCAGCCCAATTTTTGGAAATCGCAATGTGATGCCCTATCTTGCTTCATGTTTCACAAGCTAACGTGTAGTGTTCGCCCCAGAAACCGTGCTACTCTCGGTGCATGCGTATGCAATCATCTGTCTGTATTTGTGTGTATAATTATGTTCGTGTGTGCGTATGTATATGGGCACGTGTGCAGGAACGCGATGGCCTGCGCAACATCCTCTCCTCGTACCAGCAGCTGGACAACCCGTCGGCGGAGTGTGTTGCACAGCTGCAGCTCAAGGAGGTACGGTGACATAGGCATACACATGGGCACTGTCAAATGAGAGAAACTTTCGCTAGAGATTAAATTTCGCTATTTTCGCGACCATCACACATTCACGAATATAAATCGCCCCAAACTTTTCTGTACATTCATTGTAGATCACAGTGCAAGATCCGACTGAAGAGATAGAATCGCAAAAGTTTCTCATCGTGAACCAGTCCAATTTATGAAAACGCTAAATTTGCGAGCCGCGAAAGTTTGTCGCTTTACAGTATGCCTTCAACTGGTTTTCATCATTTTACGAGAACTCTGGCAATACACCCGGTGAGAAGGCAGATATTGCCTGTGCCTATATGCTGAAGTAAAATGAAGCTACTGTAGAACGGCTAATTTTTAGCGGGTACAATTTTTAGCGCTTTCCGAATCTGGACCAATTCGACCAAAGCATTGTGGACGGGGATGCGCGAATACAGGAGACCGGAGGCTGTAACGTAAGGTTCCATGCACCTGGCCGTCATCAGCTAGGATGCTATGTGATGCTTGCCCAGTGTGTGAACTGCTTTCTCAAGGTTCACCGTTTCCTGTACAGTAAAACCTGTAAGTAAAGACCACCGTGAAGCAACCAGCCCGGTACTACAGACAACTTCGCCAGGCACGGACGGTCTCACATTCATATAATTATGGTTGTGCAGTGCAAACCTCTAACTAAGGACCACCTGCCACTAAAGACCACTTTCTCTGGCTGTAAGGGGTGGTCGTTAGTCACAGGTTTTACTGTATTTGTGTACTTGTGTATAACTTTCTGCTGTGCACTGTACTCTGCTGCCGTATTGAGCAGTCTTTCAAGCTGCCATAACTGGCCCAGGTTGCAGACCCAGATACGAACAAGAACTGACGTCATGAAACGCTAGCATCATATTAATTGAGAAGCAATCTCTCTCTCTCTCTCTCTCTCTCTCTCTCTCTCTCTCTCTCTCTCTCTCTCTCTCTCTCTCTCTCCCTTGTCTCCCTACGCCAGGCTACATGCAACATGGAGCGTTGTCAGGCATTGCTATCAGACCTACAAGCCGAAGCTGCTTCTCTTGACCAGAAGTTGTCAGCAGAGTGTCTATCAAGACTGCAGGTACTGTGTGTATACTCACACTGTACTGTGTGTGTTTTGCTCAATTTGAAGTGTCTCAGCTCATTGTACACTGTACATGTATATGTGCAGTATAACCTGTCAAGGAGACCACCTGCCTCAGAGGACCACTACCAATAGGACCAAGGCGTGTTACTGTCAGTCAAATGACCCTGCAGAAGGAGACCACCTGTACAGAGCGACCATATTTTGAAGGTCCCTTGAGCGGTCGCCTTAGACAGATTTCACTGTAGGTGTGCAGAGTGCAAACTCGGGTAGAGTGCAACTACTCCGGCGGCTTCACATGGGTCAGCATTGTATGCTCACCGGGTCATTTTTAGATCTATGCCTAATCTTACCGATGTGCTGCATGTGTTCGGGGAAGATACCTGCATTCCTGACCTGTGAATGGGTTCACTCTGTCTCTCTCTCTCTCTCTCTCTCTCTCTCTCTCTCTCTCTCTCTCTCTCTCTCTCTCTCTCTCTCTCTCTCTCTCTCTCTCTCTCTCTCTCTCTCTCTCTCTCTCTCTCTCTCTCTCTCTCTGACTGACTCACTCGCTCTCTCACTCACTCTTGTCGCAGCTACTGTGATATTGACCGGTGATGAAACTACTGTTATGATCATCATTGTATCTAATGGCAGGTGTGCCGTTGTCCTTGTTCTTGTTCAATTGCAGGCCGAAAAAGATGCTGAGCTTTGTCGCCTTCAGCTGCAGTCAGGCGTGAAAGCCTGTCTTGAACCGTCAGCCCCAGACTTTGCAGAGCTGCAGTCTCTCAGGTACATCATATTCTAGTCATGTGGTCATGTTGTAATACTGCACTGTCAGCATGCAGTCGCTGTGCTATAGTGTCTGTGATGTCTGTACTCTGTAGTGACCGTCCTGGTGTGTGTGTGTTCTGGGTTTAGGCTCGCTGTCCGTCATCTGGAAGAAGAACTAGCCATGGCAACAGCAGCGGTAACAGCTGTGAAGAAAGAGGAAGGTGTTTCAGTAAGTGATCTTGCTAACCATAGAGATGTTTTGAGAACGGATGTTCCTTTGCGTCCTACTGCAAGTCTACAAATTTTCGGCCCATTCAAATTTCGGCCTCCCAGGGCTAAAACACATTTCGGCCGCATTAAATTTTCCGCCTAAACTGCTGCTGCTGCCTGTATTCACTGTACCACTAAACATTGCAAAACAAAATTTCAGCCGCAACAAATTTTTCGGCCAGATATGCCCAAGCCGAAATTAAAGGGGCACTCCGGGAATATTTTCGGTGGTGTGTTCTCTTCATGGGTGCCTTGTATGGCCCCCAAGGAATGGGGAATCGCGAAAACTAGACCCAAAAAGTCGATATATGAAGCCAGGGAGGGCCAAGTTTGTCTCCTCTTTTGATGGTTTTGATGACGTCACGTGTGATTAGTATTCAAATTCTCTGCATTTGAAGATCTTAGTTGTTTGAATTTTCTGGTGATGAAGAACGATGTTTGGTCGACATTCCCAAGCTTCACAACTGCGGACCTACTCTAAGGAACCTGAAGGACCCTCTGAGGTGCCCCTGGTAGAAGCGCAGCCTGATGAGGGCCAGGAGATTGGAGCGGACGACTTCACTGGTCCGCGTACGAGGATCCCGAAATTCTCTATATGTCGTGAGGCATATGGTCAGAACAGTTTTTTTAGACAAGCTGACACGAAGTCGGGGTGATGTGTAACGCACGTCAAAGGGCTGTCAATGCTAACAGCTGCAGCGCTCTCTCGACAGCGAAGGTAATCGACTGCCCTCTGCATCACCCCACATTTCTGGCAGGAACACCAATCGTTATTTCCTTGTCGACCAGTGAAGTCGTCCGCTCCAATTTCCTGGCCGTCATCAGGCTGCGCTTCTACCAGTGGCACCTCAGGAGGTCCTTCAGGTTCCTTAGAGTATGGTCGCAGTTGTGAAGCTTGGGAATGTTGACCAAACATCGTTCTTCATCACCAGAAAATTCAAACAACTAAGATCTTCAAATGCAGAGAATTTGAATACTAATCACACGTGACGTCATCAAAACCATCAAAAGAGGAGACAAACTTGGCCCTCCCTAGCTTCATATATCGACTTTTTGGGCCTAGTTTTCGCGATTCCCCATTCCTTGGGGGCCATATAAGGCCCCCATGAAGAGAACACACCACCGAAAATATTCCCGGAGTGCCCCTTTAATAGGGCTTGAAAGTGATGACGTCAAAACGGCAAGGGAGTAGTAAGTTGACATCAGATTTCTATTTTTGGATCCACTAAGGTGTGACTTTGCTATTGCCTCAGTATGTGGGTGCATAGCAACCCACTCATGTCGCATGCAGGTGTGACTTTTATTTCGCCACCAGTTGTAACCCCGCCCCCGTAGCCAAATCAGTCAGCTTCACTGGCTACATCACCATGCTGTGGGTAAGACCGCTTGAAATGTGCTTGGATCCATACAAAAACTGGATCCAAGTGGATCCAGTTTTTGAATTTTTGAAATTGTTGCTATGCTGTGACGTAGCACTTTCAAGCCCTATTATGCGCCGAATATTTGTTTACTTTTCTACAGTATCAAGAATGTTTAACGAGTTTACAGTTATTCTTCCACCTAGCTAAAGTGCTTATATGAGGTGACCAGCGAAGCGAGGGACAACAACTCTCTCTCTCTCTCTTTCTCTCTCTCTCTCTCTCTCTCTCTCTCTCTCTCTCTCTCTCTCTCTCTCTCTCTCTCTCTCTCTCTCTCTCTGTATATACATGCACTGTGCAGAGTGATGGGAAGTACGCTGTACTGCACTTTGACGACAACCCCCTGCGTCGCAGTCGAGACAAGCTGAAACAGACACAGGCATTGGAGGCAGCGTCCGACTCTCATGAAGAACTAAAAGGTGAGCGAATTACACGGTTGTTCAGTATCCTAATACTGTATAAGCAGAACTATTCGTGTGGAATTTTAATTTCGTCTTTTTCGTCCAAGGAGCTTTTGAACTAAATTAAATGCCGGACGAATATCGATTTGTCCAGCTTTTCAATACACTCTTGTGATCCATAGACGAAATTTTTAACCGGACAAACTCCCTTTCTTTGGAGTTGGACGAAATTATTGACCGCCGAAATGTTATGCCTGTACAGTAGATGATAAGAATTACTATTTGTTTGCGGGGAAGTTGCAAACGGGGAATGTCTGTGAAGCATGACTGTCACCGCCAGGACTCGAACCAGGGACCCTCGCTTATGGCCAGCGATGCTCTACCACTAAGCTATGGTGTAATCGTCATCCAAGCAGCGACCGTTCAACACTTTCTTTAGACTTTGAAACATGATCAGTAAGAATTACTATTAGTCGCCCATCCGTGGGGTTTTTGCATCGGCAGAGGAACAGCATCACTGCAGGTACTGCCAAAATGAACAACTGATAGCAAACGAAAAAGCAAGGGCATGGATGTGCGTAATATTCAGTTCCCTTGTTCATATCTGTTAGAATGTGCTTGATTGTTCTGTATCACACACAGCACTTCAAGATGCACTGGCGGAAGAGAAGAAGATGCGCCAGCGAATGGAAGAGGTAAGAGACTCTCAACCTCACCGTCCAATCTCTCCCCCCCCCCCCCCCCGTGTGTGTGTGTCTCTCTCTCTCTCCCCCCCCCCCCCTTCTCTTTTTCTCTCTCCCTAATCATCTGTTGTATCAGTGATGTGGTGTATTGTTGGTAGTTTTTGGTTGTGCTGCAAGTACATGACATATAGAACGGTGGATGGGTTACCTGTGTCTGTGTGCACTGTTCTGGTGACTGTCGAATGGCGGTCAACACACACACACACGCACCATCACACGCTCTACATGTATCTCACTGCAAATCCATCTCCGTGTTCTGGTGTCCATACTATTTTTGATTGCTGACTATGTGGCAGGTCGGTCGTCGTAAGATCACGGAGCTCCGCTCGGCGTACAAGGTGTTCCTCGGCTGGAAGCTGGACTCACTCCGCCACGGCCAATTTGAGCTGCGGTCCGTGTATCGCTCCGGAAGCGATGACGTGCTGCGTATTGAGGTGAGGACAAAGAGTCTATCGAACCGACAGTGTGAAATGCCCCCGAGTACACGGCTCTATGTACTGGTGTCTTGACTTTAGACCATATACAGTGTGTACACAGAGGGTGTAACGAGGTTCAGTTGTTACTCAGGTTTTCGTGCTGAGTGCAATCCTACTCATACGGGCCTGCATCATGCAAACTCTAAATACGAACACGGAATCTTGTTCCAGCTCTCTGTGATGGGAATGGTCTTAGAGACCGGGTCTCCCATTTCCTTTGGCTTTCGAATCTCATTTTGACATACCTTGCACTCTTTCCGCATGCCTTGTGTCATAATACCCAAATGATGATCGAGCACTCTCATACTCCTTATTTAGCATGGCCTTGTCTTGGTGGAGACAGTGTGGACTTCTGTAGCCTTGCTCATGCATTGTGAATGGCGCACTCCGCTGCTCTGTAGACCACGCTGGATCACGTATGGGTTAGTTCCCCCTGGGCAAACATATTGACACATGAGATCACAGTACATGTAATTGTTACAAAGGTCCAACTGCACCAGAACCTATATAGGCAGCGTGGAGATAGTAATCTTAGTATAGCCATTAACAATATTATTATAATAATCACACGCGGCAACCAACCAAGTTTTCAGCAGTATTAATTTTGGTGGCGAGTCCATATTCTTTTCTGCTATCTCCAGTTTCTCCATTTATGTCTCGCGCTTTCAAAGTTGGCCCATCTGTATTTGCGCACTATCCATGCGCTCTCATAAATTGATAATCCACTCATGGCCTTCTCGTAGTGTTAAATGTGCCAGACTCGAGGTCGTCGTGTCTAGAGGAAACGAAGACCATGCTCTCCGAAGCTGAAATTTTCACTTTGCACTCGTATGGGTTTTTAAATACAGCCTCAGAACTCACATGTGTGTGTGTTTTTTTGTGCGTGCGTGTATGTGTGTGTGTGTGTGTGTGTGTGTGTGTGTGTGTGTGTGTGTGTGTGTGTGTGTGTGTGTGTGTGTGTGTGTGTGTGTGTGTGTGTGTGTGTGTGTGTGTTTCCAATCTCAGCGCAATGCGGCCGGTGGTCTGGGCCTGCAGCCAACACCCCTGGCTACGGAGATGTCATCCTACATCACCCAGTACTTAGCTAATGGCGACTCGTGGCCTTGCTTTCTGGCAGCCACATCTCTGCATCTAGCACGCCACCGCTCGACCTAGACTCCACACCGTTATCAGTTCGAGACACATATGCGTGCGTTCGTGTGTGTGTGTGTGTTTGCGTGTGTGTGTCCGCGCACGTGTGAGAGAGAGAGAGAGAGAGAGAGAGAGAGAGAGAGAGAGAGAGAGAGAGAGAGAGAGAGAGAGAGAGAGAGGGAGGGAGGGAGAGACTGCTTCCTTGTACTAACATTGTATGAGGTTGTGTGAGCTTGCTACCTTTTTTCAGTTTTGCTTTTTAGTATCCAGTGTGTATAATTATTTTCTGGACACTTTTTTACTTGTTGGGTGTGTGTATGTGTGCATGTATGCTCGTATCTACATACGTCTGTGCATGTGTTCTTTGATTTAAATTTAAAAAAGTATTCTATCACTGCGGACAGTTCCTTTCTGCCCCAGTGTGTTGCAGGGTTTTTAGGGTATCGATTCACTAACTGTGCAAACTGCGAATGTTCACTGTGGTTGAAGTTGAGCTATGCACAAGTCTCACCGCTTTGTAACATTTGAGAATTTTTTTGTTGAGGAACGAAAAATTGCATGCTGAAATATTACTTATTATTTTGTGATTGCCAGTACTGTAGGCCCTCTTTCAAGCCTTTCACCCGTAGCTCCCGTATGGGGAGAGAAGGGGGGGGGGGGGGTAGCATACTGTAAAACCGGGAATTTTCGGTGGTGTGATATTTTTGGTATTTCCCAAGGCCAACGCCGGCTCGGTAGCGTGGAAAGTTCGGTGAGCCAGTTTTCCAGGTCCAAAATTGCATTTTGCACACTGTGTCACTATAGCTGTGTGGCATGCTGGTGGCATGGAATTATTTTAGGTTACGTTTTTAGGGTACCGGTACCGCGTACCGAAATATCACAATCATGTATCTCCACCGAAATGTTCCGGTTTTACTGTGAAAAATTAATGCAAAAAATCTGTGCAAACTTTAGCAAATTTAGGTCTGCGCCGCGCGCGCCTGGTAAGGGGGCGCGCGAATCGGGCCACTTCCTGGTCACAACGGACACTTCGGCAATGATTACTTTACACTTCGTTACAGTTAGAAAGATTCGGCAGACTACATATGAACAAGAAATAAGTACAGGGGCAAGGAGCCATAAAAAGGTGCTTCGGCAAGGGCCAATTAAAAACCAGAGAGATTGACTCTGTCCCTCCAGGAAATCGCGATTCCACGGATGCAACAAATTTCGCGATTTTGACCCAAGCCCGCGATTTTCAGCAAAATCCGCGATTTCCCGCGTTTTTATGTTGTTTTCTGCACTATATCTCACATTTCTATGCACTTTTCACGCAGTGCTTTCCATGATCCTGTAGGTTATTTGCACAGCACGACTCGTACTAATCCCAAGTAGATATACGATGCAACAAATTTCGTGATTTTGGCCCAAACCCGCAATTTTCTGCAAATACTTCCGCGAATTCCTGGCAAGTTCTGCATCATTCCGCACTTTTCGTCACATTTTTTGTTGTTTTCTGCCGCAATTTCTTGCGCAAGTTTTCGAGAGTTCTTTCCGCAAATTCCCGCAGGGACAGGATTGTCAGGAAGAGAAAGGCAAGGCATACGCGTACGGTACGCTAATATGCTAACGTAGATCTACGCTAAAGCCAGTGCACCACGCGCACGTGCAGTGCTTCCAAAAACATTGCGGAAAAGTGCAGCGCGTGGGCAGCACAAAAGCCACGTGGGTGACTGTGAGAATAGACCAATCCCGAAAAGATTGTCTGGGTTCGAAAGGGGGCATGTCAACTGAGAGTACACTGTACCACATGGTACCAGGGAGTCGTAAAATATTATGGTATTTTACGACTCCCTGCACTGTACAACACATACATGGCACTACCTGATCAGCATGCGGCACAGGACGTGTTTGATAGTTCGCGTGTGAATGCGAGGGTAAGTACACGGTTTTCTCGTTAGTTGCATGCAAGAGAGACGATGCGACAAAAAGCAAAGCCCTTTGTAGTTTTCTCTCTCGCACTGGTAATGGTCTGCTGTTGGAGTTGAAATGCTAAGACATAATCCTTGTTTCGCTCTTCTGTGTAGTGTGAAGAGGTCAACGAACATGACGAGCTCACTTTGATGAAGTAGGCAAGGCTGTGAGCGCTGTGGCTCAAAGCGATAGGCCCTAAATGTTACGAGATATTTCGAGTGCTATTGTTTGTTGCGAGCGCTCCGTCTTCGATGAGTTCTGCCTCTTTCCTGGCAGCATACGACCAACCACGAAGTGACTGTACTCATCTGCAGCCGATCAGTGTTATATTGCACAAGAAGATATCGTTTTCGCCAAGCCAGTGCCCCGCCAAAGACCATCGCCGTGTCACACCGTCGGAACGAGTTCATGATGAGAAACATCATTCGCGCGAGCGTGATGAAGAACTATTTCGAAAGACAACATAGTCTTTACCCCCGAGACGACAACTATGCGCACGTCCTGCAAGGGGAGAATGTCACCAGCGACATCAACGAAGACGACGGCAGTATTTCGGATACCTGGAGTCAGCGGAGGTCGTCAAGCTCCTCCGCGACCCGGTACATGTACAATACAATAGGTGACATGTCGACACCAGCTTGCGGAAACACAGCATACCAGGTACACTGTAGTAATATTGCAAGAGTTTGCGGAAGGAGTCCAAGTCGGGAAATCCATCAGCTCCAAAAGCTACCTGTAGGTGGGCGATGAGAGTCCAGCTTCAGGCTACAACAGTCAGGACTTTGTAAATAGTTGAACTTTGTGAAGCGGCAGATCGAGTTAGTTTGCTGAAATCGTAGCCTGTTGCAGTATGTCGGCGCTATGTAGCTTGCATTTTTACGGAGAGTCCATCGCCACGCGAATGTTTCTCTCCTCACCGAGAGCTTGCTGGCCTCCAAACTCCGTCAGGGTCTGCCTAAGGTACCGAAGGTCCTTTGACTAGCTGCTGGCAGGACTCCATCAAATCCTTTAGCTTCAGCTCGGCGAGCAAAAGTCTCTCTCTCCTCCGCCATGAGCTGACACACACAAACTGAATACAAAACGATGCACTTCACACGTGCTGGCTTGCACGCGTGCCCCCTTTCACGAACCCAGACAATCTTTTCGGGATTGGTCTATTATGACGTAGCAAGTCGTAGCACGACAAAACTGCAAAGTCTGTTCATGTTCGAACCAGGGAGTCGTAAAATACGACTCCCTGGTTCGAACCAGGGAGTCGTAAAATTTTTACGACTCTCTAGTTCGAACGTTCACATGATCACGTGCACACTCGACTCGATCATGTCCATGCGCTCGAGCGCTCCACGAGCCGGTTGCTACGGGTGAGCGTGGGCATGCGCTGATCTGTACGCGACGACGACATTATGCTGTACATGTACAGTCATGTACATGTACATGACTTGTGCAGTACATGATTGTACATGTGCAGTGCAGCGTGACTTGGCACAAAGTATTCGCAGCAAAAATTTCACGCAAAAAACTACTGCGACACAACGTTTTGTCACGAAACAACAGCTGTCTCCTTATCTTGAATCGAAGACACTGTCAAGTGTCAATGGACGAAAGAAACTCTTCCTTCCGATCGCTGCATACTATTACGCTTGTCTTGACTCTTTTACACTTTCTAAATTTGCTATCTACGCGGTGACCAGCCTGTACTGCTCTCTACCTTTTAGGCTGACCCTAATCTAGAGTAGGACGGTTATGGAACCTGTGTCGAACTTCGGGCACTCCCGCACCCGTATGGACGATGTTGAGCAATCCACTCATCAGAGCGAAGGCGTCGAGAACCCTGCGGAGCTGAACAGGTTCCAAAGTGTGCCCAAGATCAACCAGTCCTCGTATCAACTTGCGGCAAGCTCACAGCCGGCAAGCGTGGTAAGTAACTGCCTAGAAATAGTATTACTAGTCTGAGCTGTCCTGTGGCATTAGCCTTTCCAATTATTTTGGAGGGATTTTATGTGAAGCCTCGCCGACTACCGGTATAGCGACAATCTGCCTTAAGGCTGTGGAAGACAGCTACGATCGTCCTGTCAGTACAGTGTCTTAGTCCTGCTGACCACAGATATCATTACCGGTGTGATCAGAGACAAAAATAATCATCTCAAATGATGGTGATGTGACACACCTAAACTAAAGTGAACACCCTGTCTACCATGGTCTACAGTTGCCCCCAGATCATGCCCATGATTTGTGCGTGTACGCAGGTTTAGTCGGGTTTAGGGAACTTCCTATGCCCACGTGGAACTATGTTCATGCGTGTCTGGGCAGGAGTATGTCCGCATTACGTATCGACCAACCGTAGGCTGAGGTGTGTTCGCGCGTGTGTTCGCGCGCGCATGTGTGTGTCTTTGTGCATACGCAGATGTGTGTGTGTGTGTGTGTGTGTGTGTGTGTGTGCGAGGATGTGTGCGTCCGTCGAGTTGCACATGGGCACACACATACGCGCGCACACGCACACACGAACATACATCAGGCACGGAGCCAGCTCCTGAGGGGTAGTACGGCCCAGCTAAACTACAAGGCCGACCATTCCCCATGCCAAGTACCGTTCGGATCCGTACGACAGTAGAGTCACAGTAGAGTCACCAGGAACGTCGTTTCCAAGGGATCAGGCTGAGGTATTCTTAACTTTTCCACGCTCTTCTAACGTGTTGGACACACACCACACTGGGCGTTTTATACACATTGTTTTCGGCATTCATGTGAAAGAGGAAGGACAAAAATGTTACGGGTTTTGACCAGCAGTCCACCAGAGTAAGATAGTATTGGCTCACTGTCCGATGTTCTGGCATTCTTCGTGTTTCAGCGTAGCTGTTCTGGGTCTCCTCGTTCTTCGATGCTTGTGCTCCGCATTGTGTGTATGGTCTGTGTGCATACTGGGACTTGCTAATGACTAATGTACTGTAAAAGCCATACATATATAACGAAGTGCTAACTCTAACGAGTTAATGAGGAGAAATCTGTCGTTAAAATAGAAATCGTTATACAGAAATCGATACATATACTGTCTTATTGAGCGTTGAGAATAAGTGAGAGTCGTTACCTTTGGTACACGTAAACCAGTCAATTATTTGGGGAAAACGTTTTATCTGCGCCTCGTTAGAATAATGCCTTGTACAGTAGTGTAGGTATACACCCATACCTTGGTTATCCGGACCCCGACGTTACGGGCACTTCCATCTACCGGGTACCCTTTGGGCCAGATTCAGTGGAAATATTACTACTCTTTTGTCACTTTTTGTGGAAACAGTGATGTCACATGCCGTATCTATGGTATTTCCCTATATGTGAATGTAGGTTTGCAGCGTACGGCAAACCGTAGTTATCGCTGACAACCGAGCAGCAGGTAAAAGCCACGCGCGTGGCTAGGCGCGCAACAATGGGGGGTGTCTGGCATGCAATGGCGGGCAGCCGTACTGGGGAAAGCCCAGGCCGCACCATGAGTACGAGTACGCCCATATGCGCAGGCGAGACTACCCCATATTTGCATAAAGGTATCAGCGCTACTATATATGTACTAATGCAATGTTTACTACAAGCAAGGCTCATGGCGCCTAATCTCTATATTAGGAAGCAGTTCCTTTCATGGCACGAAAGGACTCCAGCGCACGTACTATTAACTGAGTATGCAAGATAGAACAGGCGGTGTGGCGGAGCAAAACATACCACGTATGGAAGAGGCGAAGTCCCCGGATGCCGCCCGGTCCACAATGACAGACACCGCCATGCTTATATGGCAAATAAGGCACGTGAGCCCACCAGGTAAGGCGGGCCGCATAAGCACGTGGCAAGCGCAAATAGTGTAAGACGTACCCACGAGGCCACAACGCGAGAGTACGATGCCGGATCAACGCAGGGCGGACCAAGGTGTGGTAGTGCCACAGCACGAGGCACCTCAGCAGTTGGAGGTGGCGAACGCAGGGACAACATCAATATTGGCAGCTAGCAGCAGCAGATAGGCATGATTTTTTTTCTTCTTCAAGACTAGCAACGAGGAGCAGCTGGCAACCCTCGTTTCACTCATGATTGCTTAATCACATGGCAAAAACAACAGAAATGCAACCCCATTCTATGGTGCTATGATGTGTGTGTCTCGGGGGGAGGTGCGATAATTCGGAGTTACGGACATTTCAAAGTTACGGACAGTGCTCGGTCCTGGACCGCCCGGATAAACTAGGTATGAGTGTGGACGACGTCGTTCGGCTTTGCGCGTAATGTATGTGTCCACTGCCTGGATATCAAGTAGAGGTGCACTCGGTGAAATCCAACCCAGAGTGCAAAACTGACACACTGGACCAGTTCCAATTACATCACTGTGTTTGTACATGTGTACGTCCAGCCGTATTCGTACCACTTGCAGGACCAGGTCAAGGGACATGCAATTTTTTTATTATTATTTATAAGGGCGCCAAACATGCACTTCAGGTCGGTTTTCACCGAGCACAGCTGTAGTGTTTGTTACGTCTGCCCAGGGGGTTAACATTGTTTCTGTCCTCTCCATTCCTGTGATGCTGACGTGCCTTGCAGAGTATAGGAGTGGATCAAGAGGACTTGGGAGGTGCCAGCACTAGGTAAGCCGGCCCGACTCGGTCCATTGTTGTTAAACCGCCCGCCCGCGTGCACGCACACACACACACCTACTGACCTCCACCGGAAAAGAATCGACTCCCCCCCCCCCCCCCCACACACACACACCGTTCGCTTGGCATTGATCGGCCAGACCTGCAAACCGCCGTTCCTTCCGTAAGTCACTGATGCTAAATTTGTTCTCAGCACAAACTTTCAACTCCATCAAAGAATACAATGACTCATAGAGTAGGGAACTAGGTGTAATGGTGATCCTGACGCCACTGGCTTCATCGTTCTTGCCCCTTTTAGAGCTTGCTGTTTTATTGGACTATTTTTGTCTTTCTTCAGCGGTCCCGGATCTCTCTTTTCTAACCGTCTGCTCCACCAGTACAGCAGCTTGGACTCACCGGCACATGTGTAAGCCTAGTATTAGGGATGCTGTTGCTGCTGCTGATGCTACTGTAGCTGCTGCTGATGCTGCTGCTGCTCATGCAGCTGCTGCTCATGCAGCTGCTGCTCATGCTGCTGCTGCTCATGCAGCTGCTGCTCATGCTGCTGCTGCTCATGCAGCTGCTGCTCATGCTGCTGCTGCTCATGCTGCTGCTGCTACTGCTGCTCCTCCTTGTGATGGTAATGCCTAATGGTGGTGGTCATCTATCTTCGTTGTGGTCATCGTGTTGGTGGTTGTGGTGGCGTCACTGCCGCCGTTGCTGCTGCTGCTGGTGCTGCTGCTGGTGTTGGTGTTGGTGCTGCTGCTGGTGCGGTTGCTGGTGCTGTTGCTGCTGATGCAGCACTATACTTGGAGTGATGGAGATGAGGCAGAGCTTCTGCAGTCCGATCTTGATGCCAAAATTGACGTAAATGGTGAACTGCGCCATCCCTGCCACTGTTTACAGTTACCTGCTCCCAGGTTAATGTACTCTTGCTTGGACTGACAGTACTGGTTGTGATGGTTGTGGCAGCTATGACTGTTGTGATGGGATTGGGGGCATGTGACTTGTGTCACTGATACTGGCCAGGTTTCGGACGGCAGCGTAAACTCTCTCTATCTCTCTCTCTCTCTCTCTCTCTCTCTCTCTCTCTCTCTCTCTCTCTCTCTCGCTCTCTCCCCCCCCCCCCCCTCTCGCTCTCTCTCTTCCTCATCCGTCTCTTCTACCCCAGACCACGGCAGCGGCGTTGGTATGAGCACCCAGGTCTGGTGGAGAACCGGAAAGTTGTTATCAGCTCCATCCTCTTCCTGTTTTTCGGCGCCGGTGAGTTTCCCTTCTGATACCACTGTGTCTGTTTTGTGTACGTGTTAGCACTTGTATCCTACCAGTGGGGGTTTTCCCTTCTCTATACACCACATGCCCAAAGTCCTACTCAAAGTGACGTCAGCCGTGCACGTTTTCTGGACGAAATGGGCGCTTTTCGGGAGACGTTTTCTCTATTTCTGGTGCTTTGCAGATCTAAAAAGTAAAAACCGTGCAGCACACACACCTCTTCCTACAGGCGTGTACTCGCCTTGTACACGTGGTGCTCGATACATGCTGTGCTGCTCGAAGAAATCCGATCAAGAGAGTGAATGCCACGCCGTGTGCTGTGCATCCCTAGACCTGCGGATACTGGGTTGTGAAATGGTGCAGGGGATCGCACGCTTGATGCACGGGATCAGATCTCATTGTCAATGTGAGCATCACTGTAACAAGTTACTTGACGTAGTAGCTCCAGAGCAGGCACGCTACACATGCAGTGCGTGTGTCAAGCTCGCACGCTCCAATTCCGCCGTTCACAGTTTCACACGATACTCAGTCTCAGCAAGCATGCCGTGTGTTAGCTCTCGTATGAACGTCTGCTCACCTTCACTGCGCTTGCGGCCATGGTGAAAGTGGGAAGACGTTGGCAGCAGAATGACCATGTGGCATGCCTGTGAGGGCTTCAATACTCTTCTCACCTAATGAAAGATGTTGTTTCTTGTCCTGTGTGGGTGTCCAACCTGTGTTGTTTTGCAGCTGCGTTGATCACTGGCTGTGTTCTGGAGGCATATCCGAAGTGTAAGTGTTCAACGGCCCGCCTCGTGGGACCACCACTTGTTTATGCTGCGTCATGACAAACTAAACCACGGTTGCTTGCTACATTTCTTCTTACCAAGTTATGGGATCTGAAGGTTCGTGAGATAAAAAGTGGACCTGGTATCTCTTCACCGATTGTGTGGCTTTGCCAAGCTTATTGTCTGAGTTACTTCGAACGGTACAATAGGTTCGTCCTGAATGCAACCCAAAGCGTATGCACCTGATTATTGTAGGCAAAATTGATATTCCTGCCAGGTTTCACTGCAAAATAATAAACCTACTCTTGCTGCTCAAGCCTCGAGGCCGGAGCAAGCAGAACATGTTCTGGCCAATCCAAACAGTCGCAGTCCCAACCAAAGTGCGCTGTTCTGGTGGATCCTGTTCTAGGCTGTATAGTCAAGTTTGCGTATAACGACACTCGGCGGGGCGTCAGAAACGTGTCCTGATACCCGAAGTCTCATTATATGTATTACAGTTAGATGGGACTTTGCTCTGGGCATGGAAATTCTGTCGCTATTCGCAAACTGTCGTTATATCCGCAGTCGTTATTAGCGAAGTTGACCGTAGCAACCAACCCAGCGTACCCCTAGCCTAAGTGTGAGTGAACCATGTACAGTCGAAACCTGGTAAGACGTACCCACAAGAGTCACAAGAGTCTCAAGAGAACATCGAAAAGGGCTTACTACTCCTGGCTGATGTACTTACTACGCCACGGCACACGATGAAAACCTTGGGCAAATTCCGTTGTGACTCAGAGTTTCATGGCTGAACCAAGCATCACACAACGATAATGGAATAGGAGGCAGCGCTGGTATATCTAAGTGGAGAGAGGTGTGATAATACGATAGCAGGAGTAATCGGCTGATCGCGTGAATGTATGCCCACTGCCTCTGTACTTACTGCACCTGTGCTGCAATCAAGTGTGCCAATTTTTCATCAACTGCAAACCGTCCGTGCTGTACTTCTTACACGCCCCGTGCGTACTAATGTTTTAAGCCGTTTTGACTGCATTTGCATGTCTTGTGTCTTATGAACTGTAGTCGAACAAGCAACACTGGATGGTGTGATTCTCATCGTTGTTGGCATCATCCTTCTAATACCCGGGTGTAAGTCTGTTTCTCTTTCTCTGTCTCTCTCTCTGTCTCTCTCTCTCTCTCTCTCTCTCTCTCTCTCTCTCTCTCTCTCTCTCTCTCTCTCTCTCTCTCTCTCTCTCTCTGCATTTTTTTTTCGGTTAGACTTGCCTCTCTCTATAAATGTTAACTTTCTCTCTTCTCTCTCTCTCTCTCTCTCTCTCTCTCTCTCTCTCTCTCTCTCTCTCTCTCTGCTGGGGTCTCTCTCTCTCTCTCTCTCTCTCTCTCTCTCTCTTGTGTTACATGTGTGCAGGCTACTTTGTCTTCTACATCATAATGGCATCACGAGGGAAACCTGGCTATGATTTCCAGCGACTGACCAATCTGGCCCACTGAGATAGGTGCAGTTGCTGCCTCTAGGTTATCTGCATGCACCGGACGGAGTTCACGCACACGCGGGTGCTCCATCGACGGCATTCTTCTCCCTGCGCTTGCTATGCATCCCTAGCAATCGCAAGCCTAGCAAGCCCAGGCCAGTGCATCTATGCTGGAAAGTATTATGTTACATGCCTCAGCAGCAGCAGGAAGGGTGATGATTGCGCATGTGGTTGTGTTCGAAGTCGTCTTTGGTGATCAACGCTGGTGCTACCTTTGCACGTCTTCGCAGATGTACGTGTGGAGTTGCACTATTGCCGGTCGTCTGTGGCCTTCGGAAAAGAGAGTACGCTTAACTCTGTCTTGTCTGGTGTTTGTTTCTTCTTCGGCACGTGAACAATTCTGCTGAGTGCGGTGCTGCCTTGAAACTTTGAAAGTGAAATACCAAACTCTATCGCCATGCAGGTATTTGTATAATGATAGTGATAACAACATGTTGAAGCGTTGCTCTATGCAGCGGTGTTACTAGTTACACTCGTCATCCGTATCTGTCCACCATCACCAGCCCGTGTCCGGCTATGCAATGCCGCCGCTTGGGCACTGGGCTTTCCTGGTGGAGAGCAACAACACGGCCTGCTGAATACGGCAGCACCGTGTCCACTGGGTGTGGCTGGTGTCACTGCTGCCGCTGTGCGCGCCAGTCGCCTGTTGTGCATTTTCTCATGCAGATGAACGTATGGCCCGGTCTATTGTGGCCGCATCTGCCTCTCTCTCTCTCTCTCTCTCTCTCTCTCTCTCTCTCTCTCTCTCTCTCTCTCTCTCCCTCTCTCTCTCTCTCTCCCATTGACATCATTGCATGATATCTATTCGGATTCCTCTCCACTAGACAGCTGTCTTCGCTACCCATGTCTTGGGTGTCAGTTTCTCAAGAATTCATTCAGTTTTGTTTTTACTCCATATGTTACCTACTCTAGATCTCCTCTCATAGCTACTGATAATGTTGATTTGTATGCCAAGCTGCAGACTTGTCGCCTGCTGTCTTTTTTTTAATAATCCTGGCCAAAAACATGATGGTGGCACTGCGGTAGTGATGTGCATGAGTCATATTTTTTACGAATCTTACTTACGACCCCTGGTTGTGTCATCGCTTTATCATTGCATTTTCCGTTGAACGGGTTCTGTTTAATACCGTATTTTAACCAAAAAGAAACCTCGCAGTGGCATTATATCAGATTCTAGTAATGCTGTTCAAACTTTTTACTGAAACACAGTGATGCTTTTAATCTTGTAGTTCTACTCGCGCCGCGTACTGTGTCTGTGGTATCGATTTTTATTCGTTTTTATTGCTTTTGCAGCACACCGTCATGTGTATTCCGCAGTGTGCATACATGGCATGTGTTGTTGTGTGTTTATCTTATCGGTGACGACGATGACCAACGAGTGTCACGAGAATACGTTTCACCAGTACTACCGGTACTGTACAATACTAAACCATGGTTTTTCCCTATTAAATCCCAGAAAACTTCGATTTGCATGTGTGTGGTGTGTGTGTATGTTCAATTGGCACGACGAGAGAGCCATCTACGGCACACACACCTCAGACCTCAGACATGCCCATCGCGGAAGCGATGATAGCGAACAGCTATGTTAAACATAGCAACTTGTGCACACACACACACACCTTTACACAGTAAACACACACACACAGTACAGACAGTCACACACACACATACAAACACGTGCACACACACAAGCCTGTAACTGTACATCAGGGAGTCGTCATTTGACGACTCCCTGCTGTACATGTACTGTATACTCTGACGTCATGACGTTAAAGTCGTTATGATGCATGTGCACGCCTTGGCGGCTGTGCACCGACAGACTCAGTGTCAATGTCAAAGGTTGAAGCGGATTTTTCTTTCCATTTGCTGTTTGGAATACATTTTTCTGTTTCCACATTCTGCAATCTGGCCATTCTTGGCTTGCTTTGGAATATTTGTTGCAGCACGCTACTTGTGCTCATACCTACTGGTACTAGCATACTTCTCATCGCCATAGTCAGTGGATTCAAGTGTTCAGAATTTAGTTTCGCATCGCTTGGCCTTGTGGAAAACAAGTGTGGATCTGTGTACTTTTGGTTACTCCTTCGAATTACAACGGATCCATCCCAATTCTGTGATTGTGTGACTAACCGGTTGGAGCCAAAGGAGTATTACCAGCAGCACTGCACCATGACGGAAAGCCGTGATGTTTGCTTGGACTCGTACCAGCCCATGTTCCGCGAGAATCTGCTCCAGAATCAGGTAGCCCTCATCTCGGGCGGAGGCAGCGGCATTGGCTTTCGCATAACGGAGGTGTTCATGCGCCATGGCTGCGACGCGATCATCATGGGCCGAAAGGAGCAGCGGCTCAGAGAAGCGGCGGCGCGGCTCAGCAGCGCCACGGGTCGCACGTGCATCGCTGCGCCGTGTGACGTCAGACAGAGCGAAATGGTGGACAGTGCACTGCGCGAGGCGCTCAGCAAGCTAGGCAACCGACATGTGAATATCCTAGTCAACGGGGCTGCGGGAAACTTCCTCTGTGCTGCAGATTCGCTTACGCCGAAGGGCTTCAGAACCGTCTTGGATATCGACGCGGTCGGCTCGTTCATCCTGTCGCGCTGCGTATACGACCGTTGCTTCAGCAAGAACGGCGGTGGTGTGATACTGAACATTTCGGCCACACTCTACTACAAGGGTGATGTACTGCAGGCGCATGCCGGGGCAGCAAAGGCGGCTGTTGACGCTCTCACGCGTCACCTGGCAGTGGAGTGGGGCGACCGCGGTGTTAGGTGAGTAGATAGTCTTTTGACGTGTACTCTTGTGTTGCAAAAGAAGGATCCACGAGCGGGATTCGGACCCAGCACCGCAGTATTTCCAGGACAGTGCCCTACCGATTAGGCTACCGTGGATCACACACACACACACATACAGTCATACACACACACACACACACACACACACACACACACACACACACACACACACACACACACACACACGTGGGTCCTTCTTGCTACACTCGTACACAGTACCGGTATGCTGGTGGCCTAAAGTCAACCATGCACAATGTACATGATTGTATTAGAAACGACTAATTTTGTCGGCTTGAAACTTTAGCGATTGATGAACTAGCACGGATGTGAGAATGTGCCAGTCACAGCATGCCCTGCAATGGAGGTCCGGTCACCCGCTGGCCGGGCTGTCTACAATAGGAAGTAGGACTGGACTTTCTTTTCTTTTTTCTGCGCTCATCCGGGTTAGGCATTCTAATAGTGTATACCGTAAAGTCGCGGATAAAAGCCGGGCTTATAAGGATATAAGCCGCTTTCTGCATCAGGCTTTAATGCAAACCAGGCTTGTATGCAAACCATGCTATATGCACCACTGATATTTTTGCCAGGCTTGTATGCACATAGTGAGAAGCCAGGCTTCTGCGCGCGACACGCGTAGATATCTACCACTGACTACCGGTGTGGCGGCAGTTTTACTATGCACCATACATAGCGCATGCACTCTTGACCTACCCGATCCGCGCTTGCATAGAAGCCAGGCTTCTACGCGCGACAGGCTTATATGCATTTGACCCGTTTGATTTTCAGGCTTCTATCCACAATGTGCTTGTATGCAAACCCGGCTTTTATCCGCGACTTTACGGTATACAGGGGCGTCGGGCGCCCCTGTATATATTAGAATGCCTGGCTCAGCTGAGCACTGGTCTGCTGGGGATGACACACGTGCCAATGAGGTCCTTGCAGAAAAAGACTGTTGGGAAGTGCTCAAGAATCCAGATCTCTAGATTTGCAGGCACTGTAACGGGGCTGGCGGCCTTTCCCTTGGAACAAATCTTTCATTCCTCCCATTCTTTAATTTTTGCTGGTTTGGGGAACCCCTCTTATATAACGGTGCAGCAAGCTTGTCATCTTTTGTGTGTGTGTGTCTGTGTGGATGTGTGCATGCTCATGTGTGTGCATATTTGCGTATATGCGCGTGGATGTGTGCACATGCTTGTACATGTTAATATGTTTGGCGATGTGCAGGGTTAACTCCTTGTCGCCCGGCCCCATCGAGGACACGGAGGGCTTCGACAAGCTTGGCGGCAAGTCTCCCATGGCACAGCGCATGCTGCAAGCAATACCGCTCGCTCGGTTTGGCACACGCACAGACATTGCCAATGCCGCAGTGTTCCTCGTCAGCCCAGCCGCTTCTTATGTCTCCGGTATAACCATGGTGGTGGACGGTGGGGCATGGATGACGGTTGCCGTGCCGATGAGCCATGCCCGCAAACTCATGCCCAGCAGTAAGCTGTAGTAGGCGTGTGTGTGATGTGTGTGCGTGTGCACGTGTGTGTGTAGTTATGTGCGTCTGTGTGTGTGTCTGTCTGTCGGTCTGTCATCCTACATTTCACTAGTGGAATGACACAACACGACACCCCTTAGATCTCCGAACATCATCTATTGTCAAATTTGATAATTTTCAGCACGCCTGGCGAGACGTCTATTGCCTCTGCGTTATTCCGTGACACATTGACTTCCCCTTTTTGAAGACTTGATGCAGCGTGAGCAATTGTTGATTGCTGCACAGTCGTTCCAGACAGACTCCCCAATTATTTTATTATTGCACCGTATTCTCTATATACGTTCTTTATCTTGTCTAATTAGTAATTTCCGATGACGCAATGTTTGTGCTTGAACCCAGGCAGCTGGCTGTCTTGGACAAGGCACCCTTTTCTTTTTTTGTTTCCTTTTTGTTTCCTGTTTTCTTTCGAGTCATCAATACCCCATAGTCATAGAAAAACTGGCATTCGTCTCTCTGCAGCAGTTGTCTGCTTAGCGTTGAAATTCTCCCTCCTTTTCAAATTTCACGCACACAACAATCGTATCCAATGACGATATTTCGTACAGCAAAATAATCCATTGCAAGCTTTGCTAAATGTATTGTCATCTATACACTCTCAGCTACACGTGTGCTTGTCGGCATGGACATCACCATGACTACTAAGTACCCGGGTGCAGTACGTGCCCTTTCGCCTCAGTCTGGGTACGAGAGGCACCTGATGAGCTGCCATGACAACGCAGCAAAGTGCCGGTGCTTCCCTGGGCCGCCGTCCCATTAGAGAACACGTGCACTGGAGTAAGAAATCCTATAAGTCAAAAACAGTTTGTAGGCTGGTAGGGTGGGGATGGTGGCTTTCCAGCTTCTAAACCAAACTACGGCCAAAATTTTCAGAAAAGTTTCGAAAACTGCAGTTTAGGAGGCCCTCCAATCCCGAGAAACTGCATGGCTAGTTGTATGCAGCCCAGGCACAGCCTGCATACAATTCTCACATACTATCAAGAGCACATAACCTGGTAATATGTACTCTTGATAGTAACACATGCCACAATACAGAGACTACAGCCTAGGATTGGATATATACTGACTACTGACTGTACGAGCACCATGCAAGAGAAATCTTTCATTACATAGATAGCAGCAAGAGTACATAACCCCACGGGGCCCCCGGGGGGGGGGGGGGGGGGGGGGTGATGTACTCTTGATAGCAATTGACCAGTGTTGGACTGACATGATATCAAGAGTCCATAACTTGATGATATGCATGACACCAAGAGTTCATAACCCCCTCTTGATGACACGAAGAAGTATGTGAAGATGATGCCGGGCACTTGTCACACGGTCAACACCAGTAACAGGGTCCGGGAGTATTTCTTTTGTTAGTATTTGCTGGTCTTCACCATGCAGCTACAGTACAAGATTTTCCAGTCCAAAAAAAAGAACAATGGCCAAACACGACTTGAACCTGAGATGCACGGGTACCAGGTGCAGAGACAAGACCATTGACCACTTGGCCAAGCATGCAGTCTTGTTCAGCAAGTAAACAACAAGAGAGATTTATCATTTCCAGGTGAAAAGCCAACAACTGAACAGCTACTTGAACAGCACATCTCACACTTCTATTCCATGGACTTGGATTAATCCTACTTGTAGGTGGATTCTTGCATATAGCAACAGGGGCTACTTGAACAGAACACACAACATTTCGGTGGACTTCAAATTAGTAGATATAGTATTCATTTTGGTAATCTGTATGAAGACACAACTGCATACGGGCAGACGAGACAGGGGAGAGGTAAATTCTTTGACATCCGAGGCTTCATGTTTTTGTTTGTTTTCTGCTTGCTGAGCTCCTTGCTCTGTGTTTGGTCCGCAGCCACCCCCCCCCCCCCTGATTTAGGTACCATTGCATTTGGGTCATCCGTCATAATAATATTTTAAAATAACAAAGACTACGAGGGGAAAAAGAGGATGCTAAGTTGAAGAAGCCAGTGGCAACGAGTGGACAGCAATCTAGAATAACAAGCACCGTCCTAGCTAAACAGGAAACTGAAAACACACACAAACAAGGAAACTGATGCACTGGATATGAGGTTAAACGATCTTGTCAGGGGAAAAAGAACACATGAAGAGTAGCGGAGCCAAGTGCGCTGGGGCACTAGGATGATAAGATAAACGAAACGACTGGAGTAATGATCTAAGAAGCGTTTGATAAAACATTTCTGTACAAAAACTGACTTGATTAAAAAGAAGACGCTTTACAAGCCCCTGCTGAAAAACACCTAAGATAAATAAAAACGTATCACCCAATGCTGTAGACAGCAAGCGGTTTCGGCCATATAAAACGTATTATAATTACTAGTATCACGATGCCTTGGACACAGGGGCCCGGTAATGGCAACGCATCATTTCTACAACGGACAACTCAAGACGTCTGGGGTATGGGGGGTAGCACGGATTTAAAAAAACAAAACAAAACAAAAAAAACACTGCAAGCCAACACAACAAGATGGCATGACTTACAATGTGTGTAATTGTGTGGGTGGGGGCACAATGATGTGGCAAGGGGTACTATCGAGTATCGTAAAGGCTGGCTGAGATCAGGAATCGTCGTCAGTAATGTCGACAACCATAAGTCAAATGATGAGGGCAGGAAAGGAAGCCAGTGGACATACATACGGCAGTCGCCGGCATGACGCACCACGACTTCATAAATAGTTCTCTGCTGATCTAGTCCAGACTGAAGGCAAGCTCAGTGTTGTCATGACGCTGCAATGGCGAGATTCCCCTGTGCGAGTTTGTCTCGGTGTCCATCAAGCCCATGCACAGGGCACAGTGGCACACTATGGAATGTCTGTAAACAACGCTGCGCTACTCACTCGTACATGTATGATAATACGTTACATCACGCACTAGGACTAAGCCCACACTCAGCACTGCATTGCACTGCACACCGAGAAAGCCGCTATGCCCTAGCGCCGGCACACTGGCAAGTCAGAAGAGTGCGGCGGTGGCGGCGGCAGATGTGCGGCTGGCGTACGCGTCGCGTGGTCCCGGCCAGAGCGCCGCGCAGGGGGCAATGCATGGACGAGCGCACGGCACAATGGACGGCGCCCCGTGACAACTCAGCCTCGGGGCACAGCGGTGTGGCAGGCCGGTCTGGCCATGGATATTAGCTAGCTAGCTCCACATCAGAGTTGCTCGGCCGCGACCAGCACTACCTAAGCAACAGTGACAGGCGACGGCTAGATGACCGAGTACCACATGTACTACAACTACCACTACAACTCCTATTAGCGTTGTCTGCATCCTAGTGAACTCAACTTGGCTATGTAACAGTGAAGGGGACAGTACCAGTGGGCATCAGTGCTTTGCCGTACGTTGTCTTGGCTCCCACGAGCAGGATGTGGTTGAACCTGCAAACAAAGTAAGGAGATCAAGGAGCAGATACACCAGCTAGAGAAGAAGAAGAATACACAACACCAACGTACTAGTAATATCGATCACAGGGCCAAAGTAAATTATGTGTATTGGGGGGGGGGGGAGGAGAGAGAGAGAGAGAGAGAGAGAGAGAGAGAGAGAGAGAGAGAGAGAGAGAGAGAGAGAGGGGGGGGGGGGTACAAATGGCAATAGAAAGCCTTCAAAACAAGTAGCCGGCCATTGCGCATTGCCAAATACGGAACGTATGAGTAATGCTTGTGGGCACGCTGCGATCAGGAATGCACTGTTCAACACCCCAGACGTCCATGCATGCCCAGGTGGCTGTGAAGGGTGTTTAGGGCACAAAGTACGTCATTGCGCAATGGGTCCATTGGGTAGATACTGAAAAAAGTTCAAAAACAAAACAAAGAGATAGGACCAATAAGTTACGAGTTACGCCTAACAGTCCACCTGGGTAACGAGATACTAATATACAGTCAGACAGTGCGGCAATAAGGCACAAACTGACAGGGCTACTGAGACATTCGACGACCTGACCTGGCTTCGCAGACGTGTTGGAGCTAGATGTCAGGTCATCGAAAATCTCAACACCCCTGTCAGTTTGTGCCTTATTGTCGCACTGTCTGTCTGACTGCATACTATATCGTTACCTTGGTCGACTGTTAATCGTAACTCGTAACATAGTGGTCCTTTCTCTACGCATAATACTATTGGCTCAACTACCAAGTTTTATAGAAACAAATCCAGTGTAAATATACCCTCCCCCCCCCCCCCCCACCTCCACCACAACACTAATGTGACTAAAGAAACCCAACACACATACACAAAATACAAACATACTTGGAATGGAAGCGCAGAACTCCATTGTGCGCACCCCTCACACCAAGGTCCCAAATCTTGAAGCACTTAGCCAACTTCTGCAATTGGGAGCTGTCCGTCGCATCCCTCTGGTAGACCAACAACATGGAAAGATAAATGGAGAGAGTGTGAGTGAGTGAGAGAGTGAGAGTGAGTGAGTGAGCGAGAGAGAGAGAGAGAGAGAGAGAGAGAGAGAGAGAGAGAGAGAGGATGCACAATATACAGCCAAAGACAAAGGAAAAAATGATGCCCGCAGCCCATTGTGTCCAGCATACCAAGATTGGCTATAGACAGTACAGGAAACTGGAAAATATATTCCATATTTTGCTTGCCCGCTGGTCTTGCGGAGTTCCGATTGCTTCTTTGCATGCCTGGCTTGCGTCAGGACTCTTCCCCCCCCCCCTCTCCTAGACACACACATGCCTGTGCTCTCCCTTCCCTCCCGCCCTCCACACACAAACGCAGATATGTGTACCCTGCAACCCCCCCCCCCCCACACACACACACAAACACTCAAATACACGAGAAAACACGCACACACACACACGCACACACACACACACACACACACACACACACACACACACACACACAATATCCGCCGTACCTGCTCGTAGAATAGAACGTATCGCATTCCAAACGCCGAGTTGGGCACCATATCGGCACCACAGGCCCGACTACCACCAGCCACTGGCAACTGTAGTGCAGACCGTATCAAGCGGTGGAGATGTTCCTCGTAGGCATCTTTAGTCAGCGTGTCTAGCTCACGCAGCTTTACTCTGGGGTTTGCATTCAGGACGGCAGGCTGGAAGTACACCTTCCAGTAGTAGTCGGAAACCTGCACGCAAACAAAACAAAGCAGCAGCACACACACACACACACCATTGACCATTTGACGCCCATCGCCGGAGGCGATGATAGCGATGCTACAGCAGAAGCTATAGCAACCTGTGCTGGGATTGCAGCATTCAACGGCTTGCAAGGCTGAAGAATTGACCGCCACTATTCACACACACACACACACACACATGTGTCATGCGCATTTATCCGGAGACCGTTGGTCGGCACAGCACTGCATACTGTGAGCCAGGAAGCATTTCCGCGCACGCACCATGCAGGGAGCAGTTTTCACTATTTCACGTTGGGTCCGGTAAGCTTCGATACATCGTAGTGCACCAGTGTAGTCCAGTTGAGTGGTCTTGCTTCAACGCGCCTAAGAGACGATTTACACGACGGCAGGATTAATCCCCGCGCATGATGCTACCATGGAGATTCAGTTACATGTACAGTCAACTTCGCTAATAACGACTGCGGATATAACGACAGCATTTCCATGCCCAGAGCAAAGTCCATTCCAACTGTAATGCATATAATGAGACTTCCGGTATAACGACACTTCGCGAATAAGGACACTTTTTTGATGCCCCGCCGAGTGTCGTTATAAAGCGAAGTTGACTGTACTCATATTTCGGCGCGAACGTATCCCGCGAGCTATCCCGGTACAGTCCCGGTGCCGTGAGGGGGTGGAAATACATTCCGTGGCATTCCGTGGACTGTTTCGTACTACAGGTATTGCGCGTGCATCCTGCCGTGTGAATCGATTTTCGTTTTTCCGGTATCACGTGCTTCTCTTCTCATGGCAGGTGGTCTCATAACATGTTCTCTCACAGGTTGTCTGATAAGACAGGTGGTCTCATAACATGCTCTCTCACAGGTTGTCTGATAAGACAGGTGGTCTCATAACATGCTCTCTCACAGGTTGTCTGATAAGACAGGTGGTCTCATAACATGCTCTCTCACAGGTTGTCTGATAAGACAGGTGGTCTCATAACATGCTCTCTCACAGGTTGTCTGATAAGGCAGGTGGCGTCACAAGACAGGTGGCATCTACTGACAGTGGCTGGAAAACACGGAATACAGCTAGGCGTGAATAGAACTTTCTTCAGCAAACGGCGGACACAAGAATACAAGAGTAGAAGGTCGTTGCTCCAGATTGAAATCCTACCTGCATTCCTCGCTCGCCGATGTGATGTGCCCGTGGTACATCCGGTATTAGAGTCTCTCTGTCCTTGCGCTGCGGTGGATCTCGCAGCCACAGGTCCCAGCTCCAGCCGCCGCAGCACTGCGGAAACGACAGCCGCCAACCCTCCCAGGAACGCAGCGGTAATAGCCACGCACGGCCTGGGAAGAAGTCACTCCTGCGGCGGGTAGTGAGAGAGAGAGAGAGAGAGAGAGAGAGGCAGAAGAGAGAGAGAGAGAGAGAGAGAGAGAGAGAGAGAGAGAGGCAGAGAGAGAGAGAGAGAGAGAGAGAGGCGAGAGAGAGAGAGAGAGAGAGAGAGAGAGAGAGAGAGAGAGAGAGAGAGAGAGAGAGAGAGAGAGAGAGAGAGAGAGGGAGGGAGGGAGAGAGAGAGAGAGAGATAGAGAGATACAGAGAGAGAGACACACACACACATCATGGAAAGAGCATTAGTACATACCCGTGTACGCCCACAGTGGCAGATGATCATTACGTGACCATCACATGCACGGTAGTATCTATACATGTACATCCTTAAAGCATGTACATCCTTACAGAATTATGGCAAACAAAGAACACTTTGCTGTTTGTACGGTGTGTACTACCGTATTTTACCGGCTATAAGTCGACCCCCCGTATCCGGAGGTCTTAATTATGTTTTTAAAGTTTTTGCCCAACGAAGCACTGCTAACCGCTCCCTAGCCCTGCTACTAACACATGAACAAATCACATAAACACTCCTCATTGGATTCTGAAACATCCAAATCCTTGAAAAAGGCAAATAAACTTGGCAAAAATGCATACACATGGTGCACTCGTGTATTCAGTGCAGGTCATTTTTGGAAGATACCGATAATTCCCGGTTATAAGTCGAATCCCGGTTGTAAGTCGACCCCCACCTTTTCTCTTGATATTTTCAGTCATAAAAGGTCGACTTATAACCGGAAAATACGGTACTACAAGAGCAAATAACCCCCAATGGGGGATTAACCGGTTAGGGCCTGGTCAGACTGCGGCAAAATCGAAATAATCCTAGGATTATAATCCGAATCTCCATAGTAACTTGACGCCAGAGCGGCAAAAGCGAGAGTTGACGCTCCAAAAAAAAAGCAAGAACGGACCACGCTTTTCCGCTCCAAACAGGATTTGACGCTGATGCGCCATTGACGCTGATAATCACTGATTTTTTCATCTCGATATCGAGGAGCTAATTGGCCACGGACAACAACAAAACTCATAAGGATGGTTGCAAGGATTGCACTGAAGGTGTTGGCGATCCCCAAGGTGAAGGAATTTGACGTCGTTCGTGGAGATTACCACTTGACGCTCGAAAGGAAGTTTGAATTTTCACTCTCCCCACATGTGTAGTGTGATCGCGATTCAAATTCTGGACAATTTGCCGCAGTCTGACCAGGCCCTTATGGATTCTTGCTACCACAAGTCATAAAGTACATCTTTGAGTGGTACCCATGTCCCTAAAAGGCAGCATATTGAGCCCATATATGGAACTTTGGCCGCTGATATTTGTACAGCACGCAAGAATTGCACGCCATGTAACGTTCGCTAAACAACGTTCATTGCAAGAGGAGTTGAGCGACCATTCTCTTTCCAGTGCCATGTTGGAACAGTCAAGTTTTTCAGGTCCTCTTGATGATGGTCAGCCACCTGCCAATTGTAGACTTTCTGAGTCTCTTTGTCAAACAAGACTGGGAAAGGCTATCCAGAGCCTGAGACCCTAAGAACATTGTGCTAGCCACTGATGTCTGTCTGGGTAAAGAACTACTAGACTTGCAATGATGAGAGAGCAAAGATCATCGATATGGTAGGTGTTGTAGTGGTGATGAAATGTTATACCGACCACCTAGGTGGTTATTATAACATTTAATAACCACCAAGCTTGTGATCAGAGATTAGTGGGGGCTACATGTTTCGCAGTCAACTAGTCCATCACATTGTCATGCATGAGGAGTAGTGTAGGAGACGTTCGGTTGTGTACAATTCGTTTTCGCAAAGCTTCCCCTTCTTTACTTATCTTTGATATTTCTGAGCCACCCAAGTTGGGTGGAGAGCTGCTTTGCTGCTTCGAATTGTAGTTGGACCGCTTTGTCAAATTACTCGTCTGGTCATAGTCCAGTAACAGTCGACATTCGTTGTTCCGTGGGACTGTAGCTTGTACTCAATTTCATTGCGCTTACCCCCCCCCCCCGAATGTCTCAGTACTCTGTCAGTTTTGAACCTAGCTATTGCACTATCTGAGTCATGACTGTATAGTATCTAGTAACAGTGGTGGACAGTTACTCTTGACTTGTATCCATGTCCCCCTTTGCTTTCTACATTAAAGGTTAATAAAAAGTTGATATAAACCTCTGATAAGTTGTCATGTTGCGCGGTGATGTCCGCGGCATTCAAACGTGTTATAGCTCTACTTAGATTACTGTCTCCACGTAGAAATTAAAACTAGCAGAGACGCTCCGAGTGGCACTGTTTCCGTGGACACTGTCATGACTCACCTATAGACAATGCCAGCATCCTGCGCTTCATGCTTGAATCCGTTGTCATTGTATGCAGACACTGCCATCACACTGGGGTCCTTGTCCACCGTGGGAATGAGCTGCGCAAAGAAGTACAGAAAATCCGGCGCTACCGTGTGGTCCTCCTCCAGCACTACCATATGCCTGCATGGACAAAGAGAGAGAGAGAGAGAGAGAGAGAGAGAGAGAGAGAGAGAGATAGAGATAGATAGAGAGAGATGAGAGAGAGAGATAGATAGAGAGAGAGGACAAGAAAGTGTAACAGTTGAATTCGAGGACTCCACTGCTGCATATAGGGTTGAATAATACGGTGGTAAAGACACACATGGCAAAATGGCGGTAAACACATGGCTACCCCCCCCCCCCCCCCCCCCCCCCCCCCAGACACACACACACACTCTCTCTCTCCCTATGCTGGAAACGCAAACTAGGGGTGGTGAGAAGGAGAGCTCAATGCCGAAGTGTAACTTCTCAGCGTAGAGAGCTTGTGTGGGCAGGCGTGTGTTTACCGCCATATTATTCGACTACAAGAAAGTTTTGTTGCAAGAGAAAATATGGTCGGCTACAGAAACCGCCGTGCATACAGTATAGTATTTCGGAACTGCTTCCACCTCTCGTGCATGCTTGTGTGTGTGTGTGTGCCAACCTGTTGGAAGGCTACCCTCTTGCCAAAGCATTTGGAAGTTGGACTAGTTTCGGCTCCACAATCCAGTGTGTCGTTACTATAATAGTATTCATGGCTGAGGTTGTTGGTATGTCTGTTGGCTCTGGGTTCCCAGTACTCAATTGCCGACGCTGGTTGGTAAACTAACTCCAATTTCACTTCAAGGTACCAGTGCATCTAGTGTCTGCTTTTACCAAAGCAGCATGCCGTCTATACCGGTTACTCCAGCAAGTGTAGGGTGTGCATAGTTAACTGTCTTGGCCGTTTTATGCCGATGTAGACCAGGTGTGCATTGGTGGTAGATTCACATGGCTTCGCAGGTTGTGTGGATTGGACCGTTATCTGGCGCTAGTCTTGATCTGTCTCATTCAGATCTTGTTCGCTATCGTTGCTATAAGAGAAAATCTGTGGGTGCACGCCCAGTGCATTTGCAGATTTGCGGATGTATACATGGTGTGTGTGTGTGTGTGTGTATGTGTGTGTGTGTGTGTGTGTTCCTCTTCTCGCTCCAAATGGCGCAAGGCTTACCGTTGTCTGCCAGACAAGCAGAACAGACCTCGACCATCACCGGTTGTGTGCCAAACTTGTCACCGCTCCTTCAGTCGTGTAAGTGACAGGAAGTGACACAAGTGTACAGCTACACGTGCCCTGCCCGTAACCAACAGCCAGGAAGTTGTCACTGCGACCAGCGCGACAGATGGTTCCGGAGCAAGGGTGGATTTGCCCGACACAAGTGCTCGCCAGCAACATCACCAGCAGGGGCATCTTCTGACGCACTTGAGTCACCAGTTACGAACAATATGTCCTGCGATCGTTGCAGCTTCCACTGCGCCCGCTGCAACCGCTGTGTGCTATCGCGCCAAGGCATGAAGCGTCACAAGTGCAGCCGTGGCTCGGCCAGAGCAACCAACACAGACTGTAGCTTGTTCTGCATCGTTTGCAATTGTGGCCGGCGTTTCAGTAGACCAAAGGACCTATCCCGTCATCGCCCCTACTGTTCCGAACCTGCTCAACCCCCCATGGGGTCCGCATAGCCAGAATATGGCAGCGCGTCCAAGGTGTGTGTGTGCGTGTGTGTGTGTGTGTGTGTGTGAGAGAGAGAGAGAGAGAGAGAGAGAGAGAGAGAGAGAGAGAGAGAGAGAGAGAGAGACAGAGAGAGAGAGAGAGAGAGAGAGAGAGAGACAGACAGACAGAGACAGGCAGACAGACAGAGAGAGACAGAGAGATAGAGAGATAGTACTTACACGGCAGTCGGGAACGATGCCCAGGCCAAGGGCAACACCCTGGCGTAGTGCGCAGTAATCATGTCGGCCTTGCGGTGCACCTCCTTCATGGTCGACGTTGTCACCGTCTTCGGGAAGAAGCGAGCGCGCACGGCAAACAGGTTCAGCAATGCGTGCACATCTGGAGAATAGCTGTCCACATACACGGTCACTTGGCTCAGGTTCAGACCGGGGTTGGTGAACAATGACGACAAACACTGCTGCAAGTAGTCAGGACGATTGTGCCGCGCCAGTATCGTCACTGGTAAACCGACTGCCACCGAGCCACCCGGATTCGGTCCTTTGGCCGGCAGCAGGTACTCGGCTATGGCTGTGTCGCTGCAGAAGTTCCCGTACTTATTGGGTTCGGTGCTGCCTTGAGTTCTGCACACGACCTTGCGCTGCTGAATATTGGTAACTGCCAGGTAGATGTTTTTCGGCACGCACGTCGACACCTGGGCAACATTCTCCTTTGAGTTGGCCGCGAGCGAAGGTGCGACGGCTTCGTACGGCGTGGATAGCGCCAGCCCCTTGACCGTGGCCATTGCCCAGGCGTGGTCGTCGTCGACAACGTGCACCATACCACTGCCAGTGCTGTAGATGGCGTGGCGCGCCGCGTCGCTTAGCAACGGGGCCGCGCGGGCACCGTCGGCCGCCATCACGACAATCGTGTCCTTGGGCAGATTGCCGAGGTAGTCGATGAGGTCGTCCGACGCCGACTTACTCGTGCCCGTGCTGAACACTCGCGTGCGCACGGACAGCGTGGCCGGATCGGCCGACATCAACATGATGCCCTTGCCGCGGTCCTCGCCAAAGTCCACCTCCTTGCCGTCGAAGCAGACCAGAAGCTGTGAGCCCTGTGCAGCGCGGCCAATGGACACGTGGACTGCCACGGAGTCCTTGTCGCACGGTACCGGTCTACTGCACAGGGCCGTGGCCGGAGGGCTAATCCGGGCAGCAGCGCCGACACCGCCAACCCCGTGCAGTGGGTCGCTCTCACGCAGCTCGCGGCCAAGATGCTGGACGACGTGCTCTGCATCCAGTGAGAGTGCAGTAGATCTGGTGGTGTCGCCCAAATGTATCAACGGTGTGAAGGCATTGCCACGTTGCGCCTCGCGGCGTAATGCCTCCCCTTTCAGCAAGTACACATTGACCGAGATGAACATCATTAGGATAAGGGCAATGGCCAGTTTGAATACGCGGTCTCTTCGGCACAGGAACCACGCTGCGCTTCGCTTCTCGCGGCCTCTGGGCAGCGAACCACGGAGGGCAGCTCGCCGGTGCTTGTGAATATCACTAACTCCATTATAGCCCATCATAGGCCTTGACTATTGTTGGACTTCACTTCCGTTCCAATCTTGCAGATTAACTTTAGTACGCACACACGTACACAGCAGTTGTGACCGGGTCGGATTCTCAACAGAACAAAATTATTTTCCGAACGTCCTCCGACTAACAACGCACGGTACGGCCAGCTTCCAGCAAGACGCTTTCCCTCAAGAAATATCCAAACAACACTGATAATGATCATTCAGGCATTCTGGTGGCCTTGAACTTGAAGGCCAGAGCAGCAGTCATGACCTCAACCCTGTCAACCGGGCACTGCTCAACATTGACAACAAACAGGCATGTTCCACAGCGCGGGGACTTACGACTTTTTGATTGAAATTTGAACCCGATCCCCCGACTGCGATATCGACGTTGATCTACCATGATCTACGTCCCGGCGCGGCGTACACATGTACGTACACACATAAACCAGGGAGTCGTAAAATACAGGTATTTTACGACTCCCTGACATAAACCTGACATAAACTCATGATAAAGGCAAGAGTTCATGGGTTATGAACTCTTGTTCAGACATGGCACGTGCTTGTTGCCAGGAGACGGCCAATGAGCGGCCAGAATAAGCAGTCAAGATCAGTCGATCTTGACCGCTTAGCCGGTCAAGAACAGCAGTCGCACAGCATCGCGCCGCACATGCGCATTTACCATTTTTCGAAGTCCTTGCCTTGGGCAACATCTCCGACGACGAGGACTAAAAATTTGTCTCCCTTTTCCAAAATGATTATATACTCACTACTGTCTTGAACGTCTGCAGGGAGACCAGAAACGCCAACCGACCTTGCAGCTGGTCCTGTTTCTCGCGGCGAAACGTACACAAGGGAAGCAGACCTCCACAAGTACATTTTGTACCTGCCCTAAGGCTGCAGCTTCTCAGCACTCGCATTTGAACCTTACTCTGGCAATCATCTAACTCGAAGAACGGGTTTATTCCGAATCCGTCATATTACTGGTACTAACGTTACTACTGCCTTCACTGTACTTGAATACTTTCATCTCAAAACTGGAAAGTTCCGACCGTTGAAACAAATAGCTGTTTGTGATGGTCACTGCACACAATGTGACATCAACTGACAACTCATTTGCCGTCAAGGCTTTCTTTCTGTTTGAATCTCTCTACTGTACTGGGCCTTGTTGTTTGTGAGGTGGGCCTTGTCTGAAGCGCAATCCTACACAGTTGCGTCGGGCATGCCGCTCTGATCAGGCCCTCGGTCATGTGAGTGATCTTGCCCTCGGTCGCGACGCCCTCGGGGCTACGCCCCTTGGGCGTCGCGACCTCGGGCAAGATCACTCACAGACCTCGGGCCTGATCAGAGCATCATGCCCTCGGAACTGTGTAGGATTATGTATATAAGGCCACCTAGAATTAATTCGTTGTTTCGGGTCACTTCACTCATCCGGGCCGTAAGACCCTCATCATCATGACATTAACTTTTTATCTTTCTAGGGCCAGTACTACTGGCACCACTAGCACTAGGGCAGGGGGGAAGCCTTGTTCACGCTGTCACCTGGTCACCGTGCAAATATGCTACCTATCAGGCCTACATTATACAGGCAGGGCTTTATTGTTATTATTATTATTATTTACAGGGTACCCTATGAATTGTTGAATAGATGAACGGAAGTTTCTGAGCAAGGAGACTGTGCGAATGGCTTTCTTCAAGGAGACAGACATACAATATGATAATTTATCCATACCAGAGAGTGCTAAAATACACCGCGCGCAAGGTCGGGAGACTGGAGCCCCTATACATGTACATGTATGTAGCATATTGCGGTTTCTTGCGTTGTGTTGTCTCTTTGCTTTGTTTTTTTTTCACATTGAATGTTTTTATTTAATTTTTTTATAGCCTTTAGGCCATCCAGAACAGGGAGTCGTAAAATACCGGTATTTTACGACTCCCTGATCCAGAATTAATTCGTTGTTTCGGGTAACCCGCGGGCCCGACCGACCGTCTTTTTTCACCCGACCGCAAAAATGTTTTTTTTTTATAGTGCATGCAATTCGCAAATGTACAGACTACATTATGTACAGGCGCTAGGCGCGACCCTATATTAGTAATAATACCAGTCCAGATATCCACCTCAGAAGCAGCCATGGCTAGCCAAATGACAGGATGCAGCGCTTGGTGACGATGTTGTCTTCTATTTCCGATCCGCAATCGGTCCTGAAACAGCATCAGCTCCGCCACCTTGTCGCTATTTACAGAAGTTTTCAAGATGAGAGCTGACCAGGGCTACAGTTCAAATGCGGGTTGCAAGACCGAGAGGCGAGACTCTACCATGTACGTACCAACCAGTTACCTGTCTAGACTAGAGTCTAGACTACGGTTGTACTGGAGCACTTCCCATACATGATACAGTGTCACGGTCCTCGCCTTGTTCACCTGTCACTCAGTGACACCAAGAGTACAATCATAATAATACTCTTGGTCACAAGTTGGTGTCACCGTGAAAACATAAAGTATGTGATCCTTCGGCCCTGCCGACATACATGTACATAACATGACTGAAAGCATGACTGTAGTGTAGTGTGTACACTCGTCTACAGGCAGCCAAGAAGACGTCGTCTTTCTTAGTTATCGCTATCAAGCCAGGCTTCTATCTTCAAGTCGCAGAGATCTAGACTACTGTGTAGATGTGATTGTGAACTTACTTATGACGCTTGTAAGGATCACCCATGGCTTCACCATCGCCCTTTTCGCCGCCGCATGGCGTGGAATCGGTCTGTGGATTGATTGTACAGTAGTTGCATACAATAACATGATGTCCGAATCTAGTTAGTTCTCAGCGATTCGCAGCTTCCTTCGAGTTTGTGGATCGTGCAGAACAGTGCCTGTGCGGGGTGTGATCATCAATGACACTGTCACACACTAGTCACTATATCGCTGCTACTACATTTTTGTAGTAACTATGTCAATAACTGAATAAGAAGAAAGTGAGTGTGTATGTGTGCAGTCGACGCGTCCGACAGTTACAAGCGTGTGCTGTTTGCGTCACACATGCGATCACAAACATCCGGGATGAAAGAGTAAACCATGGTAAACTGCCCGTATTTCGTCGGAAACCACACTCTTGCTCTTGTCAAAAGGAGAAAATGTGTACGCGGCCAGACTACTCGTATGATCGCAATTCATACCTCGAACGCGACAAGCATCGCACAAAGATTCACGGACGGGTACAGGAGTAACACAGAACCAGAACCGACAGCAGACGTCATCATGCACCTTCGCCTTCGGCAAGTACAGTCTACGACAGTCCGAGTACTGCGAGTAGTCGGGTATGATCGGATCGGCCACTACTGCACTGCAGTCTGCACTGCACTGCAGACTGCAGACTAGTCATGGCTTCTACTCCTAATCTGAGCACCGTTGACAAGGACAAGTACGAAACAGATGTATCGGCACGTCGAAGATGCAAACCAGGGACAAAAACCTCTTCTTGACTCTGAGCCGCGTTCCACCAAGACTAAAAAGTACATAACCCGCCTTGGTTCCACTGTACTACTAGTACATGTAAGTATTCCACTGTTCCGCTGTGATCAGTGTACATGTAACTACACAAACGTGTTTTCCGGTTCATTTTCACGTCGTGTGAATCCCCTAGCCCTATGAGGCTATGTTACATGTAGATCTACATGTACGTGGTGACGGTCCCAGAGGGTCCGTGTATCGTGATGACAGTCACAGGACCCTGGCTAGGTTCATGCTCACTGCCAACAGAAAAAGGAAGTCTTTCAACCACCACTCTTTGACTTTGTTGACATAACATAAGATCGACTGTACACCAGTTGCAAGAATGAACGCTGGCCGCAAGTCGAGGTTTGCCTTCAGCGCTACAGATAAAATGGAACAGATTACAGTACCAGGAGAAGTAAGTTAGTTCGCTCCAGCACAACGCTGGAGACCTTCAATTCAAAGCTGCAGCAGTACCTAACTTCCTAAGTCCTTGCACAATCTGTCACTGACTGTGCCCCTTGACAGCTTGCATTCCTTGCTGCAACAGAAGCTATACTAATGCCATGCTTGACAATGGATCTCCAGCTGACTATCCGATTTCCAGTGCATAAACACACATTTTACATTATAACACCTCTTCCCTTACCTCTCTAATTGTCTCTTCGCTACCTTGTTTACAGTATTGGGAAGAAAGTTCCCGTTTGGATTTGCGAAACAAAACAAAAACGGCCCATCATCATCACATTATTAATATTATACTACCGTCTACAACACACCATGTGCCCTATGTCAATGGTTGTGTTTGTGGAGCTCCGGAGGTGGCTCACACCAGGGAGTAGTACAATGGTATTGTACTACTCCCTGGCTCACACCACATAGCCTCAGGATTCAGGAAACCATCAAGTCACGGGTGTGCTCGCTCACGTCACGATTCTACTCTACACTGATGTCATGTACATTGGTCAAAAACTACGTCATGATTGTACATGATTGTAAATGGTAAATGTAACATATGAATTACATTGTAATGTAACATCCACAAATACAGCTACAATACTACTAGTACGTACATGGTATATACAGAAGCCTTGCTTGGTAGTTAACCTTAACATGTTTTTCGATTGTAACATGCTGTCAAAATCGAAAAACATGTTAGTACGTACATGTAGTCATTAGTGAGGTTCTGCCACACGGTATAACGTGCCAAAGTACGTATGGAAACTTCGCCGCGGTACGGGATTTAGTTTGATACGGATTTTTTCATACCGTTTTCCGTGTGAAGCGCGGTTCACACGGACCGGACTTAGGGCTTGGCGGATAATGCCGGCAGAAAAATTGGCAGAATTAAGTACATTTTCTGGTAATTTTATGCATGTTTGGTATGTGGATAAAGAAATGGAGCAGAATTCGAGGAATTGCCCGCCATAAGGTTTGTATGGTTCTGCCAATTTCGGTGCAAAAAAAGCAGAATCTGCCACCTTTTCGAGCATTATCCGCCAAGGCCTAAGGTCCGGACTCCGTGTGAAAAGTGAGCGTACAGAGTACATGTGGCGGGGTGTTCGTGCATGGTTCGAGCATGCTACGTACAGCAGAACCGGTGCAACGTACGGAAAATCCGTGTCAAACTGCACTGCAGTTGACACGGAGTTTGGTACGTAGTTCCGTGTAGCAGAACCTCTACTAGGGAGGTTCTGCTCTACGTTTTGGGAACGCGACGCAAAGAATCACGCGAACTTTCTTCGCGTTCCCGTAACGTAAAGAAATGCTGTTCTGCTCTACGTTTCACCTACACATGTAGAGAAGTCACGTGGAATGTGTACTGGGAATTTCCCCTTCCATATTTGGCAGTTTTCTGCATGCAGTTGATCGATACTCAGCAAATCCGTACGCATTTTCTCTGCGTGTGCCACAACGTAGAGAACCCCATCTCCGCGTAGAAATCTGGAGCCAAAACACGCGAAGCCGTAGACTCTAACCCAGACACCTGCTCTCTACGTGATTTCTCTACGTTTTACGTATAGCAGAACCTCCCTAATAGTACCAAGCGTTCTCCCCATGCTATGCCTATGGTCACGGAGGTCTGCACACAACTCACTGTTGCTGAGCTTGAGCCAGGCGCTAGGCGCTAGGCCCGCGGCATTTGTTTCCTGCAGCATGCAGGGAGTCGTCAAATACCGGTATTTGACGACTCCCTGGTTTCCTGACGTCACAGATTTTTTTAAATAAACGCTTTGACGTCAGGAAAGAAAAAAGAGAGGTACATAGTCATTATTATTATTATTATTCCACAATCACGATGACATAGTGCCGATAAGCATGTGACATGTACATATGTAACAACATTTTGAGCTTTGCTTGAGACAATGACAGGCTTGTGAAGGTGTGCTGTAGATCTACTGCAAAAGGCAAACAACACCCGCCCAGTCCTGGCAGTACTTACAGATACATGAACTAAAAGCCTTGCCGGGCGGTACTGTAAGGACGGTCGGTGTCTCTACAGTCTGTAGTAGTACATGTATCCATGCAGCAAGCTCAGGTGCACTCAACCTGGGCCTGGGGTCATCAATGGCATCATGCCCCCCCCCCCCCCCCCGGTCAGTGCATGGAGTTGTTGCGACTTCTTCCGTCGCTCTATACAACACCACACGCACACACACACGCCCCCCCCCCCCCCACACACACTACTACTACTACTACTACTACCAGGCGCGTGCCCCGTATGGGTTCCTGGGTGCCCGGAACCCCCCTTTTTCGCTCAAAATGCAGGATTTTGCTTCATTTTTTGAAATTTTTTCCCGGGGAGGGCCCCCGAATCCCCCTTGAAGGGCACCGGCGCACGCGCCTGACTAATACTACTACTACCACCACCACTATTGACAGCTGCCAGAATTGGCCACTCCGCTCCCAGATGGGAGGTACTGTCAGAGAGGTTAGGGCCCATATATAGGGGGAGGGGACACCATTGGACCATTGGACGCCCATCGCCGGAGGCGATGATAGCGATGCTACAGCAGAAGCCATAGCAACTTGTGCTGGGATTGCACCATTCAACAGCTTGCAAGGCTGAAGAATTGACCGCCACTATTCAGCCTGGTCTACACCACACAGCTATGAAGTGGCTTTTTCTGGCCAGTGAATCCCTATTTTTGGTCTCTTCTTTTTTTTCCCGCACACACATCACACCACATACTCCGGCATGCACTGGCTGTTGGTAACCACCCAGGAGAATGAAAGAAAAGTCAGGAAGAGTCTGAGAAAGAGAAGAAAGACGTGTGTGACCATAATCGTCGGGAATCGAACCCGCAACCTATCGATTGGAAATCGCTGCACATACCACTGCACCATATGGGACACACACGGAGGGGACACACACACACACACACACACACACACACACACACACCAAGGGCAGATCAAGAGACCTCTACAGGGGCCGGGGGAGTTCCAAACTTCTAGTTGAGCCAAAACTGAATAACGTTAGCTGATACAATCATCTAAATCTACATGCATAAGGTTTGCAGGAGTACATTTGTTGCAAAATGCAGCGGTTTCCGCTGGACCCCGGATCCGCCCTGCACGCACACACACGCACACTCGACTTGACGCTATAGAAAAGCACAGGCTAGCTGTACAAGACCACACCAGCACACCAGACCAGGCGACGGAGTGAATCACAGCGTGCAGTAAAACGTCTTTTCAACGGTAGCCAGTGTTTCTAGCCAGAAGATCAGCAAGATTCCAGAAAGTCAAGATTGTTACGAGGCCGTATATGCCATGCAGTCTATCGGTGAGCACCGGTGGATCAAGCGCCTACGTATTACGATAAGCACAGGCCAGCAAAGCATAGCAAAGCAAAGCAAAGAACATCACAAAGTTGCGCGCGGGCCTGATACGAGAACAAGACAGCATTTCAGTGAGTGACTAGGGTGTGTTTCGTGAGGGGACTGGACGGCCACGGTGGTGCATGTGTGGGCAACAGCGAGCGGCTTTGAAGCATGCTCAAACCACTAAAAAGTATTATTTAAAAAAGAAAACAGGAACAGCTAAACGCAGTGAATCCACAAATAAAACTTAAAAAGAAATTTGGAAAAAGCTAAGACGAACAGTGTATTATTACAACAGTTCAAGTGCTCACAGTATACTAACTAGAGAGAGAGAGAGAGAGAGAGAGAGAGAGAGAGAGAGAGAGAGAGAGAGAGAGAGAGAGAGAGAGAGAGAGAGAGAGAGAGAGAGAGAGAGAGAGAGAGAGAGAGAGAGAGAGAGAGAGAGAGAGAGAGAGAGAGAGAGAGACAGTGTACATAGGGTGGGTTATGCCATGCAACATTTCAATGATACATACACCAGCAGAAATTCTAAGGGGGTTAGTAGTGGAAAATGCCGTGGAACAATCAATTCTATAATACTAAGACCGGGAACTTGAAAAGTGGAAAGCAGTAAAAAAAGACATCACTTGCAACACTAGTAGCAATTGAATACATCCAGCCGGCTTTACAGCATTGCATAGCAGTTGCCATGGCAGTAAGTACGAATTTGACAGCAGAACATACCTAGAAAACAATTTTCAATTGAAGTCCTAACTGCCATCATGATCAGTGGTAACAACGTCCAGCGACACTACGTTGCCATGGTGACGGTGGTGGCATGCATGCGCGGCACGACAACTGCACGCAGGCGCCTCTTGGTGCGCAGGTAGCCGTGCGAAACTGACTTGGACGGGTGTGTGATATCCTCCTCCTCTGTTGTCAGCGGTGGTGTTGTCCGCGGCTGTGCACTGGGCACACTCCACGCGGTGTTGTTGTCGTCATGGTTGCGGTCGTCATGGTGGCGACCGCCACGGCGGAGAAAGCGGTACGGAGCCACGGACTGGCCGTTGCGGGACAGTTTCGACACACCCGCAGGCAATGGTGATGATTGTGATTGTGAGCGGTTCTTCGGAGGGCGCTTGGAAGTCCTTGACCGCGAACTGGGTTTACGGCGAGAAGACTTGACCCGCAGCCTAGTAGACTGAGCAGAGCGGCGCAACGGCGAAGGAGACAGAGGTTGCCGCGGCGAAGCCACAGGGGAGAACGTTGCTGATTGGCGAGATAGAAGCTGTAGCTGTGCTCGTGACGAGAGCCGCTTTCCCTCGCGGCGACCATCTCCGGCACTGGTGCGCTGACTGGTAGTCGAAGCGGCATTTCCAGCATGCGTTGCCTGCTGACGTGACTGCTGCTGCTGTTGATAGCGTGTCAGAGGCCGTAGCAACGGTTCACACTGGTTGCTCTCCACACTAGAGGTAGTTGGCGACACTGGGCGATGTGAGAGCAAAGGCGAACAGGCCGAGTTGTAGCCACTTGTTAGATTAGAGTCTACTTCACTGCTAATGCTACTGCTGCTGCTGCTGCTGCCATTACTACTACTATTGCTGCCAGTGCTATGGCAGGTGAAGCGGTTGCCGGAGCAGTCACAAGGTACTGGTGGCTCATCCGGTGACGAGTTACGTGGCGTGGGTAGGTGCACATCGACCAGCATACTGGCATCGAACAGCAGCGACGTCGGTGGCTCGGGATGCTGCTGAACGAGGCAGTTGTTGGTGCGGTTCGGCGACCACTCGGAGCACTGCACCACGTTCTGTCCCGGACAGAACTCGTCCACGACCACCTCGACCCACTCGGCATCGTCCACGCACACCGATATCGACGGCAGAGAATGGCACGATGTCGGCGACGACGACGATGACGACTGCGGTGGTGAGAGTAGCTGTGCGGATGAGTCCCCCGCGGAACCGGCGTCACTCGTCAAGCCGGAGCTTGACCGAGACGTCGGCGGGGTCACGGCAGGGCAATCTAGCACTGGCGATGACGACGATGAGGAGTAGGAGTAAGCGGTTGGAAGTAATGGTGAGGCCTGAGCGGATCTAGGTGGTCCCGAAGCGCTACCTGCTCTAGTGCTGCTGCTGCTGTTGCTGTAAGGCATGGATGTATAGGGAGTGCGCCGTCGGCGATGATGATGATTCCGCGGGTCCAGCTCAGCATGCTCCTGCTGCTCATTGCAATGCCCTGCTGTCGCCACCGGACCCGTCGACACGGCGGAGTAATACAGGTCGGAGCGATCGAACCGATGGTGGCAGCCTCTTGACGACCGCTGTGATCTTCGCCGCCGCGGCGCAGCAAGTGAGGAAGTCGCTACTCGCGACGACGACGATGGCGCGGCGTCACACCGCAGCTTGTAGGGTGGCTGCGCCGCCGGTGATGTACGGGACTGCCGTCTCCGTTGCCGTGGTGATGACGTCATGGCTAGGGAGCAACGCCTGGCTGCTGCGGCGCAACTAGTGCGATGGCGTGTGTTGGCGGAGACGGCGGATGTGGCAAGTGCAGCGGCCACACTACGCCGACGACGATGATGCAGATCACTGTCAACGGCGGCGATGGCGGGAGTACCGGGAATTGAGGAGCAGGAGCGTAAACCAGCGACGGCATTAGCAAGGGCATCGAGACTAAACGTCAGTGGTGACGTCGATGATGACACCGACGATAACAACGGCATGAGGGGTCCGCCGGTGACGGGTGACAGCCCAAGCGAGACTAGAGATGACGATGATGACGATAAGGAGGGACGGCTACGCGAGGACAACGGCAACGACGAGGAACTCAGCAATGCGGTCGGCGGGCTAGGCAGCGGAGGTGAGGCGTGATTGCCGCGACTGCCGCGTCGTGAAGCAGCCTTGCTAGTGCTGGGGCTGGCGTGCACGGTTGGACTCGAATGCCGCGGCACGGCTGTCGAGCTCCTGGAAAGACAATTGATGTCATTGCCGCTGCTGCTGCTGTTGTTGTTAGTACTGCTGCTGCTGCTGCTGGCATTGTCAGTAGTGGTGTCAGTGGCTGAGTTAGCAAGCAGTTGATCATGTGCCTTTGTCAGAATGCTGGTACAGAGTGGACATCGCCATTCGCCCGGACAGGCGCTGAAACCGGAGCAGCGCAGGTGGGTGGCCGCCTGGCCGCAGTGGTCGCAGCGCTTGATGCTAAACGCTCTGTGCACACACACAGACATGCACGTACACGCACACACACATGCACACCCACACATGTACACACATGTACACCCACCCACACACACACACACACACACAAACACACACACAAAGCAAAAGTAAGGGGTCGAAACCGCGCGTACACACTGGAGAATTATAAGAGTACGCCAGGCCGGCAGCAACGATTTAAGAACACCAGCGTGTGTGTTGTCATGTAACCTACAGCACACACACACGCACACACACACACACACACACACACACACACACACACACACACACACACACAGTCTACCTGTACCATATGAATGTACTGTAAGACATGTTATTATAACGAGTCGCAAAGTTAACGATTATCCAAAATTCAAAGGTTAACGATCTTGCAGTATTCTGCCATATCCACACACAGCATATATGAAGCAGTACGACCTCAACGGATCTTATTATAACGAAGAAATGTCATCCGTTAAAACGTTAGATTTGCTTCCTCGTTATATATACATGTCTTAAAGTACATAGCAGACTCAGCGGAGGACGTTCAGGTTGGTTGTAACTCTGAGTTTCATCGAGTCTGCTATGTACTGTAAGACATGTATATATAACGAGGAAGCAAATCTAACGTTTTAACGGATGACATTTCTTCGTTATAATAAGATCCGTTGAGGTCGTACTGCTTCATATATGCTGTGTGTGGATATGGCAGAATACTGCAAGATCGTTAACCTTTGAATTTTGGATAATCGTTAACTTTGCGACTCGTTATAATAACATGTCTAGGCACTCTCTGCAGCTCGGGGATTTGTCTTACAGTACCATAAAGTACCGCCAGTGCGCCCCGTCTCGCTAGAGCGCCCCACCTTGATTCTACAGCCAAGGGAAGACAATCGTATGGCAGAATGCTGCTAAGTTTGTAGGGTCTGAGAACCTTAGTGTACTGAGGTCACACTTGGCATGTTTATATGTGGAGCTCGAAGGTAAACTGGGTACGGATTGGCTGCACAACATGCAATGCGTGTACAAGGTCTGTGTCGTATGACCTACATGCAGGAAACCACCTCCACAAGGCGGCCACGAAAGGACGAGATGGTGGCGCGCTCTGGCGGTACTTTACGTTCCAAGCACAGAACAAGAACAAAGATGCCGTCATCTCGGAAATAAGAACCTCACTAGCCTGCAGCAGAGAGTTGGTCTGGTCATGGCCTGACCAACCGCACCGGTTTCACTGCCTCTGCTGCGTTAAAACGCAGCTACAATACTTGCCAAAACAATCCGATCAATGCTGCAGTGGTGTCAACTACGATGCTTGCAGCATTGGCCGATTTTGTTTTGGCAAATATTGTATCAGAGACATAGCAGGGGTAAGCAGAGCTAAGTCAAACTAACTTTCATCTGGCCAGAGGAAGTGTGTGTGTGTGTGTGTGTGTGTGTGTGTGTGTGTGTGTGTGTGTGTGTGTGTGTGTGTGTGTGTGTGTGTGTGTGTGTGTGTGTGTGTGTGCGTGTACTTCCATCTGGGCAGAGGAAGCACCTGCTTGCCGATGTCATCAGCAGAAAGAACAATCACCAGCAGGGCCGATGTCAATACTAGTGGTGCGAATTTGTATTACGACTATGATTTACGCATGTTGTTGTATTTGGTTCTTGTCTGGTGGAGTCCAGTGTCTGATGTCATATATTATGGTCTAGGTGTACGCGCGAGTATGGTGTGATGTGTGACGTTTATGGTATGTGGTGCATGCAAGAGTACGCGTTGTCAGAGTGTGAGGATGTGCTTCCGTCTGTGTGAGAGTGACTGTCAAGTGAATGCTGTACATGCGCAGTGCTAGTTTGGTCTGGGAATGAGACTCGTGTGTGATTCGTCCGTGGTCTGGTTGTCTTGGTCTTGGTCATGTGTTCTGTACGTATTAGTCCCTGATTGGTCGTCCCGATTTGTCGTCGCAATATTACTGCTTGTTCTTGTTGTTTTCTTTGAGTCTTTTCCCGGGAGTCTTTCCCGTTGTCTTTTTGTCCCTTCACAAAGTTTGTCTCTCTCCTCCTGCGCCCTCGTCATTTCTTGGTATAATATAAGTATTGAAGATACAATCAAGAGTTTGCGTTGTTGTGTGGCGGGGGCCAGGGGGACTTTTAATGCTAACAGCAAAACTAGCCGACGCAGTAGGAAAGAACAAATATAGCCAATTTTGGTTGTGGGGAAACTCCCTGCTTCCTCCACAGGAATATGCACATAGCACCACAAACACACATGAGCGGACGCACACACGCACACACACACACGCACATACACACGCACGCTAAACATACCCAGAATCTGCTGAATGATCTCGCCCTTGCTCACACAGACATACGTCGGCGTCGCAATGCGAGTACACAGTAAGGAGATCCTCAAACGCACCATCCTCCGTTTCCCATGCAGCATCTCTGTTGTGCACAGGGACAAACACACACACACGTACACACACACACACACACACATCACCAGCACGGACACCACCAGAGGAAAGACATGATACAATCTAAGGGGCTCCGCAAAACGAAAGCTCGTGCCAAACATCGTGCACTTTCAGAAGGGAAGACAACTTGGTGTAAAGTTTTGCAGTCCTGAACAAAACGCTGGCCGCCTCTGCTCCCGGTGGAACTCGCAACCACTGCTAACACGCGGAGTACCGCAGCAACTCATACAGAGGGTGGGGGGGTGTAGGGGACAAGCCTCACAACTAATGCCACAACTACACAAGTGCTGAAAACCCCCATTAGCCGTATCCATGAACACCTCAAGCCTAGCCACAACTTCCCAGTTGGCCAGGCACGCCAGAAAAATTCCATACTCCGTTTCGCGCACTCGAATCAGCAGGATTAGACACATACGGTGATCAGCTGTACGTCTGTGTATTATCGTATATACAGTCAGACCTCACTTATCGGGAAGAAAATCGTCGGTTATCGATTTACAGCATATGTCACGCAAACATACAGTACGTATGTTCGATTATCTGGTTCCCTCGCCTATCCGGATAATTTTGCGGAAAACGGATGTGTGCGGTTAAGTGAGGTCTGACTTTATCTGCAGAACAGTTTTTCAGTGGCTGAGGACACCAATGCTTCCCGAGACATTTTGTTTCTCAGAACCTCTCAATTGCCATCACCCACGCACGCGAAAAATGCATACACACAAACGCACGCGCACACACACATACATGTACGCACGTACACGCACACACACACATGCGCACACACACACACTCCTACTCATACTTCTGCCCATCGCTGAAGCGATGATAGAGAAAAAGCTACGTTAGACATAGAAACTTGTGCTGGGATCACACCATTCAACAGCTTGCAAGGCTGATGAATTGACCGCCACCAATTTTAGTGCACTGGCTGTTGGTAGCCACCCAGGAGAATGAAAGAAGAGCTAGGAGAATACACACACACACACACACACACACATCAGTCCTGTCCTGTCGAGCCACTGCCACAAGGGTCACGTGGGCCCCGGAGGGGCAACGGAGAGAGAAGAGAAGAACGCCGCCCCACGGCGTCCGGGACACACACAACGAGAGGTCGCCAGGATTCAGGTCACCTACGACTGCCACCACGAGACACACACACATACACACACACACACACACAGCCACTTACTGGATGGGTACATTGATGCCCATGCGCATCATCTCAGCCAGGAAGGATTTACTGTTGTTGCACATTCCACAGCGGAAGAAATATCTGCCAGCCGACAGTGCCTGGCTCTGTAACACACATACACACACACACACACACACACACACACACACACACACACACACACACACACACACACAGAAAGAGAGAGAGAGTGAGAGAGAGAGAGAGAGAGAGAGAGAGAGAGAGAGAGAGAGAGAGAGAGAGAGAGAGAGAGAGAGAGAGAGAGAGAGAGAGCAAAGACAGACAATGAAGACTGATAACGGCAACCCTTCAGATACGCAGCGTAATATCAAACATGCCAATACCCCACCCTCTGTCTGTCTGAGACAACAGTGGTAGACAGTCGACCCACAGAACAGGAGCAAGACAGGTTACTGACAACTGTTAACGTGTTGGCCATATGGCGGGTCTTCTTCAAAATTGCTGCTGTGTCATCATCCTCTAGAGAATCTAGCCCCTACCTGATATCTGTCTGTGTGTCAGTCTACTGTAAAAGCCATAATTATAACGAAGTGCTAACTCTAACGAGTTAAAATAAATAAATAATTCACGGGATTCGCGTTGGCATCGCTTGAATGTTCAGAAACACACAAACTAGCCAACGAGTTAACGAGGAGAAATCTGTCGTTAAAATAGAAATCGTTATACAGAAATCGATACAATACTGTTTCTATTGAGCGTTGAGAACGAGTCACAATCGTTACCTTTTGTTCACGTACACCAGTCAATTTTAGGAAATCGATATATATGCGCCTCGTTAGAATGGCTTTTACAGTATGCAATGGAGGATAGCCACATGGCCACACACAGTATCAGTATCAATCAGGTGAGGGCTTGCTCCCGTTGTGTGTTGTATGGATCCCCTGGCTGGAGCTGTGCTGGTGTATCATCGTATGGATATCAAGCCTTTGCCAAACCGTCCGTCTGTCTCTTTCTGACACACCCTCTCACTCACGATCTCCTAGTATAGCCATTCTCCCGTCCCTTGCATTGTAGCCCGTCTTCAATGCCTTCCAACAAGCCATTGGCACACACACACACACACACCACACACGCATACACACACACGTGTCTTGCTCCTTCCATGACTGGTCATGCGAGTCTCCCCCGAAGAGAGGGGAGGGGGGAGAGAGAGATTCAAAAGGAATCTTGGAAAGATGACTCGATTGGCTATTGAACCGCCCAACACCCCCCACATCTTTTCTCCCCCCCCCCCCCCCCCCCCCCAACATACACACAACACCTACCTGCAAACACTCGCGGTGGTAGATGCCACGCTTGCAGCAGGGACCCAGTAATACATCGTAGCTGTTGATATCACCCACTGGTTCCATACAGTACGGACAGGCTTGAGAGGACATCGCGCTGGTGCACACATCACTGCTAGCATGCATGGAAGAAGAGGGCGATGCCGATGGGGAGAGCGATGACGACGACGAGCAGAGGGACGCCTCCTGACACCAACGCTGCCTGCGCTTGCCGATCAGCTGCTTTTGCGTCGGTCGGTGCTCGCTGCAAAGTGTACTGCGTCGTCGTGGACAGACATCAGAGTGCACAAACAGATCAGAGTGAACAGACAGATCAAAATGAACAGGAAAATGAGAATGCAGCATGGATGCATGTGAATTGACATTGACAAAATAAGAATGCACAAACAGATCAGAGTGCGTGAACAGATTAGAATGCAAAGACAGACAGTGCACGGACTTATCAGAATGACAAGACAGATGAGCGTGCATGTGAGTATGCTGGTATCAGCAATGCACTGCACAACACCCTACACAGCCATACCCAGGTGGCTGGGTAGGGTGCTGATGGAGCAAACCACGCCATTACGCAATGGGATTATCCGCTCGACCGTGGATAAAGCCCGCGTTGCACGTGGTCCACCTCACATCTCGCATGCATACGCGTAGTGTAGCAGTGTCTGCTCTAGGATTTCAAACCAAACGGGTACACGTGTACCGGGCACAGCTCTTGCAACCGGGTCAGAGGCGGGTACGTTGAAGTGCAGCTACTGCATGTACATGCCTATGACCAGGGAGTTGTAAAATGTTAGGGCTCCCTGATGTACTAGTATTACTGCATTCCCAACCGGGAAACAGGTGACCCGGTGTTCTTTCTCCAAACGGGTCCAAGTACCCCCCCCCCCCCCCAACCGGGACGCTGACCCGGCTCTGGAGCAGACACTGGACTGTAGTTGGCGACTCACCGGAAGTCGTCGTAGAACTGCATGATACCCTGGCGATGCAGCAGACACGGGTAGTGGAAGTACTTGCCACACGGACGTACACGGCCGCCGTACATACAGCGCACGCGTGCATTTGGCTGTTGGCAGTAGGAGCATTTCTGCAGGCACACATACACACACAAACACACACACAAAGACACAAATTCACACACACACACACACACACACACACACACACACACATACACACGCGCGCACACACACATACAGCATGTTATGTTCCCTTCGCCCAAGTTCACCCCACCCGTCATTGGCAAACACTTGAAACGCCACCAAATATCGCAATCACGATCCAGTGGTTTCTGTTTTGGTCATTTCGAGTGGCCAGTCCGCCACACTGGATGATTGCTATCACGAAGCGGTAGTTGCAAAAGCTTTTTTGTCGTCCCTAAAGCGAGCATCGTTCATTCCCCTCACCTCCCTCTGAAACGAACGCAGCTTGCTATGAAAAAATCGCATGCATGTACATGTCATATGTACAGTGTCGGTCGACTTGCGATTTTGGCTCGGATCCCCTCCCCCCACAAACGAATGATGTTTGTTTCAGGGACGACAAAAAACGTTTGCGACAGCCCCGAAGCAGAAGTACTGAGAGAAACAATTCCCTATTGGATGCTGCACATTAGTGTTTTGCACAGATACTGGTATTGAGAGAAACAATTCCCTATTGGATGCTGCACATTAGTGTTTTGCACAGATACTGGTATTGAGAGAAACAATTCCCTATTGGATGATGCACATTAGTGTTTTGCACAGCTACTGGTATTGACATCTTAGGAACGAAAGAGATGCACCAAAAGTACCGAATATAAAAGTCAACCGAAAATTTGGGAAATTAGTTCAAATTACCGTACTGCCTGCTGAAGTTCACTTAGGGGTCGTCCGCAATTATCGAAAGTTTTTTCCAATCCGTAGTAGCTTCGAAAGTGGGTGGGTGGGTCAAGGCCAGTTACGGATTGAAAAACTTCCGATATGACACGTGCGCGTGCCACGTGTACGTCTACGTGTAGCCCCTGTTTTCCACGCGCGGCTGCGCGCGAACTGTCTACTACAAATATTTTCTAGTTCTGGCAGTTTCTGCGCCCCCGCGCGCGCTTCCTTGGCTGCTCCTGGGCCGGGGATCATAAAGTTCGGTGCATTCGACGGCGAGTCGACACTTTCTATTTTTGAGTTTCACTGTCTCCTTCGTCCAGAGTACCGTCTTCCATGCACTCCTTTGAAGTCCTTCCGTCTAGCGCTGGCGCTGACGACTGTTATTGTTCGGTTGTGTGTCCATCAATAATATTTTATTACGGACTGGGGGGGTGGGTGGGTGGGTGAGGAAAAATTTGAAGCTACTACGGATTGGAAAAAACTTTCGATAATTGCGGACGACCCCTTACCTGCCGAGGTCGCTGTAGAAAATATGTGAAATTAGTTCAAATTACCGTACTGCCTGCTGAAGTTCGCTTACCTGCCGAGGTCGCTGTAGCTCGGCTTTGATGTCCTTGACCAGGAATCCCATGAAACCCTCGTCATCTCCACCGTTCTGCGGTAAACCATCCGCTGACAGCTGCATGCCCAGGAGCCATGACGAGCAAGCAAGCAAACAAACAAACAAACAAACACACAAACAAAAAGAGGATATCAGAGAGGTTGAAGTGTCGTAGCATTCGACGGATCAGGCAAAAGCAAACAAAGGCTACGAATGCACATAGAATGTACTGCCCATGCACACACACACACACACACACACACACACACACACACACACACACACGCGCGTACAGTCAGACCTCGCTTATCTGGTCCTCGTTTATCCGGATCCCTCGCCATCCGGAAGAAAATCGCTGGTTACCGATGTGCAGCATATGTTATGCATACAACATAATCAGACCTCGCGATCCGCATACCGGTGCATGATTTTGTGTACAAACTGGTTGAAATGTGTACAAAAAGCTTCGTCGTATCCGGTTGCATGTGCCTTGCAGAAGCTAGAATCAGGGAGTTGTACAGGCAAATGAGGTCCTTGACCTGCTGGGTACATGTGGACAGCACTCAGTTGCATGCACTTGTCATTTTTCTCGCTTGTTTTACATACTGTGCACGCTAGTTGTACTGCATAGGACCCATCTACATGTATGTACGATGCCACTGCTTTTGACATGCCACATGCATATACGGTATGTGTGTTCAGTTATCCGGTTACCTCGCCTATCCGGATATTTTTGTGGAAAACAGATGTGTGCGGTTAAGCGAGGTCTGACTGTATATGCGCGTGGATGTGTACACGTGTGTGTGTGTGCTCCGTATATGTACGCGCGCGCATGTGTGCGCATGTGTGTGTGTGTGTGTGCGTGTGCGTGTGTATGTGTGTGTGTATGTGCATATGCGTACTGACCATGCAGTAGTGGTGCACAGTAACGGCTCCCTTGAACATCTCGCCGTAAAGCAGAACATCCTCGTCATCATAGCCACATAGCTGACATGCTACAACAGATCAGGACACAGAGAACACCATAGCCACATAGCTGACATGCTACAACAGATCAGGACACAGAGAACATCATAGCCACATAGCTGACATGCTACAACAGATCAGGACACAGAGAACATCATAGCCACATAGCTGACATGCTACAACAGATCAGGACACAGAGAACATCATAGCCACATAGCTGACATGCTACAACAGATCAGGACACAGAGAACATCATAGCCACATAGCTGACATGCTACAACAGATCAGGACACAGAGAACATCATAGCCACATAGCTGGCATGCTACAGCAGATCAGAACACACAGACAAGACGCACTTTTTCACAAGGGGGGGGGGGGGGGGGGCTTGGCCTCCCTACCCTCCTTTGGTTAGAACCCTGGTACTGCTTGAACATAACCCTTATTTGGACTTTCCAGGACCGATTTCAGTCCCTTCAATTATGTCGTGATAACAATGTCTGATAATTCGAACCTCGAACTGGGCAAATGCCGGTACGTCTAAATTTAGAAGTCAAACCAAGTCTGCATACATAGAACGTGTGTTGCATTTCTGCCGGCAATTCGAAGTTAGCAAGGCATGATTCGACGTCAGTTACTTCACTGGGTACGTTCGATTTACTCCCACGAATCGATTCGTGAAAGGAATCTCGCGCATTCAAGTTGTTCGATTTCATGTCGTGAGCCTTGGAATCGGTCCGTAATCAATCCATCATAATAGGGTGATGAGAATAGCCCGGGGGGGGGGGGGGGGGGGGGAGAGGGGTAATTCATGAATGGTTTCAAAACCCAACCCACTCACTGTACTCTGTACTGGTTAGCTGAGTGTGTGCAAGCAGAGTGTACTGGTAAGGTCCGAGCGCACAGGATCTGTGTCATCGTACATATCGCAACTCTGTGTGACAATGTGAACATTCCCGTATACCGGTAGGTGTTGTGTTGTGGGTGCACGTTCGGATAATTAGAATATCCGGAAAAATAAAATAAAAAAATTGGAAGTTTTCAACTGGCAATTTCGGGTTCGAATTATCAGGATTCCATCGGTTCCATCAATCCATTGAAACACGCCCTGATTCAATAGGCCTTATGCACGTTGTACAGATGCACGAAATCCCGTAGAATCCCGTAGACCCGGTTGGGTGTTGAATGTGCAGGACCCTATTGTGTTTATTGCTATTTCCACAGCGAAATGGGCCCTGAAGGCATTTCATACGAACACTTTTTCGACAGTGATCTAGCGAGTCGTTAGTTCAATCCCAAAGTGAAGAAGCTGGAAAAGTGATTGTTCGCCGCGAATTATGAGGCTAAATGGGTCAAACACGCATGTATAGCACACAATGAACACCCAACCGGGTATGTACACACCTACGGCCCTAGTACAGAACTTCGTACATCTGTACAATGTGCATAAGGACTGTATCGTGAGAACTAAACCTAGAAAAAAGGAGGACAAAGTGTTAAGAGTTATGATATGCGTTGGTGGACAGTTAGTCATAACTCGTAACATTTTGTCCTCCTTTTTTCACCATACTAGTACTAATACTAGTAATGTAATTGGCTCACCATCCGAGTTAAACTAAGCCTAGAAAGTTCAAATTTTGCAAATTTTGCCATTCCCCCATGCTACATTTTTTCTCAAGCAAAAAAACATCCATTTCAACTGAGCAAACATCCTACATTTCTTTCTCGGCATCGCTGCTCCCAGGTAGATCTACACTACTACAGATGGCGATCAAATTTGCTGCAAAGGCTCCAACGGTCATACTATGGACCAAAGAAAGTGAGATCGTAGTCAGCGAGGTGTCCCGCACTACCTCCACAGCTGGCGCAGCAGTACAGCTCTATCAAGTCACACTCTCTCAGACACCTCACGAGTCACGGTAGTCATCGTGGAACTGCAGCTCGCGACTGGGCTTCGCCATGGCGCTACACATTCCAACGCACAGCTGCCTCATCAGGATTAGGCCGAGTCCTCAGCTGAGCTCAGTGCAATGTAGCTCTTACTATTTTTTGCACTTGAAACGTGGAGAAGACTGGACCTCCACTGAGGCCAGCATTCGTAGAGGAACGATTAGGCAAGCGATCTACGCTAGACTACGGGCACAGCAGTCAACAGACAACACTCAGCGAGATCAGTTGTTGCATTCACAACAACTGTGACTTGTTTTTGTACAGAAAGAAATGGTATGCACACCCACTTTGTTCAAAGATCAGATGCAGGGGGCAACGAAATCGAGAGAGATTTGAAGTCAGAGGTGCCACGCATCATGCATTCGAGCTGGATGGCACAGCACGTGGCTGCAACACTGCCAACAGTACAAAATAATTCGAAACGTAGTCAACAGAGTGCGTGCGGAGCTCCGGAGCAGAGATCGATGAACGACGAAAAATGACCTACGAGACTACCGCGTCCCAGCGCAGCGCGTGTGCGCAGCGGACTGTCGACCATCGGGTACTTGTAGGTCGACTGCCCACCAGACAGGTCAGACTGCACCAGAAGGTCCAGAACTGTGAACATGGTGAAAGACTGGGAAGCAAACCATAAAGTGAGGGCATTTTGTGCAGCTAAATCCCCAAACCGTGCACTAGTGAACGCCAGTTCTGCGCGCTACGAATCGAACTCCTCTACACCACCTCCTCCAGCTACCCTAGCGGACTTCAATACCACAACACAAACAAAACCTTGTACACGGGCTAAAGCAGGCTACAACACTCACCCGCAGGACGGGTTTCCGTTGAAACAATAGGTCTCCGACTTCGTGTATTCATCATGACGAGTATTCCAGAACATTGAAAACAGTGGACAGCGGACAACTTTACTTTGAAGGAAAACAACGGCTAACAAAGGAGAAGTGGCTGGCTTGATGAGAAGGAAAGCCAACAGAACAGTGATCCATTGGAAAACAAAAACAAAAACTGCAGAGCACCGTCTCAACGCGCCTTCCACTTGTGGAGGAGAGCGAGCCTCAGTCCTTTGTTTGCCTCGGTAGTTTGACCCAGTGCATGTTGGAGGCGAAGAAGCGAGTTGACGTGTGGATCGCTGCTCTGCGCTGCAACCCAGAAAACTGGTTTTTGAATTTCGCAGGCTCCGCACGTCGTTTCCATGGCAGCATTCACACCCAAGGCTATGACTATGTCGATCTACGACTCGTGAGTACGAGACTACGTAGATCTACATGCGGATAATTATGACAAGTGACGTAAGTCAAGAACATCGATCACTGAGAGCGCTCCCCCTCTCCCACTCCAACGTAACGTTTAGTCCATGATCCAAGCTAGCAAGACGTTTCCTATCAATGATTACCATGATTACACTTCGGAGCTTCGGCTTCGAATGTGACAGTCAGTGTGTTTGGCCTCAAAATCAAATCGCTCTGTAGTTATCCATAAATAATTTCAACACACTGTCACATTCTTCGCCTTCACTTCCTCCTTCATTCCACGTCGGACCCTGCGGGTCCTAGCGGAATCTACGACTATGTATCAACTACTAGTACTACTAGTACTACTAGTACTACTACATGTACTAGTACGAGCAGGGAGTCGTAAAATACCGGTATTTTACGACTCCCTGGTACGAGTACTAGTACGTACGTATCATGTTTGTTCTTGACAGCACTTGAAATGTTTGACAGGTGTAGTCCACGAATAGGCCACTTTAAAGGGGAAGTCCGGTGAAAAATTTAAATTTCAGGGTCGGTAGAGTTTCGGGCGCTGAGTCGAATGGTGTTGGTCCCACGTGTCTCCGACAAAGCGTTCTCGAGATATTTCCGTTTGAAAAACTGAGTTTCGGGGGCTGCGCCATGACGTCATGCGGCCGCGCCACACCCTCTGCAACGTCATAGCGTGCAGCTAGGTCAAAAGGAGTGCGTGAAAGCAATAGTGTCAGTGCTATTTCAAATGATTTGGCGACTGATAGTTTGGTGCAAGCGACCCCGAAGACCTGTAACTCCTTGTGAGAGTGAGGATGCAGCCATGGCTGACCTTCATGAGTTCGGTCTGGGGCTGAGAACCTCGGCAGCTGAAGAAATGGCCACGCGGGCCGGTCAAGAGTGAGCGCTACTGAGTTTCCGACTGATGAAGAAGCAGCAGCTATTGCAGACGAAGCTGATCAGATCGCTGGAGAGCAGGGTCGCCAAAATGGAGAAGAGTGATGCGAGTGCTCTAAATGTTGTTCCATACCGATTAGATTCGCTTAGACTCCAGTAGCCTGCCACATGGTGATGTTTTGGTGCGAACTACTTGGAATAGTTCGGACTACTCAATTGGAGAACAGTGCAGGCTCTTTGAACCACGGGCACGACTCTTCGCTCGCAACGCTATGGAATCTGAAAGTTCTAGGTCCGGGAGCTGTTCGCTGTTTTGTCACTTGTCACGGTTGTGCACTCATCGCTGTAACATAAAATAATGAGGCGGGTGCGGAAAACTAAAATTTTCTTTCTCAAAGCACAACCACCGGCACCGGCAAGGAGAAACGCACGTTCTCTGACTACATGACTGAACAATACGACTGATACGAGTGTAGTACATGACAAGTCCGTGTGTTGACTAGTTTTCTGAGTCTTGTGTCAGTTGTGACTCGAGTCTTGTACATACTACCCCAGCACGGCAGTGCGGGAGTAGTTCCGTCTCATCTGTGATGAGTTTGTTGACTGCACTACAGCTAGATAACACACTGCACGCACTGCATGCACGCAGCGCAGAGCGCGTAGACGGTAGAGGCTGACGGAAAAGTCCAACTCGGAAACGGCTATAATACGGTATAACCTCCAAGGTTACCGAGCTGAAAATCACAGGGTACGTAGTGTTTGTAACACTGAATCGAATGGTCTTGGTCCGAAGAAGCTGCGACAAACGGTTCCCCAATCGAACGCGCTCCGAATATGGCCATTTTTGTACACAACTAGATGGTGTGGCTACCTGGCTGCACGCTGTGACGTCATCACCTGGATCTGGGTGATGCGCGCTCAAATTCGCACATGTTCGATTGGGCGTATCTGACGAACCATAAGCCGCAGCCTCCTCGGACAAAGACCATTCGACTCAGCGACCCGAACTCTACGGACTGTGAAATTTAAATTTTTCACCGGACTTCCCCTTTAATAGGGTCCGGCGGATTCTGCCGGCAGAAAAATTGGCAGGTACTTTTCTGGTAAGTTAGTTTCATGCATGTTTGGTATGTGGATAAAAAAAAATGGAGCAGAATTCGAGGAATTGCCCGCCATAAGGTTTGTATGGCACTGCTTTTCGAGCAGAATCTGCCACCTTTTCGAGCAGAACCCGCGGGTCCCTAGTCCACGTACCGACTCCACAGACAAAATGACCTGCGTGCATTTGTTCAGCTGCAGTATCGAAAGAGTTCGGGTATCCATAAGTAATTTGAGGGAATGGAAAGGGAAAAGTCTGAAGAAAAAATTGACTGTCGCGACCAGGAATCGAACCAGGGACCTTCGCTTGACGCCAGCGATGCTCCGGGTATTCATCGCGAGTATTCGAGAGCATCGAAAATGTTGTTGTTGTTGTTGTAGAAGTTTATTTAACGTCGCACCACAAACAGGCGATTTCGCCTCCTTTGATACATGTGGACGACAGAAGGAATGAGAGAGAGAGAGAGGGGGGGGGACAGAAGTATGGAGAGAGGAAGGGTAGAAATAAAATAAGCAATCAGCCTCAGGGCTACACCAAAGCAAAAACGGAATGGGAACATACTATATACAAAATAGCTTCATACATATATTGCAAAACACGTTTACTATTCTTCAGTCCGCTATACCGAAAATGGACACTGGACAACTTACTTCGAAGGAAAACAACGGCTAACAAAGGAGTAGTGGCTGGCTTGATGAGAAGGAAAGACAACAACACAGTGATCCATTGAAAAACAAAAACAAAAACTACAGAGCACCGTCTCAACCCGTCTTCCACTTGCGGAGGAGAGCGAGCTAGGCCTTGACGGATTATGCTAGCATAATTTTTCGCGTAATTCCTACCAAAATCGAATAATCGCATAATTCGAGGCAAATTGCATACAAATTGCATAAATAATGGAATAATCCGCCTGTTCGCATCAAATTCCATAGAGTTGTACATGTTCTACAAGTACGTATAAGTACAAGTACATATATGCACCAGGAAGTCATACATGTGGGTTTACGACTCCCTTGATAACATATCCAGTCCACTACAATCAGTGACGGTCGTAGCTACAATTGTAGGTCGGACGGTGCGTAGACCCCGTTGAACAGTACAACGCCCTATACAAAAAAATCCCCTGTTATTTTGCACAGAACCATCATTATACATGTACATTAGCAGCTTATGTGAGCATAATGCGGCATAATAATTATGATAACTTTTAGCATAAAATAGCATAATTCTGCAATTTTTTCAGCAATGCGAAAAGCATAATTTCACGAAAATATTAGCATAATCCGTCAAGGCCTACAAATGACATGTAGAGCGAGCCTCAATCCTTTGTCTCGGTAGTGGGGGGGGGGGGGGGAAACTTTGGCACAGACTCAGTTTGGTAAACTTTGGAAGCGTGGAGCCTGGATGGAGATTGGAGGCGAAGGAGGGAGTTGACGTGACCATGGTGACGCGCGCTAGCAAGTAACATGCATGCAAGTGCAACTCAGAAACCTGTTTTTTGCAGGTTCCACACGTCGTTTCCATGGCAGTATTCACACCAAATTGCCAAGGCTACACGATACGTACATGTAGATGCTACGTCGACTCGCATCTGCATCATTCAGATACAACATCATTCAGCGCCCGCTAAGTGGCTGGCAAGTGGCAGCGCTCAGCGCGGCATGCTGCAGTGTGCATGCAGCGGTTCGTGTCACAGACTGTGTGTGTGACGGTCGAAGGCGTCGGTGAAACAGCCAAGGACTGGTGCTTAGCATGCTGTGAACTTACTCTGCACTGCAGGAGCCAAGTCGAGTCGAGACGGAAACGTCTTTATTTTTGTTTTACTTCACTTGCTCACTGTCTGCCGGATTTGCCCATGCCGCTATAATTGAACGTTAGCATCATGACTGGAGTACACGAAACAGCGCTGCTGCCTTCCGTGCCGCGGACAAGAAGAAGAAGAATCGTTTTGCGGCGGCGGGCAAGCGCCATGGCTATGTACGCGCTCGTGCCTGTTATTGCGGCATTGATAGCGGGCAGCCACCCTAGCGTCAAAGCAGCCACTAGCGGCCCGACTGCTCCGGTCACGAGTAACGACGGTAAGCCGCTAGTGCTCGGTCTAGTTTTTTTCCACTTTTTGGGCAACTTTTTGTGTAAACTAGTAGGATTCAAGATAGTGTTGAGAGAAGCACCTTGCCGAGTAACTTAGTCGACCGCTCAGCGTAAGCAGCGGCCGGCTCGACGTAAACCCAGTCGACTAGCAGTGCAAGAACTGACAATCTTGCTCCGCTACAAAGTATAATCCAGGACGTACCGGCAATGCCTGGCACGGATATTGACACAGTTTTGGCCCGTCATCTCATTTGCAGCACGGGGGTCCCTGGGGAGTTTAGGGGAGTCTCACTCTGTGACCTGATGACAGCTGATCCCCTCCTTACCCCATATTCATACACTGATACAGGCAGTCTAACCTGACCACCGCTCCAAAGAGGGGACACACCCACACATGATGCGCACATAGGGCAATGACATGACATGATTATGCTTCCAAGTATTATTCTCAAAATCTGTCTGCCACACAACGTGTGGTGACACAAGTTGCATACAAATCTTTCTGATGGCCCACGGTTATTTTTGTTTCCTGTTCCACCCTCCTTGAAGTTGTACTTTGTACTGTTGAGGCGATAAACTAAAAATAAATCAAAAACAAAACAAACATTGTGCAAACAGCATGGGATAATGCTCTCTGCCGCATGGCAATTGTGCAGCCTTCGGCCTCATCTAAACCATGATCTCTTTTTGCAGGCTCCTGAGGCTCCAACCATATGACACAGCTCTGAACTATTAAAGCTTGACGCATTTGCTTTTTCGCCACAAGACTTGATTCTGTCCGCCTAGACTAGTACCACCGGGCGCCCAAGAACGACCAGGCTAGAATTTCACCGAGCATGGCATACCAATGTATACATGGTGACTCAACTGTGCATAGACTGCAGTACATGAACAATAAAACCGGTCTAGCGGGCTGACCTACCAGTCCTTCGGCGGCCAACAGTACTGTATTCTGTGTTGATGCTGTGTGTGTGTGTGTGTGTATGTGTGTGTGTGTGTGTGTGTGTGTGTGTGTGTGTGTGTGCGTTGATGCTATGTACACATGATGTATGTGCAGGTCAGCTACCTGATCATGTTTTGCTGGAGGATAAAATCTCCGCACTGCACTCTCCCGTCAAAATCCTGGTGCTGCCACCGTCACATACGGTAAATGAAGGACTTCTTTTTCTAGACTTTCTTTTCATCACTATTTTTTTCTCTATTTTTAGCATCCATTTTGAACCAGGATCAAGTGTGTGTGTGTGTGTGTGTGTGTGTGTGTGTGTGTGTGTGTGTGTGTGTGTGTGTGTGTGTGCATGTGCATGTGTATGTGCATGTGCTTCCGTGTGCTGCCAGTGCAGGTATGTGTGCTGTTTTACAAATCTATAATCTTCCCGTGGTTGTTGTTGTTCTTGTCATTGTTATCGTCTTTGGTTGCTACGCAGAGTCCCGACACTCTCTCCATAGAGCTATCCAGTAACGCCAGTGTTTGGATCATTGATGCCGAGTTGAACGAGTAAGTCCATGACCATGTGCTGCTTGTACTGCATCATGTAGAGGTGACGGTTCGAGACCGGAACGGCTTGACGGCCAAATTTGTATGACCCAATCAGCGTTGATTGTTCACTTGAAATATGTTTGTGGAAGGAAACTGGTGTGTTGAAGTTTGCTCTGAGGCCAGAGTCAATCGAACTGAGCCACTCCTTTGTGTTGACCCATTGCCTCCAAGTTGCCCAAATTTTCGCTTCAAATCAGAGGTGGCTCCAAACCGGACATGTCAGTTTAGAGTGGCGGTCAAATTCACTCCGGGTCTGAAATTAGGTAATTGCTATCGCTCCACGACGGCCAGTACAGAGTAACAATACGCCTTGTGTGTGCTTCCATTAGTTTTGATCGGTATGCGGTGCTTTATTGGCGAGAGGCAAGCCGCTGTTTACCTGCGACAAGAAGTTGATTTTTCGAAAGTCGTAAAACTCAAGTCGCAGAGGGAAGCAACACGTCAAAAACTCAAATGCTTGGTATGGCGCCTCTGGTCATCGCAGAGCCATGAAATTTTGGCGATGAGTAAAACATATCGTAGTCTCACTGTGACATACGTTTTCTAATCAAAATACCAAGAGAGAAAGTGAATATTAAGACCGTTCCGGTTTGCAACCTATGTCCTATTTGAAACCGTCGCCTCTACTGGAGCGGGGGGGGGGGGGGAATAGCATTGCCATGCAGACCAAGTCAGGGTGGGCCTAGTGTGTGTCGTCTCATTGTCGCACTGTACACTGTCCACCTTCTTGTCTAATAATTATGTCCCGCTGCGCATTGTCCCGCTGCGCATTGTCCCGCTGCGCATGGTCCCGCTGTGCATTGTCCCTCTGCGCATTGTTCCGCTGCGCATTGTCCCGCTGGGCATTGTCCCGCTGTGCATTATCACTCCACTCTGTGGTGCAGTGTGTCATTCGCGTCCAATTTCAGGCGCCACCACTTTTCACCCGACGGCGAGCAAGTCATTCTGATATCGGATGATCCAAGACACGTGAGTTTGGGAATTGCACGTTCACTTGTGCCTGCATGCATGCTTGATCGGTACCAGTAAGTCGTAGCATCTGGGGAGATAACACGAGATCATAGTTCCCAGAACGGTGTGCGTTTGACCGCGGATTTGGAATTTCTACGTGACCTTTGGTCTCCGCAGCTCGCGATCGTGATCGCGATATGTCACTGCCTTGACCTGCGGACACCAAGCGTGGCTCAGACGAGCGATTCCACATGCGAGTGTGTACATGTATTAATGGACCCTGCCCTAAGAGCGACTGTAACTGGCAGCCCGGTACAAAAATGTATTGTACATGATTCAGCACTACAGTCACCCGTGGTGTCACCAGTCCCTGTGCACTGCGACTCCCTGATACATTCTGCCCCTCCCCATCATCTTCAAAGGAGTGACACGTGCAAGCAGCACAACAAATGCTAGAACTTCAGTTTCTTGAGCTGGCTTCAGTTTTGAAGTTGACAGATTCATGACTGCCACCCAGAGGACTTAAAACAGGTCCAATGTTCTTTTCGGAAAGCCAGCCAGAAACCACCAATCTCGTTGTAGTCCGCATAACAGTATTTTGGGCCGGGTCAACTCCCTGAGTCCCTGCATTTGATGGTGTGTGTGTGTGTGTGCGTGTGTGTGCGTGTGTGTGTGTGTGTGTGTGTCACGTGCATGTACTTTCATGTATGAATGTATGTCCACTGACTTGTCAGTTTGAGCACTCTGGCAAGGTACGTTCGGGCCTGATTGGAAATTTTTATTTCCATCGCTATCAGGTTCGGCCTCATTTCCTCTGTGCTGCGCTGATGTGTTCAAAAAGAACGAAACAGCATGCTGTCCGCAGATTGAGTATGTCCACATGTATGTATATGTGTGTATGCCGACATCATAACTGCACAGTTTCCACAGCCCTGCCATTACCACGGGTACGTGCGGGGAGAGAACAACGCGACCACGTGGGCGGCAGTCAGCACATGTAACGGCATCAGGTGAGCTGAGCTACCGGGAACGTCTGTAAATAAGTACGGACAGTGGTCCCTCAATAATGCGGCACCATTTGTGTCACGGAAATCTGCTGGATTAGGGAGGGTGTTTACAAATCGGATTTACTGCGGCAATATGCATGAAGAGGATATTTGGGCTACTGAAAATTGTGCTGGTTTATCGACGGTGTTGGTTTATAAAGTACTGGATTAGAGAGGGACGACTGTACTTACTTTCGAACGAGGCAGAGACAACCTGGATAGTAAGGCTCGCCGAGCTTTCTATCTCGGAGTTATACAGAGCAAATTTTAGAGTACGCCAGCACATCATATGTTCATTCATTACACGCTGCAGAATACGATAAGCTTCTAAGACTGAGCCGCCGAGCCGTTCGTATTGTATTTGCCCACCCTTCCCGTGCTGACGTTGAGCCCATTTTGCGTTGCCACAACCTCCACCCACTCAGCCTACGCCTCACTCTTAACGAAGCTATTCGTTTTTTACTTTTCGGTGCATCAGGTCCCTTGGCAATCCCCTCATCTCCCAAATCTTCATGACCCGAAATGATGCTACCCACACTACCTCCCAAACCAGAGGCCAAACATTCAGTAGTCTCTTTCTCCCCCCATTCACGTCTCGGCCAGGCCTCTACAGTCTCTCATTTCTTGCTGCTGACCGCTTTAAAGTGCGAATGCCGCACTACCTGCTGAGCCAGGACTGTTGAGAAAAGGGCGCCGGTGTTTTGACTCTGAGAGGTTTTGTTTCCTGCTCTTCTGCCTTGCCCAGAGTAACATTCTACGATGGAGCAGAGCTGTTATCAGTACAGCCGAATGTTACCGACGTAAGCTGGCACTTCGTGTTCTTGTGCTTATGGAGTCAGTGTGATGTTGACATGGCAACCACTGTGCGTGGCATAGAGCTTGAATGTGCTACGTCATAGCCAGCCTGTAGTCAAGACAACGCTGACTTTTGAATCCACTTTGATCCGGTTCTCGGGTGCATCCCTACACGTGTGGGTGCTTTTCCTTCACAGCAGAGGGGCACGTCTGCCAGTAACGTAATGTGGAGGTTTAGCAAGACGAGTTTCGCATTCAAGCTCGCAAGCACATTTTGGTTCGTGAACTGAAAATGCAAACATTTTCGCTTTTAAGTAAAAGTGGGGAGGCTTCCTGCAGTCTCATAAACAGTTCATAGTAGAGCTTACACGCTCTCTTCCATTGACACTGCAATAGTTCAACTCATTTCACAATAATCATTCCAACGTTTCGGCAAATTGCCTTCATCAGGTTCACAATGGTGTGCAAGCTCCCAAACCAGCATTGATAAAGGCCAACAACTCCCCCGTCAGTAATCTCTTTTCGTTCGGAAAAGCAGTCGAAACGCGAATTCTTGTCCGGAAGTCATCACATCACTATGGTATGCAGTCTGTACATGCAATCCCTAACACAACGTAAATTTTTGAATTTTTGAATTCTTTATTCTCACGATGGCACCATCACCAATAAGAGATAAGTTTATGAGAAGGTGAGATGCTGTGGGTGGGGCTGTGGGTTATGCAGTTGGAACGTGACGTAATTTGTCACTGAGCTTGTCTTAGCCAAGTCTACCCATCAGGTCTTTTGAATGCCTTGTCACTTGTTGCTTCTGCTTTATGTGCGCATGTGGCCAGTCAAGTACGTACACGATAGTGAAGGAGAGAGAGCTTGTCGGTGTCAGGGATCCCATGTCTTGTGGGGTGTCGGAGTCAGGTGAGTTGTCTGTGCACAAAGCATATACACTGTCAGCCTCATGAATAGACCTCGCCGGACAGTGTCTGCTCTAGGATTTCAAACCAACCGGGTACACTTGCACCTGGCACAACTCTTGCAACCGGGTCAGCCCCAGGTACAGTGTACATTCAAGTATGGCCACTGTACATCATGGACTAGGACTCCCTGATCGAGTCCCAACCGGGTCACAAGTGACCCTGTGTTCTTTCGTTTTCAAGCGGGTCCAAGACCCCCCCCCCCCCCCACACACACAACCGGGTCGCTGACCCGGCTCTGGAACAGACACTGCTCGGGTATAGCAATTACTTGCAAATCATGTTTGACACAATCTTCGGACCTGGTGACTAGTTAACTGTATGCTTACAACCTCATGGATATTGACAGCTCATGAATAACGGCACTTGCCATGCACAATCGAGGGTCACTATTTTCCAGGTTAACTGCGTGACACACTATTGCACAGCAACCAGTACATCTTGTGATATTGGATCGCTTTACGATTTTCTGGGCATAATACAGTGTCCATGAAACCAATGTTGGAAGTGCATACACACTCGTTAGTGCACTGAGCCAGAGTGACTGGTTTATACCTGTTGATTAGGCAGTTCTAGCGGCTATGGGTGCCTTGTATGTAAATTTACATGTTGTGCCATTTGTATTCTATGCCTGCGTCTCTCTCTCTCTCTCTCTCTCTCTCTCTCTCTCTCTCTCTCTCTCTCTCTCTCTCTCTATCTATCTATCTATCAAACGCACGTGCATGCGTTGCGTGCACACACACACAAACACAAACACACACATGCTCTCTCTATGTGTGTCTGTCTGTCTGTCTGTCTGTCTGTCTGTGTCTATGTCTCTCGCCTGTTCTAACACGGACAGCGATCACCGGCAAGTCGTTTGATATAGTAATCAAGTCAATCAATGACAAGGCTCCAGAAGCTTCACCAGTACACCACATTGTGGTACGTAGAACCTTCCAGGCCTGTCACGCCAGCTTTGGAGGTGGGGTGGCCATGGAAGGGGGTTCGGGGGGGGGGGGGGTCCTCCGCCGGGAAAGGGTTTCAAAAATTGAAGCCAATTTCAAGCATTTTCGGGCATTGGTGCCATTTCAGTGTAACTACAACGAAAGACTTTTTCATTCTGCAACAAACCAAGAAGACACCACGATCGGGGACACGGATTCTTCATTATTCACCACGTTTGTCGCTGATCCGCGATAATCGCGCTTTGATGCAGTGTGCTCAAAAAAATCGGCCGCAAAAGTGAGGCGGCTTCAGCCCCAGGCTGTGACGGCCTTGCTTTCATCTAGCTTCAATAAATACAATACATACATGTACAACAAACCATTGGGGTTTCAGAGGCGTATCACTTGATGTAGGATGAGTCCAGTCAACTCCGGATGGTCTCTGGTGGCAAACCATATACAGTACTTTCATGGCAGATTTCCACTGTCTCAAAGTCTATATCTCCTTTGCCATTACCGCAGGCATGCCGGTTGACAAAACAGCTCTCCATCTACTCCAAGGTTGATAAGTGCAAAGCGGGGAGTAGTAATGTGCCGGTATATTACTACTCCCTGCTACACACAAAGCAACAAGGCACACGGCTAGTGTGACGGCACTCTGAGTTTCATGCTATGCAATCATCAGGCAACATGAAGCCGGATGCTGTTGGCAATGCCAGTACAATACTATTAAAACACGGCGAAATGTGTGTATGTGTGTGTGTATGTGTGTGTGTATGTGTGTGTGTGTGTATGTGTGTGTGTGTGTGTGTGTGTGTGTGTGTATGTGTGTGTGTGTGTGTGTGTGTGTATGTGTGTGTGTGTGTATGTGTGTGTGTGTGTATGTGTGTGTGTGTGTGTATGTGTGTGTGTGTGTATGTGTGTGTGTGCTCATGTGTGTACTGGTTTGTTTGTTGCCCCACACGTTTGTTACCCTGTGTGTTTGTTGTTGCCCCGTGTGTGTTTGTTGTCGTGTGTGTGTGCGTTGTCGTGTGTGTATTTATTGTTGTGTGTATTTGCTATCCCATGTGTTTGTTACCTCGTGTGTGAAGAAACGGACCATCACCTACACCTACTTCATTGAACTATTTGTCGTGGTGGACAAACGAGCTGTAAGTCAAGCAACCGTTTCTGCATTTTATTGTTGTTTGTCACTTTGTATTGTATTTGTTATGTCCATGGTTACGTGTATCTGTGTGTTAGTGTGTGTGTGTGGGGGGGGGGGGGGGAGGCGGCGTCGTGGCGGAGCGGCTTCCTAGTGGCAGTGCTGACTTCCCTCGAACTCTCTCTTCTACTGTCCCCTGTCTCGGGGGCGGCGTGGCCAAGCATTTGGCAGCTGTACACCAGGCCAGGTGTGTGTGTGTTTGTGTGCGTGCGTGCATGTGCATGCGTGTGTGTGCATGTGTGTGTGCATGTGTGCACAGGTCGCATACAGTAATCATACGTGTGCATTGCTTCATGAACATCGCTCGATGTAACTGTTACTTGCGTACGTGTTGTGTTGCAGTTCGACATCATTGGCAATGTGTCAACGGTCACGACTAACGTTATGGACCTCGTCAATATCATGGATATGGTATGGTCTTGTTATTACAAGCACGGGTTTATGTCATTCTTTAAGGTAGCTGGAATGGAAAGAAAGCAGTCTCTTCTGCACGAGCCGCATAGAGTAAACTCTGTCTCAAATGGCCGCTCAAGGGACCAGTGGTCACATTATGTGATTGCATCATGAGTTGAGGTGCTTTGGCAAAGTCGCGGTACAGCGATGCACTTGCACTAGTGACTCACGCTGTACACATAGCGCCCATTAGAAGATCCGCTGACTCATCCCAAGAAATCATTCCCAAGTCCTGTAAGGCTCTAATACTGGCATGCCGTAGTCACGTGGTGAAATTCAAGCCTGTTCGTTCCTCGCCACCCGGCAGTACTGTAATGGGTAAGGGAGCGGACGCATACTTGCCTATTTCTTAGGCCCCCTATCATTGAGCGTCATCTATGCGGTTGCCATGGTGTTGGGCCAAGCTGGGGTTGTGATGTGTGAGCAAGGCATTGACAGTGCTGCTATAGGGCTTGAAAGTGATGACGTCAGACGTCAAAATCTAGCGACAAATAACGACATTTTGGATCCGCTTGGGTCCAGTTTTTGTACAGATCCATATACGTTTGGGTGGTTTTCCTTCGCAGCATAGTGACACATCCACCGGTAGTGATTGGACTAGGCCCTCCCGGTCGTCGCGTGGACTCACACCTACCGGTGGATGTGTCACTATGCTGTGAAGGAAAACCACCCAAACGTGTATGGACCCATACAAAAACTGGATCCAAAGGTCGTTATTTGTCGTTAGATTTTGACTTCTGACGTCATCACGTTCCAGCCCTATTGTAGTCCTGTGACCGTGACTTGTATTTCTTCACTGCAGCTGTATAAATCCCTGGAAACACGCGTCGCTCTCGTCAACCTCCTTATTTGGAATACCGGCGATCCTATAACGTACGCCTCAACGGACTCCTCTGTCATACTGAACGGGTTTCAGAATTATTGGTCCAGTAACGGTTTCCTTAGTAACGCCAGCCTGCACGCTGATCACATCATGCTATATTCGTAAGTAGATGCTCCGCCGGTGTGTGTGTGTGTGTGTGTGTGTGTGTGTATGTGTGTGTGTGTGTCAGCTAGTTCGGCTGGTGGGTGTGCTTATTCCAGATAGTGCTGGGGCTGTTGCCAACAGGCTCAGCTACTTCAACTTTTTTAGTTGAAGGCGTATTGCTGTACCTGCCATCTTTGCTTGGTTTCAGGGTTCACTATGCTTTCTTGAGATTTTGCTTTCTTTACAAAGCACTAGTACTGGTCCACGTATACGAAACTGCTAACCATGGGCTGCTTCTGGCAAGATTTAGGGGTCGTCGCAAACGTTTGCTGTCGTCCCTGAAACGAACGTCCTTCATTTCGTACTCAGACCCTGCCCGTCCCTCTGAAACGAACGCAGCTTGCTACGCTGGACGAAGAAAATCGCATGCATGTACATCTGTACAGTGGCGGTCGACTTGTGATTTTGGCTCGCACCAAATGCACATGTACGTGGGTGGTGTACGTGTGTGGTGTACGTGCGCATGCATGCATGGTGTGTGAACACGTATGCCTGCATCTTTGCTTACGCTGTATAGAGGGTTTGACTTTGATGGCACTGTTGTCGGCCTGGCATACCTGAGCCGGGTCTGTACCAGTAATCAAGTCTCCATTGTACAGGTAAGCATTACTACGCAAACATTCATATGTCATGGGAAACAACCACCGATTACAGATGAACTAATTCCTTGGGGTTGGTTTTAAACTTTTTTTTGTACGTGATGCGGATCAGTACACCTTTTTGATCGGCA